AAACGGCAACGCCAGCTATAGACCATAGATGGCTCTTGACTAGGTTTATTAATTTTTACTAGAGAATTAAAGGTTCAAAATGTAATGTTATCCTCACCGTTGTAGGTAACTGTATCGATCGGTGACGTTTGTGTTTGAATGGAACTCCTAGCAGCAACAGGGCCACGTTTGCTCTGCGAACAGGTCGTAAGTACAACGTACGCACTGAATTTCTTCACCTCTCCAGCCAATCAACGGTGGGCCACATTGCTGAACATATAAATTCCACGTTGCTGAATAAGCACATTGCCGTCAATATATTAAACTTGATCCATTGGAGATATAGTATATTTATATAGAGAATCAACGACTCCATGAAGGCTCAAGTGTCTCATCCATTTCACAGTTATTTCGTGCTCACTTATTAACGATTATGAGTTCTTATCTCATTTTTCCTAATTCACATCTTTCGTTTTTGGTACGCACGCTTTTCAAATTATTCAATGGTGTGTTTTTTTTTAAAAAAATTTCTATGCGAAAGTTGTTTTAAAAAAGTATTAACTATTTTTATACGAAAGTTGTTTCAATAGTTAATACTTAATTAATCGTGCAATAATGCATGTTCCGTTTTATGTGCCGGGAGGCAACCCCTCCTCCCGAACACACCCAGAAGTTAACATCAATTTATTCAGTCCTATGTTCTCGTGGTTCGTCCATGCAAACCAATCAGCTGCAGCTACTGTCCCTATATAAACCTAGCTACTCATCAACTTCGATCATAATCAAGCATCAATCCCTCATTAGCATCGCTGGTTGATACTAAACTAACAGTAGCCATAATCATGGGAAGGCCAGTGGCAACGCTGCTGGTGCTGTGCTTCATCTCTGTCACGGCGCGCGCCGCCGCGTTCCGCGTGCACGGCCGCCTCCTCGCCGACGCCGCGACGGAGGGAGGCGCCGTCGTGCCCATCCACTGGACCCAGGCAATGAACTACGTCGCGAACTTCACCATCGGCACGCCGCCGCAGCCGGCGTCGGCGGTCATCGACCTCGCCGGGGAGCTCGTCTGGACGCAGTGCAAGCAGTGCGGCCGCTGCTTCGAGCAGGGCACGCCACTGTTCGACCCGACCGCGTCGAACACCTACCGGGCGGAGCCGTGCGGCACCCCGCTCTGCGAGTCCATCCCGAGCGACGTCCGCAACTGCTCCGGCAACGTGTGCGCGTACGAGGCGTCCACCAATGCCGGGGACACCGGCGGCAAGGTCGGCACCGACACCTTCGCCGTCGGGACGGCCAAGGCGAGCCTCGCGTTCGGGTGCGTCGTGGCGAGCGACATCGACACCATGGGCGGGCCTTCCGGGATCGTCGGGCTAGGGAGGACGCCGTGGTCGCTAGTCACCCAGACGGGCGTCGCCGCGTTCTCCTACTGCCTGGCGCCGCACGACGCCGGGAAGAACAGCGCGCTGTTCCTCGGCTCCTCCGCGAAGCTCGCCGGCGGCGGCAAGGCCGCCTCGACGCCGTTCGTCAACATCTCCGGCAACGGCAATGACCTGAGCAACTACTACAAGGTCCAACTCGAAGGGCTGAAGGCCGGCGACGCGATGATCCCGCTGCCGCCGAGCGGCAGCACCGTCCTGCTCGACACCTTCTCGCCGATCAGCTTCCTCGTCGACGGCGCTTACCAGGCCGTCAAGAAGGCGGTGACGGTCGCCGTCGGCGCACCGCCGATGGCGACGCCGGTGGAGCCGTTCGACCTCTGCTTCCCGAAATCGGGGGCGAGCGGCGCGGCGCCGGACCTCGTGTTCACGTTCCGGGGCGGCGCCGCCATGACGGTGCCGGCGACGAACTACCTGCTCGACTACAAGAACGGCACGGTGTGCCTCGCCATGCTGAGCTCGGCGCGGCTGAACTCGACGACGGAGCTGAGCTTGCTGGGAAGCTTGCAGCAGGAGAACATCCATTTCCTCTTCGACCTCGACAAGGAGACGCTCTCCTTCGAGCCTGCAGACTGCACTAAACTCTCCTAGCTAATCAATGGCTGCTGCTACTTAATTACTTTCTTCATATGTATGTGTACTTCTGAATAACGCAGCCTTGCGGCATGAGCTGCAGCATGCTCATGTTGGTGAAAATAATACTCCATTCTTATTATTATTCTGTGGCGATCTGGCCTACTTCGATTTCAATCTCTGTTCCATGTTTAATACTTTAATGGTTCATCAACCACTGTAGGAATTAGGATGCTCTCCTACAGTTTTTCTTTCAAAAAAAAATGTGGTTCATCAACCAAGTTTCGTCTTACAGCTTCAGAAACAAACTGCATGCCTCTTCAGTTATCTTAGCAAAACACTCTGAAATTAAATCAGAACGGTAGCTTCAAGTCGATCAATTGTTGGGAGGCATTGCTAAGAAATCTAATTAGTCAATAGTCATGGATTACGAGTTACGACGACTGAACTGATATACCAAATTAATCACCAAATATGACAAGTGGAACTCTAAAACAGCAACATTTATGCTTAATCCACCTTGCATTTCTGGATCACGTGCTGGAGACGACTTTTTCCACCAGAAGCCGCTTCACACGTACTACCACACTCGCACTAACTAACCACGTATTCGCTCCATTAAAAATAAACAAACTTCGCTAAAATGTGATAAATTCTGATAGTACGAATCTAGATAGGTTCTTAAGTACTACGAATTTAAACATACTAAATTCATAATAATGTTATAATGTATCACATCTTGTACTATATTTATTAATTTTAGACTGAATGGGGTAGTAGATGAAGTAGACTAGACCAAACATGAAGCCAGCAGATCAGGGTAAATGTGGTAACCGCAAGTCCAAAGAAAATAAATCCTCTAACTTACTATTCTATGTATATCCACAGCTCATGTTTCCATGGCTGCTCTTATCCTTTTTAGTTTTTTAGGGGGGGGGGGAGGGGGCGTTACCGTGGTAATCGCCGAAAACCGCGTAAAATTCACCTCCAAAAATATAACATTTTTCATTTAACCTGTTCCAATAATATTTATAATAAGCTTTTGTCAAATCTAAAACCTTTTGAATGGAACACTCTCATTTTGTCTTTACAATACTAATCCAATATGTCTAATACAATGGCATGACAAGAAGCCGTTGCTATATCTATCACCCACCGTAGTATGGTAAAATTAAAAACTATTGCCTAGCCATGGTCAAAGGTACGGTTGGCGACATGGCTGAAAGGTTTATTTAATAAAAAAATTATAAAGCTATATACAGTTTTTACTAGAGAACGGTTAAACTGAAGAAAATATTATTCATTCGGATGTAACAACATCAGTGATGTCTGAATGATACTTATGTGCATAATTGAACCTTTATAGTGTGAATGACACCGGTATTTTTTTTAGAGAAGAATGACACCGATATGGTGCAGTCGTTGTCAATGGTTTTTGAGATAGAATGTCCTAGCTACATGGTTGAGGCGCGATCTATGCGAACAGGTGGTCAGTACTGCTAAAGAAACTTCTACTATGTAGCCAACCAAAAGTTGCCACGTTACGTGCTCAACACATATTCTATAAAGATCCATGCATGTGACGAAAACACAAATTGCTAGGTTTCTTTTGGTTAATTAAAAAGATCAAACTGAATTTTAAATTTTGAGAAGATAGATTGATCCAATTTTATTTGTTTTTATCAATTTATCAATGGTTACAGTAAAATCCACTCATGAACGGTTTTTATTCTCACCATGAACGGTTTTTATTCTCACCATGAACGGTTTTTATTCTCACTATCAGAACTAGCATGGTGGCCCGCGCAATTTGCGCGGGCTAGCATCATTATATTTTCTCTCATATAATAGCATATATGTTTTCTCATTATATTATTTAAATATATTACAATGACAACATAATTTTAAATTTTGCAATAACTTTACGAAACTACTAATGTGTAATATTCATATTGTATTTTATATACGTGTTAGTTATTAATTATTTTTAATATCAATTTTTTGTTATTTATAAATTATATATTTTCCTATATGGACTCTAGTCTCCTCTTCTAATAGTCCTTATTTTTTAATTCCGAATTTTAACTATTTCTAAATTGTATTTCTATATGGACTCTAGTCTACTCTTCTAATATTCCTTATTTTTTAATTCCGAATTTCAGCTATTTCTAAATTGTATTTCTGTATGGACTCTGCTTTTTCTTTTTCTCCGATTAATGTGAGAATTTCTAGGTCATGAGAGCAAACGTGGAGGCTCCTTTTTATTCCGAATTTTAGTTAGTTTTAAATTCATATATAGACTCTATACTCTACTTCTAATATTCCTTATTTTTTAATTCCAAATTTCTTTTTTTTTCTTAATTATAATTCTATATAGACTCTATACTCTACTTCTAATATTCCTTATTTTTAATTCTGAATTTCTATTATTTCCTGATTGTATTTCTATATGGACTCTATACTCTACTTCTAATATTCCTTATTTTTAATTACAAATTTCAGTTATTTCCTAATTGTATTTCCATATGGACTCTAGTCTCCTCTTCTAATATTCCTTATTTTTTAATTCCGAATTTCAACTATTTCTAAATTGTATTTCTATATGGACTCTGCTTTCTCTTTTTCTCCGATTAATGTGAGAATTTCTAGACCATGAGAACAAATGTGGAGGCTCATTTTTCTATTCCTTTAATAATATAATAGATTGTGAACCCAACCCTGCTCCATGAAGGCTCAAGTGGTTCATTCAATTTCACTGTCATTTCGTGCCCACTAATCCTCGACGAGTCTCTCTCGCGTACCAATTAAACGATGAGGCGTACGTTGACATCTCTTTATTCAGTTTTTTTTATCGGTTAGATTTATTCAATTACTATGCGACATTACAGTGTTAGTTAAAATCATCTTACTCCTGGTTTATTGCATGCAGCCAATCATCTGCAGATATAAGCTTCCTATATAAACCCTACCTCTGGACTTTGATCATACTCATTAGCTCGAGACATTAGTCGATCATCATAATGGGAAGGCTAATCGTAACACTGCTCGTGCTGTGCGCCGCGGCGACGACGTGCGCCGCGGCGCTTCGCGGGCACGACCCCCGGCGAGCCATGCGCGGCCGCCTCCTCGCCGACGGCGGCGGCGCGGTCGTGCCGTTCCACTGGTCCCCCGAGCTCTACAACGTGGCGAACTTCACCATCGGCACGCCGCCGCAGGCCGCGTCGGCGTTCATCGATCTCACCGGCGAGCTCGTCTGGACGCAGTGCTCGCAGTGCATCCACTGCTTCAAGCAGGACCTGCCCGTGTTCGTCCCGAACGCGTCGTCCACCTTCAAGCCGGAGCCGTGCGGCACCGACGTCTGCAAGTCCATCCCGACGCCCAAGTGCGCCAGCGACGTGTGCGCCTACGACGGGGTCACCGGGCTGGGCGGGCACACCGTCGGCATCGTCGCCACTGACACGTTCGCCATCGGGACGGCGGCGCCGGCGAGCCTCGGCTTCGGGTGCGTCGTGGCGAGCGACATCGACACCATGGGCGGGCCTTCCGGGTTCATCGGGTTAGGGAGGACGCCGTGGTCGCTCGTCGCGCAGATGAAGCTCACCAGGTTCTCCTACTGCCTGGCGCCACACGACACCGGGAAGAACAGCCGGCTGTTCCTCGGCGCCTCCGCCAAACTGGCCGGCGGCGGCGCCTGGACGCCGTTCGTCAAGACCTCTCCCAACGATGGCATGAGCCAATATTATCCGATCGAGTTGGAGGAGATCAAGGCCGGCGACGCGACGATCACGATGCCTCGGGGCCGCAACACCGTCCTGGTCCAGACCGCCGTCGTGCGGGTCAGCTTGCTGGTCGACAGCGTGTACCAGGAATTCAAGAAGGCGGTGATGGCTTCCGTCGGCGCCGCGCCGACGGCGACGCCGGTGGGGGCGCCCTTCGAGGTCTGCTTCCCGAAGGCGGGGGTCAGCGGCGCGCCGGACCTCGTGTTCACGTTCCAGGCCGGCGCCGCGCTGACGGTGCCGCCGGCGAACTACCTGTTCGACGTTGGGAACGACACGGTTTGCTTGTCGGTGATGAGCATCGCGCTGCTGAACATCACGGCGTTGGACGGGCTGAACATCCTGGGAAGCTTTCAGCAGGAGAACGTCCATCTCCTCTTCGACCTCGACAAGGACATGCTCTCCTTCGAGCCTGCAGACTGCAGCTCACTCTCCTAACTAACATTGGCTGCAGCCTGTGCAGTTTGTGCGTCAGCTTGGCTGTATATGTTTGTGTGGTTGTCAGGTGTGTACAACTCGCATGTTTATAGCCATAATAACGCAGCTAGCTAGGCAGCATGCATGCATGTGTGCTGCGACATGCTTTGCTTTGCTCTCCCAGTGTCTACGCATTTTCCTTCGTGAACCTGCGTGCTTGTGTGTGGCATCCTAGTGTGATATGTTACTTGTTAGTGCAAATAATATATTCAGTCGTGATCTGGACTTGATTTAATTCCGTCATTCACTTGATCATTCCCATATGTAATGTTTTATTCTCACGGTCTCCTTCCCCTTATTAATGATGGTAAAATTAAAATTAATTGCTCTATTAACATAAGGCTACAACTTATAGAAACAGATTGCTCATTCAGTTATCCTGCTAAACCACAGTTCCAAAATTAAATCAGTTTCCCCAGCTCGCAGCTAAGTATTAGTTTCTCTTGTTCCTATGGAGCAATCGTCATTACGCAGGCTGCTCATGAGATGACAAACCTGCTCCATTATAGATTAAGGTATACGTTACACTTTGAATGCAACCCATTCTGCTCCCGATTGGAAATTGTATTTTGCAATCTTGCCTTCATAAAGTCCTTAATTGGTGTAAAGTTCTGTTATCTTTAGCTTATTTTTACTCTACTGACGCCGATTCCACATGCACAAGGATTGGTGGGAAATACCTCGGAGCGAATTAAGATGGTATTTTGATGTTCTTCAAAAGAGAAGGTGGAGGGGGGGGGGGGGGTGTTCCGAGCTTAAAAGAGACGATGGCCGAGGTAGCAGGGACCTAGCATGGTCACCACCTCGGCCTCTAGAGAGAAGGAGGGCAGTTAAGTTGGCTAGTGTTAGCACTTAACATCAGGGAATATATATCGCCGGAGTGGTTAGGAGATAGGGTGGTAGTGGTGGATCCTGCAGCGTGAGTGCGGGAGACGGTGGAGGAGAGGCGGGGTAGGGGAATCAACACTGAATTTGAGGAAGAGGACTACGGTGGCGCTGCAAATTTGACAAAGATAATGGAGGAGGGTATAAGGTGTGCATATGTGAATTCATAGGGTGGGTGTGCTCACATTTATATAAGCGCTTATGATTGCCTTTACATCGTTAATAAAAAAATAATTTCAAGAAAATTGACGGAATGGCGTGAACCGATGCCACGGCAGGGCGACTTCTTCGGCAACCTCACCAGCAGCGATCACTACATATATGCACAATCTGAGGAAAACTTTAAGGTTGCACAGACAAAAACCTACCAAACACGATGGATCATACATATGCGCTCTTGTTATTTCTTTTCCTTTTTGACATCTATTGTGTATGTACGTACATAGAGAGGGATTAGCTGTTTTTTTAAATGGGGTTACTTGAGTAGATTGAATAGATCTAATCTAACTGGTGAAAATAATGGATTTACTGTGTTAGCCATGTACATTTATGGCTAAATGTTTTGCTTTCCCCTTATATTTTGTTCTTAGACTTTCTCTTATTTATAGAGCACCACATGCATTTTAGAAGAGTTTGTAGGATTGTAGGAACGCTATTACTTATACTCGCAATATACTTGTAGTCAACTATTGTTTTTTGTGGCTTAGTGGCGTCCTCTACTTACCTATCATTTGCTGATGGTTGCTCACTTAGTATCATCCTTTATCTTCGGTGCTTGATAACAATCTTGTTGAATGTTAGTGCACGGATGCCTTGTAAGCAATATGACCTGACAATTTATGGATAGTAGTTTGTATATAAACTTATATACATAGGGGTTAGCAGGGATATACGATTGATATATTATGCTATTTTTGATTGACAAAGTATATTACATATTAAGCATTTTAGTATATAAGAAATAAATTTAAGGTTATATTCTAAAGTGCTTATCGGATTGGCTACTCCCTTGTTTATCGTGACCACATTTACTGAATTTCTAAATGGTGCATATTTTTGCAAAATATTTTATATATAAAAATTTTCTAAAAAACCAAGTAAATCCATTTTCATGTTTTAATATTAATACTTAATACTTTTTAGAAATATATTAATACTTAATTAAACTTTCTCTAATGACCTGTGTCGTTTCACGTGCCCTGGATAAGCTCACCCAATAAGCTAGATCGAACGAAGTCGAGGAGTGAGATAAACGACATCGATATGGTGTCAAGAGAATATATTTGATCTTTAATTTGCTAAAAATATATGAATAGAGAAAACACATAATACAAGAAGATATATCTGTGATAATTTTTATTTAACATTTATGATAAATTTAGTATGTCCTTTTGACGTATCAATATTTTTATAGTATAGAGAATTGGAGTTGTTTTTATTTTTGAAAATGCATGTTCAATTTAACTATTACATAATCTATATTTTAATTAATTTATTTTTTATGGATGTTTTAATGACATGCGTCTAGTTTGAATACAACTAAAAATAACATATATTTTTGCAATTTAAAGTATAGTTAATATGGGCTTGAATTATTAGTTTAGTTTTTCTATCTAATCTAAAGGAGAAAACAGAAAAAAAAAGGATGTGGGATCTATGTATGTACGTACCTTTTTTAATGAATACTTACATATGGGCTAGGAGCCACATCATAGCTTGGTCTTTTTACAGATAAATTTAAGAGTTAATTTCACATTGCACCATATATTTTGACCAAATTTTACAATGGGCAAGGGCCAAACCAACCTTTTCACTTAACACCACATATCTTTGCACTAGTTGGCACTTTGGACTAGGGTTGAGCACATTAATGAAAGTTGTCAGAGAAAAGCTAGTTCAAATCATCATTTTTAGTTCCATAGTATTAAAATAAATATCTTTAGAAAGAAACAGCAAATCACAAAACAACTTTTTTCAGCAAATCACACTAAAATAATGATGTGAACATGTTTAAAAGTGGCACAAAATGATCTATACATAGGGGCAAATGAATAAAAATAAAATAGAAAATAGTTAATTACCACTCACACTGAAAAGAAGGAAGAAAACATAAATGTTTTGCCTTTTATAATTATCCCTGTGTAATCATATGAAATTTTCTCACATTCCCTTGATTTGCTCACCCCTAGTCCAAACTGAAAACTTATGTAAAGATGTATGGTGTTAAGTGAAAACATTGATTTAACCCTAGTCCATTATGAAATCTTGGTCAAAATATGTGGCCCAATGTGAAATTTACTCAAAATTTAATCATGAGATAGATTTAATCGTTAAAAAAATAGTAATATGGGCTTGAATTATTAGTTTAGTTTTTCCATCTAATCTAAAGAAGGAAAAAGAAAAAAAAAAAGGACGTGAGATGTATGTACGTACGTATTTTTTTTAATGAATACTCACATGGGCCAGGAGCCGCATCATAACTTGGTCTTTCTACAGATAAATTTAATCCTAAGATATATCTAATGGTTAAAAAAATAGGAAGCTTTTTCCCTAAGAGATTATGAAAGAAAAGAGGAGATGAGGGGAGGACGTACGCACCAGAGAAGAGTGGGGGTACGTAGTACGTACGCACCAGGGTGTAGAGAGGGTGGATTTTTTTTAATTAGATCTAATGGTTAAAAATATTGGACCCACCAATTTAAAGAAAAATCAATGGTTAGGATTTAGTGTGCCACTTGGCGGTTTAGGAGCGTTTATAGGAGTGCCACATGGCGGCTTTGGAGCGTTTCTAGGATGATTAATGGACTTTTAGTATATAATAGATTAATTAAGTATTAACTTTCTTTTAACAGTTTAACTATTTGAAAACGAGAAACGCCCAGAGGTCTTCCAGCTAGCTCCATAAGGTGGTGAGCTAGACGATCTGGGTTTGAATTCTCACCCCTTCTAATTATTTGATATTAGATCCTTCCCTAATATTCGTATTTTACTATTTGAAAAACATGCATGTAAAAAAAAAGATGAGTTGGGAAACTTAGCTGCCAAACAGAGAATTGAATTGGAGAGATATTTTTGTCGAGATGGAAGAGAGAACTTGAGGAGAGAGATGTGTGGGTGACTAAGAGCAAGAATAATAACGAGCTATAAGCTAACAATAAATTTATACGAAACTATCGACGTTTGATGTCGCGATTCCGGTATTTGCATAGTATGGGGATCGTTGGTACTAGGATATATGCGAGACTGAGGTAAAAGAGATGGATACATGGATTTTTATACAGGTTCGGGCCCCTGAATCGTCAGGTAATAACCCTACATTCTGTTGGCCGAAGCCGGTCGTTGCTCTTATTCATCATAATCACACCAGTACAATATTTGGGGTAGCCTATCTAACTGTTGTCGACATGGCGGTCTGAAGTTCTGACTCGTAGTCGATAACATGGTAGTCTTCCTCCTCGAATCTGTGCCTGGCAAGATCAGAGACAGCGCTATGTCTCTCCTAACAGTCTCCGGAGACACCGTAGGGGACTGGCCATGCCTATCTCTAAAGTCGATATCCGGCGTCTTGTCTTGGCGCATGTTGGCTTGTATATTGTGGCTTCTGTTGTTCCGTGTCCCCTCTCCTCCTAGGTGGCCTTGTATTTATACCCATAGGTGTCCCCTTGTCCAAGTAGAACTAGGGAAACCAATATGGATACAATCCAAATAGTCCTTGTCGTTTCCATGTAAAACTCTATTCATCATTCCTTATGCAGAACTCCTCCTATATCTGAAGGTTGTTTCCGTATAGGACATGATATGTGGTGGGTCCTGCCGAGATTTAGTCAACTACTATTAGGTATGTGGTATCCATAACCCTGACATAAACAGTGAAACAACAAAAAAATAAAAGATGTTGGCTCTCATGTAAAATCTAACTAACACGTGCTTCAAGACAAATACTTTAAATACATAGGTGAGAGAGATAGTGAGAAGCAGTGAAACAACAAAAAAATAAAAGATGTTGGCTCTCATGCAAAATTTAGCTAACACGTGCTTCAAGACAAAAACTTTAAATACATAGGTGAGAGAGATAGTGAGAAGAAAATATGGAAACAATATTATAGTTAATTTATTATATATATGTTGGCTTTAAGATAGGCTAATAGCGGTTAGTGAACTCTACTACTCCAACGCACTCAACGCAGCAATGTGGGCCCAACGAATAGGAACAAAGGGAGAAAGCATAGGAGAGAGATTAACATGAGTAAAATAAAATTTTTGATCGTACTATTGCAGCTAGCTATTGTAGTAGTACCTAAGAGACGGTAAATTATCTCTATATGATGCGGATGAAAATTATAGCCTGTTGCTTACTCTATTATTAATCTTGCTCTAACCATCATTAGATCGAATAACAAAGACTCAGAACGCACAAGAGTATTGTTCATCATATTACCGTATGTACGTGTTGAATAGGGATAGCAGCGCCGGGGGTCTCCAATCTGGCAGTGGGTCCCACGTGCCAATATCTACCTTCTTCTTCCCTTCTCTTTCTCCACAGTCCACATCTATCACCTTCCCCATCCCCACCCACCCGGTGGCCCTCTTCCCAACCAGTGGATGAGGAGGCGGCGGCTTGAGGCTAGGGGGCGAGTGGATGGGGAGCTGGCGGCGCCACCGCCGTTTCACGCGATGATGGCCGACGCTAGACGACTACGAGCACATGAGGTGATGACGGGATCAACTCCTCGCCGGCCTCCCTCACCGTCGCGTCCTCCCTCCCTTGCTGTCGATGGTGCACACCGGCTCCGTCGCCCTCGTTGTCGAGTTGCGCTGATGGCCGACGCTGAAGAAGGAAGGCAACAACGGCCGGCAGAGGTGGCGGCGACTGGCAGGGGAGGCAACAGCCTACCGGCAAACAGCAGGGAGCCACCGAGCCGGCGGACAGCAATGAACGACGACGGGTACGAGAGAGAGAAGCGTGAAGAAAAGCAGAGGTAGGGGCAAAAGCACATGGGTCCATTGTTTTGGGAGGAGGAATGCATGTGGGGCCCACCGTTAGCTAGTGACTTTGGCTTGCCAAGTTTAGGCCAGGGGAGAAAGTGTTTTGGACAGTCAGATGGCGCCATCTGGTTAAAAAGACTGTTGGCGATGCTCTAACTCATAACTTCGGGTCCTCGTGGGTCAACTCTTATCCCCGCATGCGCCCCTGCATTTACTGTCTGCAAATTGCCACCCCTTGCCGCGTATGACGACGGCCGGATCGTGCATGCTTACGCATGTGCTACCTGCCGGGAAATGCCTCGCATATACTCCTACGTACCGCGCCGAGTCGTCGCCGACCGATACGCGTTGTTTACTGCATGGGTATATCATGATAGCCTGCGTCTTTTTTTTTGCATCGATCAATCGATCATGTGAAACCGTACGTCATGAACTTCCTCACCCTTTCGTTGGTTAAACTTCCTGCGTAATGTCAACAACTGAACTTTTTTTTTGTTTTTTTTAGTTGAGGCCGGGGATCAACAAAGTGAACTTGACTGACAAATAGTCATGCTTGATCTGATCTGCCAGCTTGATCAACGAGTTGAATTGAGTTAACATCGATACAGGGCGATTTTTAGTTATATATACATACTCCCTCAGTAAAAAAAAATAATTATAGAGATGAATATACAGGTATATCTAGATTATATTCATCCTTAAAATTAACATTTTTTCTTGCTGAGGGAGTATATTTTGGCGATGCCATATGCTATAGTACTCCCTTTGTCCAAATTATAAGGCACTATCTTTTTAAAAGAAAATCAAACTTGGTAACTCTTGATTAATAATCATACTAACCAGTATTATGCATGTTAATTATATCACTATATTCATATTTTAAAAGAATTTTAATGTGATGCTAATTTCATATTTGTTGGGAGCATAACATGGAATAAATTAATGATCAAAATGAGTTATTAAAGTCTGTTTAAAAAAATATAGACCCTATAATTTAGGACGGAGGAAGTATAGAAATCTGGTAACATGGCATTGCAAGAAACCGCTACTGCGCCTGTCACACGTTGTTGACACAATTATTTGAATAGACAAAATGGTGGTTATGAGTTTTTGTTTCTTAAAATCATGAATTGTATGCCTAGGTTTATTTTTTCGCGAACACGCAAAAGGATTGCACGTCAATATATTAGAAGAAAAAAATTATAGTTACATGACGCAATCAGTCAGACCGGCTTATGTAAAGGGAAGGGGGAAAAAAGCAAAATAAGAAGCAGGAGCTTAAAAAACTACGGCGGCTAAATACAAACTCCAAGCAGCGGGAAGGGGCCGAGCCACGTTACACTCCCAACAAGTCCCTAAAAACGGCAACGCCAGCTAAAGACTATAGATGGCCCTCCTGAGTGGATGGACTCCAGAACCACTGAGACCGAAGAGAACACAAAGTCGAAAAACCTAGAGTTCAGTTCCTTCCACAGCTGCCAAGAGACCAGGAGCACCAGGAAGTCGAAGCTAGCGCGGAGATGCTCAGGTTAGCAGGCCCTGAAGGACGGCCACCAGTCCTAGAACCAGCTGCCACGGGGGAGAGAGGGCATCCCAGCCAGGAGGCGATAGCACACAGAGCCAGACCTACTGAGCAAACACATAGTCGAGGAGGATGTGGTTCGCCGTCTCAAGATCCTGAGTGCAAAAAGGGCAGGCCGAGTGACTATCGATGCCATGCTTCTGGAGGAGATCAGTCGTCCAACAACGCTGTTGGAATGCAAACCAAAGGAAGAACCTGCATTTAGCAGGACCCTTTACGTGCCAGAGAAGATCAGCTCAGGCAAATGAATGCTGGCCATGGAAGAAAGCCTGGTATGCCGAACGCGCAGAGTAGCGCTGGTCATACGTCCAACGCCAAATGAGACGATTCTCGACACCCGGTGAGAGCTGTACGTGAAGCACCGCATCCCAAATAAGGAGAAACTGGGAGATGACTGGGATAGTGAGGGCACCGCGGATGTCAGAGACATAGGAGTTGTTCGCCAGACCAGAAGCAACCGTGCGTGAACCTGGAAGACGCTGGGGAACAACGAAGAGGAGATCTGGAGCCAAGGACGCCACCGAGCGGCCATCGATCCATTGGTCGGACCAGAAGAGCATAGACTCACCATTTCCCGGCACGAAGAAAGTGGATGCCGCGAACATGTCGGAGACGGTCTGCTTGACTGGGGACTTCAGGCCATCCCAGCAGGGGTGCCCTGAGCGCTGAAGCCAGAGCCAGCGAACACGCAGGGCAAATCCTGCCAACCTGAGGTCAGGGATCCCCAACCCACCGCAAGTTTTGGGACGACAGACGTTCGTCTAGGACACCCGACACTGCCCCCATGAGCCGAGTCCATACCCGTCCACAAGAAAGCACGACGTTTCTTGTCAATGGCCTTAATAACCCAGACTGGAAGGCCGATCACCATAGATACATGGATCGGAATGGAGGAGAGAACCGACTGGACCAGCATAGAACGGCCAGCTAGAGTGGTAAGTCGTCCCTTCCAAGGCGGAAGTCGATGGGAGACTTTATCCACAAGCGTTTGCAAGGCTGGCTTCGGCAACTTGCAAACGGACAACGGAATGCCGAGGTAGGTGCAAGGGAAATTAGAAACCGAGCAGGGGAAGTAGAACTGAACCAGCTCTAGGTTCTCAGCCGAGCAACGGATCAGAGTAATCGAGCATTTGGCTCTTGACTAGGTTTATTAATTTTTACTAGAGAATTAAAGGTTCAAAATGTAATGTTATCCTCACCGTTGTAGGTAACTGTATCGATCGGTGACGTTTGTGTTTGAATGGAACTCCTAGCTCCAGTGGCTCATCCATTTCACAGTTATTTCGTGCTCACTTATTAACGATTATTCGAAGTTAACATCAATTTATTCAGTCCTATGTTCTCGTGGTTCGTCCATGCAAACCAATCATCTGCAGCTACTGTCCCTATATAAACCTAGCTAGTACTCATCAACTTCGATCACAATCAAGCATCAATTCCTCATTAGCATCGCTGGTTGATACTAAACTAACAGTAGCCATAATCATGGGAAGGCCAGTGGCAACGCTGCTGGTGCTGTGCTTCATCTCTGTCACGGCGCGCGCCGCCGCGTTCCGCGTGCACGGCCGCCTCCTCGCCGACGCCGCGACGGAGGGAGGCGCCGTCGTGCCCATCCACTGGACCCAGGCAATGAACTACGTCGCGAACTTCACCATCGGCACGCCGCCGCAGCCGGCGTCGGCGGTCATCGACCTCGCCGGGGAGCTCGTCTGGACGCAGTGCAAGCAGTGCAGCCGCTGCTTCGAGCAGGACACGCCCCTGTTCGACCCGACCGCGTCGAACACCTACCGGGCGGAGCCGTGCGGCACCCCGCTCTGCGAGTCCATCCCGAGCGACAGCCGCAACTGCTCCGGCAACGTGTGCGCGTACCAGGCGTCCACCAATGCCGGGGACACCGGCGGCAAGGTCGGCACCGACACCTTCGCCGTCGGGACGGCCAAGGCGAGCCTCGCGTTCGGGTGCGTCGTGGCGAGCGACATCGACACCATGGGCGGGCCTTCCGGGATCGTCGGGCTAGGGAGGACGCCGTGGTCGCTCGTCACCCAGACGGGCGTCGCCGCGTTCTCCTACTGCCTGGCGCCGCACGACGCCGGGAGGAACAGCGCGCTGTTCCTCGGCTCCTCCGCGAAGCTCGCCGGCGGCGGCAAGGCCGCCTCGACGCCGTTCGTCAACATCTCCGGCAACGGCAATGACCTGAGCAACTACTACAAGGTCCAACTCGAAGGGCTGAAAGCCGGCGACGCGATGATCCCGCTGCCGCCGAGCGGCAGCACCGTCCTGCTCGACACCTTCTCGCCGATCAGCTTCCTCGTCGACGGCGCCTACCAGGCCGTCAAGAAGGCGGTGACGGCCGCCGTCGGCGCACCGCCGATGGCGACGCCGGTGGAGCCGTTCGACCTCTGCTTCCCGAAATCGGGGGCGAGCGGCGCGGCGCCGGACCTCGTGTTCACGTTCCGGGGCGGCGCCGCCATGACGGTGCCGGCGACGAACTACCTGCTCGACTACAAGAACGGCACGGTGTGCCTCGCCATGCTGAGCTCGGCGCGGCTGAACTCGACGACGGAGCTGAGCTTGCTGGGAAGCTTGCAGCAGGAGAACATCCATTTCCTCTTCGACCTCGACAAGGAGACGCTCTCCTTCGAGCCTGCAGACTGCACTAAACTCTCCTAGCTAATCAATGGCTGCTGTGCTGCTACTTAATTACTTTCAGGAAGCAGGAGAGTGCAGGCTATATGTATGTGTACTTCTGAATAACGCAGCCATATATGCGGCATGAGCTGCACGCTGCTCATGTTGGTGAAAATAATACCCCCATTCTTATTATTCTGTGGCGATATATTCTGGACTACTTCGATTTCAATCTCTGTTCCATGTTTAATACTTTAATGGTTCATCAACCACTGTAGGAATTAGGATGCTCTCCTACAGTTTTTCTTTCAAAAAAAAATGTGGTTCATCAACCAAGTTTCGTCTTACAGCTTCAGAAACAAACTGCATGCCTCTTCAGTTATCTTAGCAAAACACAGAGAAATTAAATCAGACCGGTAGCTTCGAGTCGATCAATTGTTGGGAGGCATTGCTAAGAAATCTAATTAGTCAATAGTCATGGATTACGAGTTACGACGACTGAACTAATATACCAAATTAATCACCAAATATGACAAGTGGAACTCTGAAACAGCAACATTTATGCTTAATCCACCTTGCATTTCTGGATCACGTGCTGGAGACGACTTTTTCCACCAGAAGCCGCTTCACACGTACCACCACACTCGCACTAACAAATCAAATATTCGCTCCATTAAAAAATAAACAAATGTCGCATAAAATGTGAGAAATTCTGATAATACGAATCTGGATAGATTCTTAATTACTATAAATTTAAACAGACCAAATTTATAATAATGCTATTATGTATCACATCTTGTACTACGTTTATTTATTTTAAAATGAATGGGGTAGTAGATGAAGTAGACTAGACCAAGCATGAAGCCAGCAAATCAGGGTAAATGTGGTAAGGAAAATAGATCCTCTAACTTGCTATTCTCTAACTTTAAATGACTAATATATCCACAGCTCATGTGTGTCCAGGCTGCCCTTATCCTTTCTTTTTGGGCGCGTAACCGCCGAAAACCACATAAAATTCACCTCGAAAAATAGGACATTTTTCATTTAACTTGTTTCAATAATATTTATAATAAGCTTTTGTCAAATCTAAAACCTTTTGAACGGAACATTCTCATTTTATCTTTACGATACTTTTTTTACAATTGCACAGTACAACGCAGACACTCACAACGCACGCAAACCCTACCCTTATGAGCATCTTCGAAGACTAGGCCGGCAAATCCATCCTAGAGATTGATGAAGTCACCACAAGCGCCTCGCTGTCAACAGCAATCCATCCTTGAGATTGACGAAGTCACCACATGTCACGCCCCGAACTAGTACCGACCGGAACTAGCCCGTGACGCTCCAAATTAACCTGTTAATCGATACCAGTCCCAGGAAACAGTGCTGGTACCACAGGAAGACGGATTATCACAGCAACAGAGGTCTCTTTATTATAGAGTAGAGGTACAGTCATGTTGGGCTGCGGACAGATCCCGAGCTCACAACTGCATTACAAAAGGGAAACGGAAGCCAGGACTTGGACCAAACAACACAGGCGCGACTTGGGAACTAGGCCGAAACCCTAAAACTCATCGTAGCCGGCTTGCTCCTGGAAGAACTCCTCATCAGCAGGATCCGCTTCATCTTCTTCAGCAACTGGGGGGGGGATTATTTATATAGAGCAAGGGTGAGTACGGGAGTACTCAGCAAGCCATGGGAAATAAGTGTTTAATGCAGGCTTCAAGGAAAGGCTGTTGTTTTTACAATTGATTTTATTCGAACTCTTTTCTAAAAACAACTAAGTGAGTGCTTCTCAAACGACACGGATGAGACAGTGCGTCTCGTCCGGTCGGAGTATGTGCAATGTATCAGTCTTTAGAATTGTTCAAGATTGGCACCCGGCCAACAACTTTCAAACGGCCACCCGGGCCAACAACTTTCAAACGGCCACCCGGGCCTAGCTGATCCCATCAGCTGCAGATTTTTCAAACATCGAACCCCTTTCCATAACAGCAATCTCACAAGGCAGTAGTCAAACAAAACTACGCTAGGAATCACCTCACATCCGCCCATGACCGTGGGCACGGCTGTTCGAACAGTTTGTTAACCTCTACAGAGGGGGTACACTTTACCCACACGACATTACTAACCCGGATCACCCAGCCCGTGGGGATCAGCCACGTCGGGAGACCTCCAAGCTTTCATGACAAGGCATTTCGAAAGCCGACACAGGTTTACCATATGCCGACGAGAGGGGTCCCAGACCAACAACAGGTTAGGTCCCAGACCATACTGTGCCAGGAAGCCCAGGGGTCCTCCCCGACACCACCCCGGCGAATCCACATGTCTCTCGGCATCAAGGCTCCCCTGATAAGCTAGTTACTCAGCCAGGGGTGTCCCATTCCACCCATGTGGTCGTACTTGTCTTATGTTTGGATGAAATTCCAAGGAAACGGTCCTTAAGTGCGAGAGCGGAAAACCGTACACCCGGTACGTCCCCCGGTCCGCGGTTTTGGAAATTCATTTAGTTCGCAAGCACCGACCCAGGTGTCGGGTTTTCCAAGTCTTTTGTAAAACCCGAGTTTTACCCAAGAAGTTTTTTCAGATTTTAAGTTTGAAGGCGTCCGTCGATACTCGCACAGGGTGCACGAATATCGAGACGCAACTAGATGGTTACAAGGGGACACGATATAACAATTATCAAAGGAAGGATCAAATGCAACAAATTAGGTAGGTCCGCCAATCTGCCTTGCAGACGGGACAGCAGATTAAGTGCGATCCTATCAATGCATAATATTTTTCAAGCAACATAATTAAATTTCAAATATAGGCTCAAGATGTTCAAAGGTGGCTTGCCTTGCTCGAGATCTGGAGCTTGATCCTCGAAATCCTCGCACTGCGGGTCTTCGGGCTCCGAAACTACACGCGAAACGGGACAACTCAACAAACGGCGAAAAAAAATAAAGCCCTATTAATGACCTCTATGTATGCCATTAGATAGATCTCGAGATTTGAGGAATTTTGGAAGTTGAACGGAGTCAAACGGATTTACGGTTGGGAAGATATTGAATTTCTAAGATTATTGGATTTTTGGTCTAAAAGAAAAGGATTTAATTAAATCCTTTTTGAAAAAGAAAACAAAAGAAAGGAAAGAGGGAGGGAATATAGACTTTTCTCGGGCGGCTAGGGCGCGGCCCAAGAGAATTTGGGGCGGTCCGGCCGAGCTAAATGGGCCGGCCGGCCCAAGGCGGCCCAAGACGCGCGCGCGCGGGAGGGAGGAGAGAGAGAGCCGGTGGACCGGGCTTACCACGCGCGGTCCCGGGTGGGACCCGCTTGTCGGTGACACGGCTCACCGTGTGGAGCGAGCACGCGGCGTACGCGCGCGGGCGGGGGAGGGACGCGGTGCACGCGCGCGGTTCGCGGAGGAACGGTTGCGGTGGGCCCACGCGCAGCCTCACGGCTCGTGGTGGAACGCGCGCACGGGAGGGGCTGACCGGGGTCGGCCCGACCCGATCTCGGCCGAGCTGGCGCCGACGTGGCGTCTACGTGGCGCCTACGTGGCTGCCACGCGGGCCGGCGGGAGGAAGACGAAGGCGCCGGCCGCGAATGGACGGCGGGCGGCGGCGGTTTCTCCGGGGCGCCTTGCGACGATGAGGGGCGACGGGGCGTACACCGGGATGACGAGGAAGAAAGAGACGGAGCGAGCCAACGGCTTGGATTCGCCGGAGGGAGTCCGTCGGCGGCGGATTTCGGCGGCGGCAACCGGCGGAGAGCAAAAGGGGGAAACGGCGACGAGGTCACGAGGGGCCAATTCCCGGCGGTGAGAACATCTACGCGGCTACGGGAATCCGTTGCTAGCGTCGGATTGGGCGGAGCTACGCCGAGCGAGGCCGGCGACGAGCGGGTGCTACGGAGCACGGGCGGCGACGGCGGCGAGCACACTGCGAGCGGCGGCAACGGTCGGGGCGGCGCCGGCTAGCTACGGGGAGGCTACTCGAGCTACTACCGAAAACTAAGGGGGGGAGATGGAGCGAGGAGGGAGAACGGAGGGAGGCACTACCGAGATGAGGAGGGGCGCTGTGACGAGAGGCCGACGGCGCGGGAGTAATCTCTCCGGCCTCGGGTCGGGGAAGAGGAGGAAGACGAGCGCCCGGAGTCCCCTTCCGCGTCCACGAACGCACCGGATTTCCCGACGCTTGGCGATGAACGGCGGAGGCGAGACAGAGCTCGGAAGGCGGCGACAATGGCGATGGGAGGGAGAAGAGAGGGAGGGCGCCCGGGGCTTTAAGGGCGGCAATGTCGGTTTGGAACCGACTTGGGCGGTCAAGGCGCGAGCTGGCGCTCGGCGCTCGCGTCCAATCGGCGACAGGGCGGAGGGAGGATGACGCCGGCGGGAGGAAGAAGGGGAAAAGGAGGGAGAGAAAGGGGGCTCGTCCCTTTCTTCTTTGGGAAAAAGGAGGGGAGCGGGGGCGTCGCGGCAGAGGGAGGAGGGCTCTGCCTCCGTCCCTTGGCGGCTTGCGCGCGGAGTAGCGGGGCCGAGGCGATGACGACGGCGATGACGGCGGGGCGGTTTGGAGCGGCGCGACGACACGGGCGACAGGCGCGGGCTGGCGCGGCAGAGGGTGACGGCGGCGGCGACCAGACGGTCGGCCACTCGGCACGCGCGCGCGGCTTGCAACGGGGGGCGCGGCGGATGGAGTGGCGCGGCTCGGGCACGCGCGCTAGCTGCGGGGCCAAGCGGCTGCAGGCGCGGCAGGGCAGCGGGGCCGGGCGGCGCAGACGCGACGCGGGCGAGGACCACGCGGGCGCGCGCGCGAACGACGCGCGGGGAGCGGCAGCGAGGGAGCGGAAAGGAGGGGCTCGGCTCGGCGCGGGCGGCTCGCGCGCTCACGCGCGGGCAGAGCGAAGGGGGAGGGAGGCGCTCGGCGCGGCGGCTCACGCACGCGCGGACAGAGCGGAGGGAGCGGAGGAGGGGCGCTCGGCGCGGCTCGCGCGCTCACGCACGCAGCGCGGGCGGAGCGGGGCGGAGGGAGAGGAGGGAGAGAGAGCGAGAGAGAAAGGGAGAGAGCGCCGGGAGGGAGGGGGAGATGGGCCGAGAGAAATCCGGCCCATCGACCCCAGGGGAGGCAAAATAGACTTTTGCGGAGGAATTGATTTAGGAAGGATTTGGATTCGGAATTGAACTCGACGATAGATCGGGGATTGAGATCTTGATATGGCACGGACACTAGACGACAATCAAAGAAACAAATTTCGCAGTTAGGGTTTTTAAGAGATAATTTTCCCGCTAGGCGCCACGACGGAACGGGCGCTACACCACAGGCGTCTCACTGTTGACGGGTACGTCTCCTACTACTGAAAGCACAAAGCTGTTAAACCCTAGAAAATTCGCTCTCAAGGGGAGTCGAACCCAGGACCTAAGGTGCTATTGAGACTCTTGTAACCACTAGGCTACAGACCCTTTCGCCATTTTGTCTTTGCAATACTAATCCAATATGTCTAATACAATGGCATGATAAGAAGCCGTTGATATATCTATCACCCGCCGCAATACGGTAAATATTAAAAGCTATAGCCTAGCCATGGTCAAAGGTACGGTTGGCGACATGGCTGAAAGGTTTATTTAAGAAAAAAAATTCTAAAGCTATATACAGTTTTTACTATAGAACGGTTTAAACCGAAGAAAACATTATCCATTCGGATGTAACAACATCAGTGATGTCTGAATGATACTTATATGTATAATTAAACCTTTATAGTCTGAATGACACCGGTATTTTTTAGAGAAGAATGACACCAATATGGTGCAGTTGTTGTCAATGGCTTTTGAGATAGAATGTCCTAGCTACAGGGTCGAGGCGTGACCTATACGAACAGGTGGTCAGAAATGTTAAAGAAAACTTCTGCTACGTAGCCAACCAAAAGTTGCCATGTTGCGCGTTCAACACATATTCTATAGAGATCCATGTGACGACTACGTACATGATAGGGTTTACCATCCGATGTAATCCGGACTTCCCTAACCAGGTCGAAAACACAAATTGCTAGTTTTTTTTTGTTAATTAAAAAATCAAACTGAATTTTAAATTTTCAGAAGCTAGATTTATCCATGTTTTTTGTTTTTATCGATTTATCAATGGTTACTGTAAAATCCAAAGACACCGCTCATGAACGGTTTTTATTCTCACTATCAGAATTGTGAACCCAACCTTGCTCCATGAAGGCTCAAGTGGTTCATTCAATTTCACTGTCATTTCGTGCCCACTAATCCTCGACGAGTCTCTCTCGCGTACCAATTAAACGATGAGGCGTTGACATCCGTTGCTTTGTTTTTATTTTCAGTTATTCAGTTACTACGTACAACATTACAGTGTTAATAATTAACCCATCTTAATTACTCCTGGTTTAGTGCATGCAGCCAATCATGTGCAGCTACGCTTCCTATATAAACCCTACCTCTCGACTTCGATACCATGCATATTACCATACTCATTAGCTCGAGACAGTAATTAATCATCATCATAATATATAATGGGAAGGCTAGTTGTAACAGTACTGTTCGTGTTGTGCTCGATCTCTCTGACGACGACGTGCGCCGCGGCGCTTCGCGGGCACGATCTCCGGCGAGCCATGCGCGGCCGCCTCCTCGCCGACGGCGGCGGCGCGGTCGTGCCGCTCCACTGGTCCCGCGAGCTCTACAACGTGGCGAGCTTCACCATCGGCACGCCGCCGCAGCCCGCGTCGGCGTTCATCGACGTCGGCGGGCTGCTCGTCTGGACGCAGTGCTCGCAGTGCAGCAGCAGCAGCTGCTTCAACCAGGAGCTCCCGCCGTTCGACCCGACCAAGTCGTCCACCTACCGGCCGGAGCCGTGCGGCACCGCCCTCTGCGAGTTCTTCCCGGCGAGCATCCGCAACTGCTCCGGCGACGTGTGCGCCTACGAGGCGAGCACCCAGCTGTTCGAGCACACCTCCGGGAAGATCGGCACCGACGCCGTCGCCATCGGCACGGCCACGGCGGCGAGCGTCGCCTTCGGGTGCGTCATGGCGAGCGACATCAAGCTCATGGACGGCGGCCCTTCCGGATTCGTCGGGCTAGCGAGGACGCCGCTGTCTCTCGTCGCGCAGATGAACGTCACCGCGTTCTCGCACTGCCTGGCGCCGCACGACGGCGGCGGCGGGAAGAACAGCCGGCTGTTCCTCGGCGCCGCCGCGAAGCTTGCCGGCGGCGGCAAGAGCGCCGCCATGACGACGCCGTTCGTCAAGAGCTCTCCCGACGACATCAAGAGCCTCTATTACCTGATCAATTTGGAAGGGATAAAAGCCGGCGACGAGGCGATCATCACGGTGCCCCAGAGCGGCCGCACCGTCCTACTTCAGACCTTCTCGCCGGTCAGCTTCCTGGTCGACGGCGTGTACCAGGACCTCAAGAAGGCGGTGACGGCCGCCGTCGGCGGGCCGACGGCGACGCCGCCGGAGCAATTCCAATCTATATTCGACCTTTGCTTCAAGAGAGGAGGGGTCAGCGGAGCCCCGGACGTCGTGCTCACGTTCCAGGGCGCCGCCGCGTTGACGGTGCCGCCGACGAACTATCTGCTCGACGTCGGGGACGACACGGTGTGCGTGGCGATCGCGAGCTCGGCGAGGCTGAACTCGACGGAGGTGGCAGGGATGAGCATCCTGGGAGGCTTGCAGCAGCAGAACGTCCACTTCCTCTACGACCTGGAGAAGGAGACGCTCTCCTTCGAAGCTGCAGACTGCAGCTCACTGTCTCCTAATTAATTCATGGCAATGGCCGCTGCTGCTGCTTCCTTCAGGAAGCAGTTCTTGCTTAGATTTGCAGGTGTGCATACTTATATTGTCAGAATAACACAACCAGGCGGCATGCTTTGCTCTCAACTTCAGTAGCATCGTGCTCTTCCGCTTACGTGCTTGTATCCTAATCTGATTTTATGTCAGATTTATGCTAGGTAGTCTAAATAATATTCGGTGGTGATTTTTTTTTCGAAATCCAATCTTTATTCCATGTCTTACTCCCTCCGTCATGAAAAAAAACGAATCTAGTACTGGATATAACATATTATAGTACAACGAATATAGACATATTCTAATACTGTATGTCCAGATTCGTAGTACTAGAATGTGTCATATTCGGTATTGTATTAGGTTGGTTTTTTATGCGACAGAGGGAGAGGGAGTATGGTTTATTAACAGTATTTGATCTTTGTGACTCTGTCCAACACGGCTGTCTATGTCAGCAGGTATTGTACGACATGTACCAACTCAGCAAGTTTTATACAATTATAAATATTAGCAAGTTTTATACAAATAAAACATATGCCATACCAGTAGAGTGCAGAGAGATAAGTATTTGAACTTCAGTCAAAATGCATATATAAACATACTGCCTCTGGTTTTTTAATGGACGTTGATTTTTAAATATTTAACCATTTGTTTTATTTAGAAAAAGTGTAATATGCTAAAATACAAGTCATGTTTAAATTTTTTAATGTTAAAATATGTGTCACCAAAATAAATAATATTTATATAAATTTTTTGAAGAGGACAGATGGTTACTCACTCCGTCCATAAATATAAGGTGTTATGTCTAAAATAGCACAAATTAAGAAAGAGTAACTAGTACTAGTACGTCTATGTAGCTTGAAAATAAGTATTTCATCCGTCCTATATTAGTTGCCGTGGTTATTTAGTATATGTTAAGGTTTGAGAAAAAAGACTTTAGTACCCCTCATTAAATTTTGTATGTTTAGATGTAGGAGGGTGGTTGAGAGTAAAAAGAAATAAATTTGAATTAAAAGTGATTGATGAGACAAGTAGTATTCCATTGTGACAAGTATTTTGGGACAAAGTTTGAATTCTAAAGAGACAAGTAATTTGGGACGGAAGGAGTACATTATTGACACAATAAACAAAGTAGTACTCCCTCCGTTTCAGCATTTCCCACATTCATATTGATGTTAATGAATCTAGATAACATCAATATGTATGTGGGAAATGCTAGAATGACTTACATTGTGAAACGGAGGAAGTAGTACACTAGTACTAGTACGTTCTCAGTAGTACGCCATCCGTCCCAAAATGTAAGTACTTTTGGACTCCGATACGATTTCCAAATTGCTACTTTAACCAACATTATCCACAAAAATAAAACATTTTGAATAAAAAGAGTTGTATATTATTATAGTTTGTTTAAGGATAAATCTAGTAACATCAATTTTACATGATTTATCTTTTTTATTATTTTGCTATTAATAGTCAAAGTTAAAAATGTTTGACTTGTTACTATTCTAAAACTACTTATATTTTAAAACGGAGGGAGTATCTTTTTTTTCCTTTTTGAAATGGACCGTGCGAAGTAGTACGAGTGCTAGACATTCTTTGTATTTCTTTAGTTCTGATAAATTAGCATCACATAGGTTAATCATGGATTAATTAGGCTTAATAGATTCATCTCGTGAATTAGTCCAGGGTTATGGAATGGGTTTTGTCATTAGTCTACGTTTAATACTTCTAATTAGTGTTCTAATATCAGATGTGACAGGGACTAAAATTTAGTCCATGATCTAAGGCTGTGTTTAGATCCAAAGTTTGGATCCAAACTTCAGTCCTTTTCAATCACATCAACCTGTCATACACATAACTTTTCAGTCACATCATATCCAATTTCAACCAAAATCCAAACTTTGCGCTGAACAAAACACAGCCTAAATAGGGCCTGAGTGATGGATGGTGGAGGCTGACAGGCTGTGCTTGCTTGCTTCGGGAGGAGACAAATCCACTATTGTCCCTGGACATACCCAGGGAATAAAATCCCTCGTAGTACTTCTGGACAGAGGGAGTAAATGTCATAAGTAAAGAGTCAACAATATTATGTACTTAAAAAAAAGAGTAATTAATTACATACAGTTACTGAGTTAAGCTTGGGCTGTGTAAGTCCGGTTTGGAGCATATATTCTGCTCAACCACAGTTCCAAAGTTAAAACCTCCCCCAGTTTGTAATTGTAGCTACTAGTTTGTCATATTCCAAATATTCCTATGGAGCAATTGCCATTATGCAGGCTGGTCATGACATATCTAACCTGCTCCATTACAGACGAAGGTATAGGTTACATTTCGACAACATCCCATTCTTAATGTTCTGCCCAAATAGAGAAATAATTCTGGTAGTATGTTATTATGTGAATAGATAGAAATACGTTCACATTGCCATTTCATTCAGTGCCCACTATAGATCACGAGTTCACGACTTTAACAGAGATGCAAACCATTTTTATTATTAAAAAATAATCTTGCATGCGTCTCTATCTCACTTCAACAAAATGTCCGACACAATGAGGCGTTGACATCAGTTTTATTCAGTTACGGTTGGTGTCGAACTGTCAATATCTTAATTAATTTCTCCCGGTTATGCTGATGCACGCACACCCAATCCGCTGCGCTGCATCCCTGCAGCATCGATCTAATTTTCCCTATATAAACCATAGCTGCACATCTCTTCGATCAAAATCACGATCAAACTCATCCTTGCGCTCTTGAAACAGCAGTTAAAATCACGATCATTAGCTCGCTGATTGATAACGAACAGTGGTCGTAATCATGGGTAGGCTAGTGACAACACTGCTCGTGCTGTGCTTGATCCCGCCGACGATGTGTTCACTCGCGGCGGCGCACGACGACCTCCGGCGAGGCCTAGAGCAAGCCACGCGCGGCCGCCTCCTCGCCGACGCGACGCCGGCGGGAGGCGCGGCCGTCGTGCCCATCCGGTGGTCCCCGCCGTACTACGTGGCGAACTTCACCATCGGCACGCCGCCGCAGCCCGCGTCGGCGATCGTCGACGTCGCCGGAGAGCTCGTCTGGACGCAGTGCTCGGCGTGCCGCCGCTGCTTCAAGCAGGACCTGCCCGTGTTCGTCCCGAACGCGTCGTCCACCTTCAAGCCGGAGCCGTGCGGCACCGCCGTCTGCGAGTCCATCCCGACGCGCAGCTGCTCCGGCGACGTGTGCTCCTACAAGGGGCCGCCCACCCAGCTGCGCGGGAACACCTCCGGGTTCGCCGCCACCGACACGTTCGCCATCGGGACGGCCACGGTGAGGCTCGCCTTCGGGTGCGTCGTGGCGAGCGACATCGACACCATGGACGGGCCTTCCGGGTTCATCGGTCTAGGGAGGACGCCATGGTCGCTCGTCGCGCAGATGAAGCTCACCAGGTTCTCCTACTGCCTCTCGCCACGCAACACCGGGAAGAGCAGCCGGCTGTTCCTCGGCTCCTCCGCCAAACTGGCCGGCGGCGAGAGCACCTCGACGGCGCCGTTCATCAAGACCTCGCCCGACGATGACAGCCACCACTACTACCTGCTCAGCCTGGACGCCATTAGAGCCGGCAACACGACGATCGCCACGGCTCAGAGCGGCGGCATCCTCGTGATGCACACCGTCTCGCCGTTCAGCCTCCTGGTCGACAGCGCGTACAGGGCCTTCAAGAAGGCGGTGACGGAGGCCGTCGGCGGCGCGGCCGCGCCGCCGATGGCGACGCCGCCGCAGCCGTTCGACCTCTGCTTCAAGAAGGCGGCGGGGTTCAGCCGCGCCACCGCCCCGGACCTGGTGTTCACGTTCCAGGGCGCCGCCGCGTTGACGGTGCCGCCGGCGAAGTACCTGATCGACGTCGGCGAGGAGAAGGACACGGCGTGCGCGGCGATCCTGAGCATGGCGTGGCTGAACAGGACGGGGTTGGAAGGGGTGAGCGTCCTGGGAAGCTTGCAGCAGGAGGACGTCCATTTCCTCTACGATCTCAAGAAGGAGACGCTCTCCTTCGAACCTGCGGATTGCAGCTCACTCCCTTAGTTAATGAGTAAATCTGGAAGTATAATTTTTAATCGTGATGACGTAGATAAATCTCAGACGTCTATTTTTCGATCCAACGATAGTGTGTATATATATATATATATATATATATATATATATATATATATATATATATATATATATATATATATATATATATATATATATATATATATATATATATATATATATACCTCATATGGGGCACCATGGTATCAAATGCAAAAAATCACTCAAATTTTTTAAAATTTTCAAATTATGAGTATATACCTAGTTATAATAATTCGATTCATACCTATACCTATCAACAAAACAACTCAAATTTAACTTTATTTCACAATCCATGATTACATACCTAACTAAATATATGTATGGATGCTATATACCTAGAATCAAAATCTAACAAAAACAAGTTCAAATTCAGTTCAAACTTGCTTTGAACTAGTTAGTAAAGTGGTTAATGTTAATACCTAAGTAATTGAAAAAGATTCATACTCATTTGAATTGGGTATATACTCAATTTCAACAATGGTGCCCGGGCACCATGGAGCACCAAACAAATTTACTATATTTCACCGTATATTTTCCCAAGTAACGCAGCTAGCTAGGCAGCATGTGTGTGCTGCGACATGCTTTGCTTTGCTCTCCGAGTGTCAACGCATTTTCCTTCGTGAACCTGCGTGCTTGTATCCTAGGGTGATATGTCAGTTCTATGTTAGTGCAACAAATAATATATTTAGTCGTGATCTGGACTTGATTTAATTCCATCGATCATTCACTTGATCATTTCACTTGATCAAGTGAATTCACTTGATCATTTCCATATGTAATATGTTTTATCTCCTTCCTCTTATTAGTGATGGTAAAATTAATTGCTCTATTAACATATGGTTACAACTTTAGAAGCAGATTGCTCATTCAGTTATCCTGCTAAACCACAGTTCCAAAATTAAATCATTTTCTCCAGCTCGCAGCTAGTATTGGTAAGAGGTGAAAATGGTGCGAATATTTTCCAACCACCCGCCCGACTCGAAGCTAGCGAGAGGAATATGGAAGAAAAAATAGAATATCCGATACTATCCAAGTTCGAATCCAAATCCGTTAGAAAGTATGGGTTAGGATACGGAAAGACATGTATCCGCCCGTATGTTCTATAATATAAAATATGTATGAAAATCTATTATAAATGTACCTATAAACATGATAAAAGATTGTTAATCCCTATTTTACGAGATCTCACATGTAATATTATATATTTTTTCTCTTGATGTATCTCTTTTAATACTTTAATTAATTTATTATATTTAATATTTATGAATTAGATATATAAATAGATATCCGTTTCCGAATCCGGTTCGAAGGAAATAATAGATAAGCGATATGTTATACGGTAATACCCGTACTCGGCTCCGAACTTAAAAAAAATAGGTTAGGATATGGGAATGTCATAACCCGACCGTACCCGTCCGTTTTCACATACTAGTTTCTCCTGTTCCTATGGGAGCAATCTTCATTATGCAGGCTGCTCATGAGATGGCAAACCTGCTCCATTATAGATTAAGGTATGCGTTACACTTTGAATATAGCCCATTCTGCTCCTGATTGGAATTTGTATTTTGTAATCTTGCCTTGATAAAGTCCTTGGTGTGAAATTATGCTATCTTTAGCTTATTTTTACTTTACTGACGCAGATTCCACATGCACAATGATAGGTGGGAAATACATGGGAGCAAATTAAGATGGTATTTTGATGTTCTTCAAAAGAGAAGGGTAGGTGGGGAGTGAGGAGAGATAGGTGTGTGGGTTAGGGTTTATAGATGCAACTTTTCAGTTAAAAAATTAACAGATGTTTCACACATTTTCAGTTAACTGATGAATATCTAGTCCCAACTTTATAAGTCGTTTGGTGTAAATTATACAATATCAGAACTCTTTGTATATTATGACAACAACACTCTCTCACCCCCTAACACAATGGCTTGGCAACAACCATGGCATGTCAAGAAGCCGCTATTACTTTTAGAAACATAGTACTAACGCATATGCTATGCTCTTTTACACGCGCTTGCGTTCATCCTTACGAACGAACACACGTACACTCTATACATATGAGAACTCCTGATATGCAATTTCGGTAATTTCGAACCCCACCAGCAAGGCAATATCTCAGCCAAAATTTTTTGTATTTCTCTCTTTTTTTGTGTGAATTTGATCAAAATTTATTCAGGTTTAGTCAAATTATGTTAAAATTTCATATAATTTTGGTGCGAAAATCCCAAAATTTTAGAAATTTTGGTGCTACCGAAATTTTGAGGAAAATCAAAACTAAAACTTTAGATACGCTGAACCGATATATCTTAAGATGGTAAGTGTCACACCCTGAAGTTCTTCTCCCAAGCCTAAATTAATTAATAAATGGCCTCGAGAAATTACCTGTGTAAAAGCAAGAGAGAAACCCTAATTAAATTAATGAAAATAATCATCGGAAATGGCATGCGGAATTTTCCTTGAGTTCTCCATGTCAAAATATGCTAACAAGATTTTTAGTGGAATTTTCAGAGCTCTAAAAATAATTTTAACCAATTAAAAATGAGCACAAGCATTATTTAAATCCCTGGAAATTCTTTTTCCCCTCCCTTCTCCTAATGGGCCGCCGGCCCATTCTTTCTCCCTTCCCCTCCCCGCTGGGCCGGCCGAAGGCCACGGCCCAGCTGAGCCGCGCACCTCCTCTCTCTCCCGGGGTCGCCGACAGGTAGGGCCCACCTGTCGGGCCCGTCCCCAACCTCCAGCCGGAGGAGGAGGTTGGCCTCCCCAACCACTGCCCCCGCCTCTCCCGCCTCCCCGCACCACGTCGGCCACGCCCGCGCGTGCGCCCGCCTTCCCCGCGCCCGTCAACCCCCTCTCCCGCTCGCCCACGCCCACGAGATGGCCGGGATTCGAATTTCGAAACCCGCCTCTCTCTCCTCTCCCACTCTCCCACGTCGGCCGGCGATTCCTGCCTCTCCCGGCCACGTCCAAGCCCCCTCTTCCCCTATTTAAGCACCACCGCCCCTCCCTCTCCCTTTTTCCCCATTTCGCAGAGCCTCCTCATGCTCTCCTCCGCCCTAGCGCCGCTGCCCTCCTCTCCGCCGCCGCCGCCGCCTCTCCGGTCGCCGCTAGCCGCCGCGCCGAGCCGCGTCGTCGATGCCGTCGCGTTCGCCGTTGTGCGGGTCGCCTCGTCCACCCCTCCTCCGTCGGAATCCGCCGCCGGAACCCCTCCTCTGTCGCGCGCCGGTGAGCTTCGCCATGGCCGCCGCCTTCAGCCGGCGTTCCCACCCTCGATGGTCTCTCTCTTCCTCTCTAACTTTCCCCATTGTGTTCCTTAGGTGACCCCGGAGCTCGTCCCTTCGTCGTCATCGCCCTCCGTCGCTCGCCGTCGTCAGTCGTCGTCGGTGCGGCCCCTCCTCCCCTTCCTCTCTCTCTCCCGCGCCGCCGCCTAGCCTCTTAGCCGCCGTTAGCGCCACCCATGTCGCCGTCGCGTCGCCGCCGCTCTCCACTGCCAGCCGCTCGCCACCGCTGCGCCGGTGCCGCGCCGCTGCGCGCCATGGCCGCCGGGCCGGCTTGAGCCAAGCCCGTGCGCACCGGCCGCGCGCACCCGCCGCCGTTCGATCTACCCGAGGGTAGATCGGGGCCGTCCGCCTCGCCGCCCACGTGGCTGCCGCGTGGCCGCCACGTCGGCGCCACGTGGTAGACCCTCCTCCCTGGTCCCGTGGGTTTGGTCCACCATGAGCCGGCACCCCGAGCCACTGCCATGTGGGGCCCGCATGTCGGCGCCGCCCCTCTCTCTCCAGGGTTTAATTTTTGCGCAATAAATCATTTAAGGGTTTTCTGTTTATAGTAAAAACACAGTGAATCTTCTAAAATTCATAGAAAATTCATCTGTGCTCCGTTTAAGCCCATTCAAGTCTCAGTAAATCAAGAAAAATGCAAATAACCCATTAAAATGGTTTTGTTCTCTGTTTCTGTAGTCTCATAGCCTGTTTGTATTGTTTACTTTGTATGTCGTTTAGATTCCGGCTCTCCCGATGCTCCGGTGTACTTTGAGATAGTCGCCGAGGTTCCACCAGCAGCAGAGTAAGGCAAGTCATGCTTGTCACTTGAACATGTTGATCCTATATTGCAAATGCTCTATCGTTTTCCTTTAAATACTGCATTGTTTTTCAATGTTACCATGGGATATTTATCTACTGTCTCAGCCATGTTATTTATTACCTCGTTCCTTTGTTATCTTGGGGTTATAACATGATTAGACGTTGGATTAGGAATTGCTTAGCCATGCTTAGCTCAACTAGCACACAATGGAGGAATCACATTAATGCATAGACTTCAGGTTCTAGTATTGTTGTTGGTTTAGTGCCACCACTCTGGTGATGGTTAATTAAAATATATTAAATGGTGGGCTGTGGGTGCATGGTATTGATGGTCGCATCCATGGCAGTTAAGGACCGATTCGCGGGAAACCCTGGAAGAATTCCTCGTACTTACCACAAGCCAGCGTGGGCAACGGCTGGGCTTGTAGTGTAGCTTTCCTCTAGCTGACGCATCCAGGCAAGGGTGAGCGTGATGGAGTTCGGATGGGCCCTGCGACGGCCTATGCGGCTTTCGGATTCACCTAAGCACGAGAGGGGACTGCCCACTGCCTTGCGAGGAGTGGGGGTGAAACCTGAGGTGTGGTGTGTTTGGTTAGAGGGGGTTATGCGAAGGGTCCTGTCACGGCCTCTTTCCGGTATGTCATGGTGGCATGTTGGCGCACGGGAACGTGTCGTGGGGTTGTGTCTTGTGGGTACAGTTGTACACCTTTGATCAGAGTAAAACTATTCGAATAGCCGTGCCCGCAGTTATAGGCGGTCAACCAGATTCACCGTGATTAGTCTCACCCTAATTTAGTCTGATGGAATTGATTAGTTCAGGTGGATGGTTGGGCCTGTTGCAACGTGGTGTAGCGTTGGACAGTGGATGGTTAATATTGATTAATTATTACAAATGTTTTACTGCCTTCAACTACTGTTTATAAATGCCGCTTTGTGCAAATGAACCACTCTAGCTATCATTTGGTTATATCCTGCATCATACCCTCCGTTCCGGTATGACTTGCTGAGTACAATGGGTAGTACTCAGTTTTGCTCTACTTTTCCCCAACCCCAGAGTTTGAGTATGCGTCAGATGGTGGCTATTCCGAGGAGTAGGCTTCGTCCGTGCCGTTGAGGATGCCTGTGGAGTGGTGTTCCCGCTGCAATCCAAGTCAAGGCTTAGCTCCAGTTATCTTTTATATTTCCGCTGCATTTATGTAAGACTTTTATAATGTTTGTAAGACGTGGATCTGTATGTCAACTTTGTTGTTTGTTTACCCTGGCTGATCCTGGACAGGGATTTTAATGCACATTCTGCTTGGAATTCTATTCGGAAATTTATGGGCGCGACAGTAATTAAGTCACCATGACTACCTTCGTTATTGAATGGGGTATCGCCTATTACATTTACTACCTGCATAAGGTAGAAAACCGTTGCTACACTACTGTCAAACACCATGGCCTGCGACGTGGCTAAAAGGTTTAGTTAGAAAGAAAAAGTATATTAGAGGTTATAAATTTCTATTAAGAACGTACCTAAGACAGCTTCACCTATGGAGCCAACCCAAAGTAGCCACGTTGCTGACGACTCAAGTCAAGTGGATCATCAATTCCACTGTATAATTTCTTCATTCAATTCGACGAACACACGTCTCTATCTTGCATATACCGAGAGGTCCAAAACGATGAGGCGTTGACATCATCAGTTAATGACTTAATTCGGTCACATTATATATAGTGTCAACATCTTGCACTAGCACATAAACAATTTTTTGAGATGGTCACGAAAATCAAATTTTCACGTACGAACGCTTAAGCCGGCCGTCTACGACAATAAAAAATCAAACCCCACCCCAAAACCCTAGATCCGCCGCCATCTGGTCGCCGTTGTCACTCGAAACCCTAGCCTGCTGCTTCCGCCCAAGTTATCGTCGTTGAGGTCGTTGTCGTTGCGGGGGAGGGCGGCTGTCGCCGGATCGGCGCGGGGGAGAGCCGTCGCCGGATCCGTGCGGGGAATGGTCGCCGCCCACCCGAGCCCTCCATCACTGGAGCTTGCGCCGGATTCGTGCGGGAGAGCATGGGGGAGGGTGGAGGGGGCCGCTGTGCGCCATCACCTACGCCCGCCGCTAGTACCCGTTGTTGGTAGGGAGGAGATGGGAGAGGAGGAGCGGGAGTGGGAATGGGGAGAGAGAGGAAGGGAGAATATAAAAAGAGTTGTAAGAGGAGGGATTTTCGCATATGGGTCACTTAAGTAACTGTATTAAAAATGGGGTCGATTTTTTAGATGCGGACCCTTCTAAACCGCTTGCAACCTATGGAGGTGCTCGTCCAGAAAAAATAAGTGTTAATTAGTTTGTCCTGGTTATGCATGCAGCCAATCAGCTGCATCAATTGTCCCTATATAAAGCCTACCTTACCTCTCGACATCGATCATAATCACGAACACTAATCAGCCTTCCTCTTGAAACAGCAATTATAATCACGATCATTAGCTCGCTGATTGATAACTAACAGTGGTCATAATCATGGGAAGGCTAGTGACAACACTGCTCGTGCTGTGCTTGATCTACGTGACGACATGTTCGCTCTCGACGCGCACGGCGGCGTTCCGCGCGCACGACCTCCGGCGAGGTCTAGAGCAAGCCATGCGCGGCCGCCTCCTCGCCGACGCGACGCCGGCAGGAGGCTCGGCCGTGCCCATCCACTGGTCCAGACACCTCTACAACGTGGCGAACTTCACCATCGGCACGCCGCCGCAGCCCGCGTCGGCGATCATCGACGTCGCCGGTGAGCTCGTCTGGACGCAGTGCTCGATGTGCAGCCGCTGCTTCAAGCAGGACCTGCCCCTGTTCGTCCCGAACGCGTCGTCCACCTTCCGGCCGGAGCCGTGCGGCACCGACGCCTGCAAGTCCATCCCGACGAGCAACTGCTCCAGCAACATGTGCACCTACGAGGGCACCATCAACAGCAAGCTGGGTGGGCACACCTTGGGCATAGTCGCCACCGACACGTTCGCCATCGGGACGGCGACGGCGAGCCTCGGCTTCGGGTGCGTCGTGGCGAGCGGCATCGACACCATGGGTGGACCTTCCGGTCTCATCGGGCTAGGGAGGGCGCCGTCGTCGCTCGTCTCACAGATGAACATCACAAAGTTCTCGTACTGCCTGACGCCCCACGACTCCGGGAAGAACAGCCGGCTGCTCCTCGGCTCCTCCGCCAAACTGGCCGGCGGCGGCAACAGCACCACGACGCCGTTCGTCAAGACCTCGCCCGGCGACGACATGAGCCAATATTACCCGATACAATTGGACGGGATAAAAGCCGGCGACGCGGCAATCGCGCTGCCGCCGAGCGGCAACACCGTCCTTGTCCAGACCTTGGCGCCGATGAGCTTCCTGGTGGACAGTGCGTACCAGGCCCTCAAGAAGGAGGTGACGAAGGCCGTCGGCGCTGCGCCGACGGCGACGCCGTTGCAGCCTTTCGACCTTTGCTTCCCGAAGGCGGGGCTCAGCAACGCCAGCGCGCCGGACCTGGTGTTCACGTTCCAGCAGGGCGCCGCCGCGTTGACGGTTCCGCCGCCGAAGTACCTGATCGACGTCGGCGAGGAGAAGGGCACGGTGTGCATGGCGATCCTGAGCACGTCGTGGCTGAACACGACGGCGTTGGACGAGAACCTCAACATCCTGGGTAGCTTGCAGCAGGAGAACACGCACTTCCTCTTGGATCTGGAGAAGAAGACGCTCTCCTTCGAACCTGCAGACTGCAGCTCACTTATCTCCTAATCGATGGCTTCTTGATGGAAGCTGTTCTTGCCTTAGCAGCTTAGCTAGCTTTGCTATTCAAGCTTCCATATTTGTGTCATTGTGTGTGTGTGTGTGTGCAAGTGTGCGTGTTCATAGATAACGCAGCCAGGCGCCCAGGTGGCATGAGCTGCAGCATACTTTTCTTTGCTCTCCAGTGTGGGTAGCGTCGATCTACCATTTTCTACTTCCTGAATCTATAGTATAGGCTATACGTGCTTGTGTTGGAACGAGATCCTCTGTAATACTGAGACTGACATGTGGCCCCAGTTACGCAAGGCCCACATGTCAGCTGCTTCTATTACAGGGGAAACTATTTTGATCCCTCGAGAAGATGTCCACTCATTATTTGCATGCCACTAAATGGTTACGAAAGAATTTGAAAAAATTTAAGAAGATGTATTAACATATGATATAACACTAAAATATGTAAGTTCAAATTCAACTTCTACATCTTGTAACGAAAAAAACAGTATATAAACAATCAGTATTACAGCTTCTTAAACAGATTGCTCATTCAGTTATCTGCTCAAACAGTTCCAAAATTATTAAATCATTTCCCTCTATTTGTATCTGCTATTAGTTTCTCTTGTTCCTATGGAGCAATCGACAATCGTCATTATACTGGCTGGTCATGAGATGGCAAACCTGCTCCACTATACATGAAGGTATAAGTTAATACTATAGCCACAGTATTCTCCTCCTAATTGGAATCTACTCCGTAAACTTGCCTTCATAGACTCCATGATGTGAAGTTCTGTTCTCTTTTGCTTATTTTACTTTACTACGCCGATTCCACATGCACAAGGATAGGTGGGAAATAGTGAGTGGATTCTATACTCTCGATGGAACATCCTCTCGTTATTTGTATGTCATCTAAATGGTTATAAAAAAATCTGAAAAAATTCAACAAGATATATTAATATATGATAAATCATTCCACACAAACATTCAAGTTAAAATTTAACTTCTGCATGTTGCAACGAAAAACACAATTAAATTTGTTTTTTTTTTGCAACTTGTATAAGTTCAACTTGACCTTACATGTTCATAAAGTAAGTTATCACATATTAATCTATCTTGTTGAATATTTTTAAATTCTTTTCATAACCGTTTGGATGACATGCAAGCTCGAGAGTTTTTGTTTCCCGTGGGAAATACACTAGAGCAAAGATGGTGTTTTGATGTTCTTCAAGGAAAGAAATATACTTCAGTTTTCGGTGTCCTGGGGCCACCAGAATTAGGACTTACAAAATAAAATAGGAGAAAAGTCAATTCGTAAGCATTGCATGCACCAAACCTTTTCATAGCAGCTCCAACTTCTAAATCTAACTTTAGGAGTGGAGTTTGGCGTGGAGCTATAGAGCGGCCCAACCTGTTCCCCCCCTCTAATTCTTTTTTTTTTCGATCACTTAAGCTTGCTCTGCTCCTTTTTTAAGACGATGTTTAAATTGTTTGGTTGTCATCTAGCTTCAAAAGAGATGAATCGGGCATTTAACTTTTTGCTACTTTATAATCACGATCATTAGCTCGATGATTGATAGCTGACAGTGGCCATAACCATGGGAAGGCTAGTGACAACAGTGCTCGTGCTGTGCTTGATCTATGTGACGACGCGCATGGCGGTGTTCCGCGGGCACGACCTCCGGCGAGGTCTAGAGCAAGCCATGCGCAGCCGCCTCCTCGCCGACGCGACGCCGGCAGGAGGCTCGGCCGTGCCCATCCACTGGTCCAGACACCTCTACAACGTGGCGAACTTCACTATCGGCACGCCGCCGCAGCCCGCGTCGGCGATCATCGACGTCGCCGGTGAGCTCGTCTGGACGCAGTGCTCGCGGTGCAGCCGCTGCTTCAAGCAGGACCTGCCCCTGTTCATCCCGAACGCGTCGTCCACCTTCCGGCCGGAGCCGTGCGGCACCGACGCCTGCAAGTCCACCCCGACGAGCAACTGCTCCGGCGACGTGTGCACCTACGAGAGCACCACAAACATCAGGTTGGATCGGCACACCACCTTGGGCATCGTCGGCACCGAAACGTTCGCCATCGGGACGGCCACGGCGAGCCTCGCCTTCGGGTGCGTCGTGGCGAGCGACATCGACACCATGGACGGGACTTCGGGTTTCATCGGGCTAGGGAGGACGCCACGGTCGCTCGTCGCGCAGATGAAGCTCACCAAGTTCTCGTACTGCCTCTCGCCACGCGGCACCGGGAAGAGCAGCCGGCTGTTCCTCGGCTCCTCCGCCAAACTGGCCGGCGGCGAGAGCACCTCGACGGCGCCGTTCATCAAGACCTCGCCCGACGATGACAGCCACCACTACTACCTGCTCAGCCTGGACGCCATTAGAGCCGGCAACACGACGATCGCCACGGCTCAGAGCGGCGGCATCCTCGTGATGCACACCGTCTCGCCGTTCAGCCTCCTGGTCGACAGCGCGTACAGGGCCTTCAAGAAGGCGGTGACGGAGGCCGTCGGCGGCGCGGCCGCGCCGCCGATGGCGACGCCGCCGCAGCCGTTCGACCTCTGCTTCAAGAAGGCGGCGGGGTTCAGCCGCGCCACCGCCCCGGACCTGGTGTTCACGTTCCAGGGCGGCGGCGCCGCGTTGACGGTGCCGCCGGCGAAGTACCTGATCGACGTCGGCGAGGAGAAGGACACGGCGTGTGCGGCGATCCTGAGCATGGCGCGGCTGAACAGGACGGGGTTGGAGGGGGTGAGCGTCCTGGGAAGCTTGCAGCAGGAGAACGTCCACTTCCTCTACGATCTCAAGAAGGAGACGCTCTCCTTCGAACCTGCGGATTGCAGCTCACTCCCCTGATCGATCAATGGCGGCTACTGCTGCTTCTTGCTGGAAGCTTTGCTGTTCAAGCTTAATTCCATTCCATGTTTGTGTTGTGTGCGCGTGTGTGTGGCTGTGTGCAGGTGTGCAATGTTCATAGATAAGATAACGCAGCCATGGCGCGCGCCCAGGCGGCATGAGCTGCAGCATGCTTTGCTTTACTCTCCAGTGTGGGTAGCGTAGCTAGTTCTACTTCCTGAATCTATAGGCTATACGTGCTTGTGTAAGAACGAGATCCTCTTGTCGAACTCCATTCATCCTTAAGGAAATATCCCTCGTTTTTGCATGGTGTTTCAATTATTAGCAACTTTTTCTAAAAGAAAAATAGTAAGATAGATCAATATGTGATATATAACTCCAAATTCAACTTATATATATAGAAACAAAGATAATTTGGCTCACCTGATTCGGGATATAGGTGCGCAGAGGCGAACTCAAAACAAAAATTATCGGGGGTCCAATACGTACTAATTATCTTTTTTTTACTTATATACTAGTTATCATCATATAATTTAGTTAGAATTGAATAGTTTACCCGGGGTTCGAGGACACCAGGAAAATGTACCTAGGATCGCCACTGGGTGCGCTGAAAATGAGAGGTTGTCATTTTTAACAACATGTATAAAATGAGAGTATGTCCTTCCACTTTTGATCCTCTGCAGTATGTAGTACTGCAATCCACATGTGAGCTCTACTTGCTCAAAGTCCCACATGTCACTGGCTCCTATTACAAGAGCAATTATATAGAGGAGTTGAGTTCGCTTGTGTCCAGATTGATATATCAGTCTTATGTTAATTTAAATATTATTCAGTTGTGATGTGTGGGCTTTGATTTCAAAATTGAATCTTCGTTCCATGTCTAATGGTTTATGAATACTCTTGCGTTACATCTTCCCAACACTGTTGGCCTTTGTCAGCATAGATCGTTCTACCTGTGCCAACTGAACACAAGTCAGGAAAAATTGTCATGAAGTCTCATGACTCTCACTCTCATGTGCACAAGCCATCAACTTCAAACTTTCAGAGTCAATAGGTAAATAAACATACAGCTACTCTCAGACGATACCTTTTGCTTCAACTCGAAGTTTGCCGGCAGTGATCTGCAGAACATTCCGACGCTGATTTCGGGAAGTCTGTTTTCAGGTTTGAGGATATAGGATTAATAACGGTTATACAGATTTTGGGTAACTGTTTATTTCTGTCTTTAGGTTGGTTTCCATCAATTCCATTATAAATAATGTATATAAACATATGCTAAACAGATTGCTCATTCAGTTATCCTGTTCAAATAGTACTAAAATAATTAAATCATTTTCCCCAATTCGTATATGCTACTATTAGTTTCTCTTATTCCTATGGAGCAATCGTCATGATGTAGATTGGTCATGATATGGCAAACCTGCTCCACTATAGATGAAGTCTAATATTTACTCCCTCGCTCCAAAATAAATTAACCTACACATCACAGTGCTACGAATCTGCGTGGCGAAGACAAAAGGAAACTTAGCTGCAAAGTTGCCGCGTTGCTGAACACAATAATTCCACGTGAAGGCTCAAGTCAATCATCCATTTCATTGTCATTTCATTTTTGCCCACTAGATATGAACATCTCCCATCCCTAGTGTGGCAGAAGCCAGAGTTGTAGACACTGTTTCCATGCATTATCTTCGTTTTAAAAGAAGAAGATCTCGCTGTCTCTATCTCATACGGAGTATACCAAAATGTCCAAAACGATTAGGCGCTGACATCAATTTATCTAGCTACGTTACAGTGTCAAACTGTCAACATCTTAATTACTCCTGGTTATGCTTATGCATGCACCAATCAGCTGCATCTACTGTCCTTATATCTCTACTATTATAAAAATTAAAAATATTTTTGCCGGCGCTTTGATATATCATCTGTGTATGAGTCGGTTTTCAAATTCGTTCACTTTTGAAAATACATATCCGTATTTGAGTCGTTTATTAAGTTCGTTTGCTTATGGAAATATAGAAGAGTCGTATAAGAAATCTCTTTAAAAAATCTCGCATGCTAACTTGAGATGATTTGACTCTAATTACAACTCATAATTTTAAGTGAATTCTCACAGTAAATTTTACCTTAATTAAACCGTATAACAATAATAAGATTAAAATAACTTTCACCCGTTGTTACGCATATGTATTTTTCTAGTTAAAAAAACGAGATTTGAAGGAAGGGATGTTCTCTGTCCCCATATAAACCCAAGTTACCCCTCGACTTCGATCACTAATCCTTCCTCTCGAAAGTTGAAGCATGCATCAGTCATAATCAGTTAATCACGACAATTAGCTCGCTGATTGATAATTAACCGTAATTATAATCATGGCAAGTCTAGTCTCAACGCTGCTGTTGATGTGCTTGATCCCTCTGACGCGCGCGCACGAACTCCGGCGAGGTCTGGAGCTCGCCGACGACGCGACGACGGCGCGGCCAGGAGGCGTGACCGTGCCCGTCCACTTCTCGCAAGCGTTCTACGTGGTGAACCTCACCATCGGCACGCCGCCGCAGCCCGTGTCGGCGATCATCGACATCGGCGGGGAGCTCGTCTGGACGCAGTGCGCGCAGCACTGCCGCCGCTGCTTCAAGCAGGACCTGCCCCTGTTCGACACGAACGCGTCGTCCACGTTCCGGCCGGAGCCGTGCGGCGCCGCCGTGTGCGAGTCCATCCCGACGCGCAGCTGCGCCGGGGACGGCGGCGGCGCGTGCGGGTACGAGGCGTCCACCTCGTTCGGGCGCACCGTCGGGAGGATCGGCACCGACGCCGTCGCCATCGGGACGGCGGCCACGGCGAGGCTCGCCTTCGGGTGCGCCGTGGCGAGCGAGATGGACACCATGTGGGGATCCTCCGGGTCCGTCGGGCTAGGGAGGACGAACCTGTCGCTCGCCGCGCAGATGAACGCCACCGCGTTCTCCTACTGCCTGGCGCCGCCCGACACCGGGAAGAGCAGCGCGCTGTTCCTCGGCGCCTCCGCGAAGCTCGCCGGCGCCGGAAAGGGCGCCGGCACGACGCCGTTCGTCAAGACTAGCACCCCTCCCAACAGTGGCTTGAGCCGATCTTACCTGCTGCGTCTGGAAGCGATCAGAGCCGGCAACGCGACGATCGCCATGCCCCAGAGCGGCAACACCATCACGGTCTCCACCGCCACGCCGGTCACCGCCCTGGTGGACAGCGTGTACCGGGACCTCAGGAAGGCGGTGGCGGACGCCGTCGGCGCGGCGCCGGTGCCGCCGCCGGTGCAGAACTACGACCTCTGCTTCCCGAAAGCGTCGGCCAGCGGCGGCGCGCCGGACCTCGTGCTCGCGTTCCAGGGCGGCGCCGAGATGACGGTGCCGGTGTCGAGCTACCTGTTCGACGCCGGGAACGACACGGCGTGCGTAGCGATCCTGGGCTCGCCGGCGCTGGGCGGCGTGAGCATCCTGGGAAGCTTGCAGCAGGTGAACATCCATCTCCTCTTCGACCTCGACAAGGAGACGCTCTCCTTCGAGCCTGCAGATTGCAGTGCTCTATCCTAAATTCCTAATGGTATTTCTTCAAGCAGTTCATGCTGCAAATAATACGTGAACCTACGAGTTTGTACCGTTGTACACTTGTACTACGTATCCTAGCTTCCTAGGCAATATGATGTCAGCTTAATGTTACTGCAAATAATATGTATATCATGGTACTACCAGTAGCGTATCAAGGATTTAGGGTATAGGTGGTTGAAGCATCCGCGTCAACAGTACACCATCAAATTTTTAAAAAATTAATTAAGAAAAAAGTAAAAACGACTTATAATATAAAATGGAGTTTAAGTTTGTAAAATCAAATAAGTTTATAAGATTAAGAACAGAATTTTCAAGACATATCTGCACGTACGTTATTTATATTTTCAAACTAAAGTATTTTAAAGTCGTTGATATTCAAACATTGAAAATGTTTGACCAGCTTTTATTCAAAATATCAAATATTTATAACCGTGTGAGCATCATGTACGATCCTATAGGCTGACAAGGATCCTATATACGAGCTCGGTTGACCGGCTAGTTCAAATTTATTACAGCGGATACAATAGCAGATTATAAGCCAACTATAAATATATTTTAAGGAGATAAAAGAGGAGAGAGGAGAGCAGTGAGCTATAGATTTATAGCCAGCTATAACACGGACTCCAAGATACATGTGTGTATGATAGGTTGGACCATGTATTAATTGTATACTTATATGTTTATAGTACCTATTGTATAAACTAGCTATTAGATTGACTATAAATAATTTAAACAATAGTTGGCTAAACTGCTAAGCTTGCTCTTACTCATCAATTCATGGCATCGTCTCGATAATACTACCACTTACCACGCGTAAATGCGTAATAGATGGCTTGACCATGGCCGTGGCGTGGCAGCAAGAAGCCGCTACCATGTCTACCACACCGTTGGTTGGAAAAAAATATTACTCCCACCATCTCATAATATAATATAAGATATGGTTAAACTTAAACTTGGTACAGTCTTCAAAACTAATCTTTGACTTATAATTTTTCATGTACTATAAGGTTTATTGCAACAAAATTATAATTGACTTAAAGTAAATTTAAATGTCAATATAATGATATTAAGTTTAGCAAATAAAATTTAATTTATATTACAATATATAGCGCCCGTTCCGTCGTGGCGCCTAGCGGGAAAATTTAATTCTTAAAAAACCCTAATTACGAAATTTGTTTCTTTGCTTGTTGTCAGTCTCCGCGCCAATCTCTGATCTTGAATTCCCTACCCATCGTCGAATTCAAATTCCGAATCCAAATCTTTCTAAATTCAAATTCCTCCGCAAAAGTCTAGTTTGCCTCCCTCAGGTTCGGTGGGCCAATTCCCCTCTCGGCCCATCTCTCTCTCTCTCTCTCTCACACAGCCTTCCCCTCGCTCTGCCCGTGCGCCGCACGCGCGTGCGCGTGCGCGTGAGCCGACGCCGAGCCGAGCGCTCTCCCCCTCTCTCGTTCTCTCTCTCCGCTCCATCCCTGGCAAGCTCCCCGCCGCGTTTTCGAGTTCCCCGCACACCGTTGCCTCGCGCGCGCGCCCGCACGGTCGCCGCCCGTGCCGCGCCTGCGCCGCCTAGCCGCTGCTCTACCGCGCCCTGCCCCGCGAGCCAGCGCGCGTGCCCGAGCAGCGTCGTCCGCATCCGTCCAAAAACCGGAGGCAGCGCCTCCCGCTCCCATCTCTCTCCCTCCCCAAATCGGCATAGCGCGAGCTCCCTTTCTCCCCCTCCGTTTCTCCCTTTTCCATCTCGGCCCGGCCCCTGCTTCCTCCGTTCGGTTTCCGCGCCATGGACGCAGAGGAGCAGCCACGCCAGCCGTCGCCCCTGCCGTTTGACCACGCCCGTGAACCCATCCCTTCCCCTCGAAGCTCCCTCGCCCCAGTGCCGCTCGAGGTCGGTTTCCTCTCCTCCCAAACCGACATAGCCACCCCTTAAAAGCCGCCCCTCCCCCTCTCGCTCGATCCCCCTATTTCGCTCCAAGCCGTCGCGCTGTTGCTGCCTCGTCTGTGCCCTGTTCGCCGTCACCTTCTGCCGTTGCGTGTGCCGGAGGAGCCGGTGTGCGCTAGGAACGGAAGGGGACTCCAGGCGCATGTCTTCCTCCTCTTCCCCGGCCCGAGGCCGGAGCGATCATGCCCCGCACCATCGGCCATCGTCACAGCGCCCTCCTCTGCAGTGGTAGTGCATCCTCTCCGTTCTCCTTCCTCGCTCCATCTCCTCCCCTTAGACTCGGGTAGTAGCTCGAGTAGAACCCCCGTAGCTAGCTGGCGCCGCCCCAAGCCTTGCCACCGCCCGCTGTGTGCTCGCCGCCGTCGCCGCCCGAGCTCAGTAGCGCCTCTCGTCGCCGGCCTCGCTCGGCGTAGCTCCGCCCAATCTGACGCTAGAAACGGACTCCGGTGGCCGCGTAGAAGCTCTGGTCCGAAGGAATCAAACTCCCGTCGCGCCGTCGCCGTTTCCCCCTTTTCTCGTTGCCGGATGCCGCCGCCGCAATCCGCCGCCATCGAGCATCCCCCGGCGAATCCAAGCCGTTGGCTCATCCCCTCTCAACCCGTGCTACCTCCCGGTGTGCTCGCTTTCGCCTATACCGCCGTGGTTCGCCCCGCCGTTCGCAGCCGCCGTCCGCCGTCCGTTCCGGCCGACGCCTTCTTCAACCTCCCGCTGACCCGCGTGGCAGCCACGTAGGCGCCACGTCGACGCCACCTCGGCCAGGACCAGGTCAAGCCAACCTCGGCCCGCCGCTCCCCTCCGCCCCGCTTGCGCGCGCGGTCCACCGCGAGCCGTGAGGCTGCGCGTGGGCCCGCCGCATCCGCGTCCTCCGCGAGCCGCGCGCGTGCACCGCGCCCCCCTCCGAACCCTAGCGCCGCGCTGCCTGCTCCCTGCTCACGGTGAGCCGAGCCGCCGACAAGCAGGTCCCACGGCCACGCAAGGTGGACCTGGCCCACCGGTTCCCCCTCCCTCTCTCCCCGCACGTGCCCTTGGGCTGCCTTCTCGGGCCGGCCGGCCCATTTAGCTTGGCTGAGCCGCCCTTTTCTGTCGGGTCGTGCCCTAGCTGCCCGAGGGAAGTCTATTTCCCCTCCCTCTTTCTTTTCTTTTTCCAAAAGGGTTTAATTAAATCCTTTTTCCTTTAGATCAATAATCTTAGAAATTCAATATCTTCTCAACCATACATCCGATTGACTCCGTTCAACCTCCAAAATTCCTCAAATCTCAAGATCTATCTAATGCCACGCTTAGAGGTCAATAATAGGGCTTTGTTTTCGCCTTTTTTTGAGTTGTCCCGTTTCACGTGTAGTTTCGGAGCCCGAAGACCCGCAGTGCGAGGATTTCGAGGATCAAGCTCAAGATCTCGAGCAAGGCAAGTCACCTTTGATCATCTTGCACCTATAATTTAAATCTAAGTATTTCTTTTCCGCAAATGTTGCATGAATAGGTTTAACACAAGTAATTCGGCCGCGGCTTGTGAGATAGCCTGCCGGCCCCAATCCTAATTGCTGCAATTACCCTCTGTGAATTATTGAACACTTCAACCTCCTTTGTCAACTGTTGTGCTTCGATGCACGGGCCTTCGGGCACGGGCATCGGAACACCTCCCCTCAAATTTAAAATATCCAACGATGGGTAAAACTTGGGGTTTTACAAAAGACTTGGAAAACCCGACACCTGGGTCAGTGCTTGCGAACTAAATGAATTTCCAAAACCGCAGACCAGGGGACGTACCGGGAGTACGGTTTCCCGTTCTTACACTTAAGGACCGTTTCCCTTGGAATTTCATCCGAACATAAGACAAGTGCGACCACATGGGTGAAATGGGACGCCCCTGGCTGAGTAATTAGCTAATCAGGGGAGCCATGATGCCAAGAGACATGTGGATTCAACGGGGTGGTGCCGGGGAGAATCCCCGGGCTTCCTGGCACAGTATGGTCTGGGACCTAACCTGATGTCGGTCTAGGACCCCTCTCGTTGGCATATGGTGAACCTGTGTCGGCTTTCAAAATGTCTTGTCATGAAAGCCTCAAGGTCTCCAGACGTGGCCGTTCTGTACGGGCTGGGTGATCCGGGTTAGTAATGTCGTGTGGGTAAAGTGTACCCCCTCTGCAGAGGTTATTAAACTGTTCGAACAGCCGTGCCCACGGTCATGGGCAGATGTGAGGTGATTCCTAGCGTAGTTTTGTTTGACTACTACTTTGTGAAATTGCTGTTGTGGAATGGGATCGATGTTTAGAAAATCTGCGGCTGATGGGATCAGCTAGGCCCGGGTGGCCATTTGAAAGCTGTTGGCCGGGTGCCAACCTTGATCAATTCAAAGACTGATACACTGCACATACTCCGACCGGACGAGACGCACTGTCTCATTCGTGTCGTTTGAGAAGCACTCGCTTAGTTGTTTCAAAAAGGAGTTTAAATAAAATCAATTGCAAAAACAACAGCCTTTCCTTTGAAGCCTGCATTAAACACTTAATTCCCATGGCTTGCTGAGTACTCCTATACTCACCCTTGCTCTATATAAATAATACCCCCCTCCAGTTGCTGGAGAAGATGGAGTGGATCCCGCTGATGAGGAGTTCTTCCAGGAGTAAGTCAGCTATGATGAGTTTTAGGGTTTCGGTCTAGTTCCCAAGTCACGCATGTGATGATTGGTCTAAGTCTTGGCTTCCGCTTTCGCTTTTGTAATGCAGTTGTGAGCTCGGGATCTGTCCGCAGCCCAACATGACTGTACTCCTACTCTGTAATAAAGAGACCTCTGTTGCTGTGATATTCTGTCTTCCTGTGATACCAGCACTGTTTCCTAGGACTGGTATCGATTAACAGGTTAATTTAGAGTGTCACGAGCTAGTTCCGTTCGGGACTAGTTCGGGGCGTGACACAATAATTGTTGGTCAAATACTTTTGTAGTTGAATCTTGAAATATGTCACGCCTTATATTATGGGATAGAGAGGGTAGAGGCTTATTTTTAAATTTTTATTAGAGGAAGGTTCAATTTTTTTAAAAAAATATAGATACCAATATCACTGACGTTTGAATGGTACGTTCGTTCACCATGGTGCTGTTTCGATGGTTTCTGATAATTTCCTACCTGGCTAGCTCCATGCATGAACAGATTCAGTCTTTTTTCTTTTGGATGGAAACGTTAATGAATATTGAAATGGAGATGATGACTCCATGAAGGCTCAAATGGCTCATATTTACACTGTCAACACCTATTGACTTTGATTAAAAAAAACGCCTATTTGACATTGGTGATCTGATCCTGGTTTTAAACTTTTTATACAAACCATACATCGAGAGCCTGGAGTTGCATGGATTGTGTTGTGTAATCTCGAGGAAGAAGATAACCATGGTCATTAATCCACTCATTAATCCACTCACTAACAGTAGCATAATCATGGGAAGGCTGGCGCCAATGCAACTGCTCGTGCTCTGCTTGATCTCCGTGACGACGTGCGCCGCCGCGCACGGCCTCCGGCGAGGTCTAGACCAGCAAGGCATGCGCGGCCGGATCCTCGCCGACGCGACGGCGGCGCCGCCAGGAGGCGCGGTCGTGCCCCTGCACTGGTCCGGTGCTCACTACGTGGCGAACTTCACCATCGGCACGCCGCCGCAGGCCGTGTCGGGGATCGTCGACCTCTCCGGCGAGCTCGTCTGGACGCAGTGCGCGGCGTGCAGGAGCAGCGGGTGCTTCAAGCAGGAACTCCCCGTGTTCGACCCGTCCGCGTCGAACACCTACCGGGCGGAGCAGTGCGGCTCCCCGCTCTGCAAGTCCATCCCGACGCGCAACTGCTCCGGCGACGGCGAGTGCGGCTACGAGGCGCCCTCCATGTTCGGGGACACCTTCGGGATCGCCAGCACCGACGCCATCGCCATAGGGAACGCCGAGGGGAGGCTCGCCTTTGGGTGCGTCGTGGCGAGCGACGGCAGCATCGACGGCGCCATGGACGGGCCTTCCGGGTTCGTCGGGCTGGGGAGGACGCCGTGGTCGCTCGTCGGCCAGTCGAACGTCACCGCCTTCTCCTACTGCCTGGCGCTGCACGGCCCCGGGAAGAAGAGCGCGCTGTTCCTCGGCGCCTCCGCGAAGCTCGCCGGCGCCGGCAAGAGCAACCCGCCGACACCGTTACTCGGCCAGCACGCGTCGAACACCTCCGACGATGGCTCGGACCCCTACTACACGGTGCAGCTGGAAGGGATCAAGGCCGGTGACGTGGCCGTCGCGGCGGCATCCAGCGGCGGCGGCGCCATCACCGTCCTGCAGCTCGAGACCTTCAGGCCGTTGAGCTACCTGCCCGACGCCGCGTACCAGGCGCTCGAGAAGGTTGTCACGGCCGCCCTCGGCTCGCCGTCGATGGCGAACCCGCCGGAACCCTTCGACCTTTGCTTCCAGAATGCGGCGGTCAGCGGCGTGCCGGACCTCGTGTTCACGTTCCAGGGCGGCGCCACATTGACGGCGCAGCCGTCGAAGTATCTTCTCGGCGACGGGAACGGGAACGGCACGGTGTGCTTGTCCATCCTGAGCTCGACGCGGCTGGACTCGGCTGATGATGGCGTGAGCATCCTGGGAAGCTTGCTGCAGGAGAACGTCCACTTCCTCTTCGACCTGGAGAAGGAGACGCTCTCCTTCGAACCTGCAGACTGCAGCTCACTCACCTAATGGCTGCGAGATTTGCTCCTGTTTCACGAAAAGTACTTCGAGGTACCAGTATCTCACTGTACTAAATCGTTTTCAATCGTTGGATCTAGTTGGACAGGATGTGCATTGTTAAATCCAACGATCGGAAACGATTTGGTATCGTGAAGTATCAGTATCTTAAGGTTCTTTTTATTGGACCAGAGCAAATATCAATGGCTGCTGCTTCTTCCTGGAAGCATATATATGGTGATTGATATATGTACACATGTATGCAGTGAGGTGTGTGTGTGTTTGTGATTATTGCCAGAATAAACGCAGCTATAGACGGCATGTGCTGCGGTATGTTTTACTGTGCTCTTCAGTGTGTGTCACTCACTCACCTGCGTGTGCTTGTCATCATAGGCTGATATGATGTCAGTTATATGTGAATGTGAGTGCAGACAATATCCAGTCCTGATCTGGAGTTCATGTGTCTAATGGTTCATCAAATGGATTCATTTTGTCTAGCATAGTTTCCTGTGGCAGAAATAATGCTATGAATGCTGTTCTGTAAAAGTAAACATACCATACCAGTGGAGTGCATACAGAGTATGGCTTCATACCTCAATTTCAAGTGGTGATACATATTAACAGCTTCAGAAACAAACAAAAAAATGATTATTACCGCAGTCAACCCTAACACACAGAAATCAGTAATCAAACCTTTAAAATCAAGCAGGTCAAGTACCACATGGTCTAAAAAAATTGAAACACAATTGTAACTTGTAAGACATCTTTTCACGGCATTTTCGCATATTGTCAGGAGACTTTGTTTAAGATATATAATCTTGCCTTATGACTACTGCACGGTAAGAACAAATATGACAACTGGAAATCTTAACAGCAACATAAGGATATGTTTGACAAAGACACCTTGCATTCTGAAACACCCATGCACTGGTGCATGGATGCTCAGACAAAGAACTTCCACAAAAGCCGCATCACACTGCCCTACTCGAGGTAAATAATCACATATATGTAGCATGGAGAGTGATCACAAATAAACATAAAATTATCATGGCGACATCAGACTTAAAAGTACAGGAGCAGAGGCATTGTGAAACATGGTACTCCCTCCGTCCAGGATTATAAGAGATTATTCCCTATTTGGCACTCATTAAGGAAGAGAAAAAAATGCATCTAGTAATATGTGGAAGTACACATTGGCACATTAAATAAGCTGCAGAATGTACTTATTTGGAGTAAACTATTGCTTTTGGCAGGAAAAAGAGCATCTAAGGACAGTGACTTGATCTCTGCTGTACTGGATAACCAAAATCCCCTGAATCATGGACAAACCAAGGCGCCATTATCCACTATAATTGTGGCCAGAGGGAGTACCTTTGTTGCTCGGAGAAATTTTCCTTTCAAGAAGACTCGAAAGAAGAATATGTACGCTTTATAGTGCCCAGGTTTTAGCAAAATGCCAAGAAATTTGATCAATTTTAATCATACTGCAGACATGTGAAAATACCATATGGGCAAAAGGATAGTGGTTCAACAATTCTAACACAAGGATCTAAAAAGTAAATGAACAGATTCACTCAAAAAAGAGTGCTAGTAAAAGTATGTCAAGCTTGCTTATTACTGTACCATAAAAAAATTGCACGGATCAAAGTGACAAATAATCAGCCTTCAGGGTTCACGCAGAGATGGGTTACCTTTACCGCAAGGTTGAGCAAAGTGAGTTCAACTAACAGATATGCTCAAGAGTGAGCGATTGCCATAGCGCATAGAAGTTTTATTTGCACCAGTTTTTAGTTTGAAAAACGACTACTGTAATAGTGTAATTTTTTTCAATATTTTTGTAGTATTTTAAAAATATCCTCATAAGTGGAGTACTATATCTGTCCGAAAATAACTTTATTTTCACCCATCCTTAATACATACCAATAAAAAATAAAAAAATACTCCCTCCATGCCATTTTAAGTACAACCATAAGTTTCCGTGTTCAATTTTAATCATCCGTATTATTTAATTTTAAAAAAAAATAAAAAACATAAGTCATGTGTAAATTACTATTTATATTTTATCATCTAATAACAATAAAAATATTAATCATAAAAAAATTCAAATAAAACGATCGATCAAAATTGGACATATAAACTCATGAGTATAATGAAGCGGGATCCTCTAACATAAGGTCACCCCCGACGTGGTCACTGACAAGTGGGCCCGAGAGCGGTGGGGGTCTACATGTCAGCCACTATATTCCTCTGCCTTTATGTCAGAGGATCCCAATCCGCTTAAAATGGGATGGGTGAGTACCAATAGATCCTCAACTTTATCAAATCCTTTATCTAGTCTAAACACACACCCCACCAAAAGTACAGTGACTGATTGGAGAAGCCGGCTCCACTTGTCAGTGGCGTGCAGACGTGCAGTAGCGCAAAGAATCCCCATCACTCTATCTTACATAAGGTGTAAGATATAAACCATATTTAAAGTAATTTAAGTGATAAAAAAATTCGCAATAAAATAAATTATAATTACATAATTTTTTAATAAGACGAATGGTCAATCATGTTAAAAAAAAGTCAACGGCGTTATCTCTTAAAAACAGAGGTAGTAAGTCTTAGAGATTTCCCTTACTCCTAAATTTCCACAACAGGAAGGGTAGAAATAAATAAATTATATCCTTACCAAGACCAACATCAGTGACGGTTGAACGATAGATATGTGCAGAGTTGAAGCTTAATTTCGTCTCAATGGCACGCAGTTTCGCTGGTTTCTGAGGAATATCCAAGGTAGCTCCATGAACGTCAATGAATATTGAAATGGAGAGGATGACACCATGAAGGCTCAAGTGGCTCGTAATTACAGTGTTAATGCCTCTTGAGAAGGTTTACCTTTTCGTTTACAAAGTGAAAATCGTTTTTCATTGGTTTATCGAAAACCTAAAAAAATTGACGACTTTCAATCAGTACGGTATAAAAACATGCTAATAACGACAAACTGATAACCAGCGATCTCATAAAAATTGATCAGTTTAAGGTTAAACCCATCAGTTTCGTGAACCCTGACTCATGGTGACTTAGAGCCTATTTGGGGAGCTTTAAATTCTGAGAAGCAGATATTTGGTAGCCAGTTTCTGAGAATCTGGAAAAGCACTAAAACCCAGATTCTCCAGCTTTTGGCTTCTTAGTTTATTTTTCAGAATATGTAACTACATATTCTCAGAAGCTGTGGACTGTTTGGGGCAGTTTCTAGCAGAAGAAGCTCCCCAAACAGGGCCTTAGTCCTGGACTCCTTGTTCTTATATAAGCCCATGCCTCGAGTCTCGATTTGTATAGTGTGATTTGGGGAAGAGGAAGATAATCACGGTCACTAATCCTCTCATTAGCTAACTAACAGTAGTCATAATAATCATGGGAAGGCTAGTGGCAACACTAGTGCTCGTGATGTGCTCGGCGGCGTGTTCGCTCGCGCGCGCGCACGGCGGCGGCCTCCGGCGAGGTGTAGAGCGTGCCAACATGCGCGGCCGCCTCCTCGCCGACGCGGCGGTGGCAGGAGGCGGCGGCGGCGTCGTGCCGATCTACTGGTCCCAGCCGCTCTACATGGCGAACCTCACCATCGGCACGCCGCCGCAGCCGGCGTCGGCGATCATCCACCTCGCCGGGGAGTTCGTCTGGACGCAGTGCTCGCCGTGCCGCCGCTGCTTCAAGCAGGATCTTCCCCTGTTCAACCGGTCCGCGTCGTCCACCTACCGGCCGGAGCCGTGCGGCACGGCCCTGTGCGAGTCCGTCCCGGCGAGCACCTGCTCCGGCGACGGCGTGTGCAGCTACGAGGTGGAAACCATGTTCGGGGACACGTCCGGGATCGGCGGCACCGACACCTTCGCCATCGGGACGGCCACGGCGAGCCTCGCCTTCGGGTGCGCCATGGACAGCAACATCAAGCAACTGCTGGGAGCTTCCGGGGTCGTCGGGCTAGGGAGGACGCCGTGGTCGCTCGTCGGGCAGATGAACGCCACGGCGTTCTCCTACTGCCTCGCGCCGCACGGCGCGGCCGGGAAGAAGAGCGCGCTGCTCCTCGGCGCCTCCGCGAAGCTCGCCGGCGGCAAGAGCGCCGCCACGACGCCGCTCGTCAACACCTCCGACGACTCCTCCGATTACATGATCCATCTGGAAGGGATCAAATTCGGCGACGTGATAATCGCGCCGCCTCCGAACGGCAGCGTCGTCCTGGTCGACACCATCTTTGGGGTGAGCTTCCTGGTCGACGCCGCGTTCCAGGCCATCAAGAAGGCGGTGACGGTCGCCGTCGGCGCGGCGCCGATGGCGACGCCGACGAAACCGTTCGATCTCTGCTTCCCGAAAGCAGCTGCGGCGGCGGGGGCCAACAGCAGCTTGCCGTTGCCGGACGTCGTGCTCACGTTCCAGGGCGCCGCCGCGTTGACGGTGCCGCCGTCGAAGTACATGTACGACGCCGGGAACGGCACGGTGTGCCTCGCCATGATGAGCTCGGCGATGCTGAACCTGACGACGGAGCTGAGCATCCTGGGAAGATTGCATCAGGAGAACATCCACTTCCTCTTCGACCTCGACAAGGAGACGCTCTCCTTCGAACCAGCGGATTGCAGCTCACTCTCCTAATCAATGGCTGCTGCTGCTTCTTCTCTCAGGAAGAAGTTCGTGTGCTTAGCTAGTAATAGTTGGTGTGTGCTTTTGTGGACTTTTTATGCTGTGACTGCTTTAGTAATCGGTGTGTGCTCCTGTTTTTATTAGATCTTGTGTTTTCATGTCTCGTTGAATTGATGTAATAATTAACTGTAGCCTTTGAGTAAGGGCCGGGATTCTATCTCATTACCTAAAAAGTTTTTAGCTAGTAACAGTAGTTAGCTTTGCTGTTCAAATTGGCCATATATTCATGCTTATTGTCAGAATAACGCTGCCAGTGCCAGTCGGAATGAGCTGCGGCATGCTTATTTTTGCTCTCCAGTGTAGCATTGTCCAGTACTCCATTAAGTTTCTCTGTTCATTAATACACGACACCATTCAGTTTTGAGAATATTTTGATTTTTTTTTTAGAATTACATGTACACTTACAACGCATGCGCACTCACCCCTATGAACACACGCACGCAAACCCTACCCCTATGATACCATTGAAAACACAACGCCGTTAAATCCTAGAAAATTCGCTCTCATGGGGAGTCAAACCCAGAACCTCAGGTGCTACTGAAGCTCTTGTAATCACTAGGTTACAGGCTCTTTCGCAAGAATATTTTGATTATTTGTCTTAATTTAAATTGTTATATGAATTTAAAAGATATAAATTATGCTTAAAAGTATCTTTCATGATAAAATAATTTTAAGAAATAAATGTTAATTACTTATTTTTTTTAATAAGATAAATATTGAAACATATGTCTAAAAGTCAACTGTCTAATATATTAAAAAAAGTAAGCATTTTTCTGGATGAAACTCTATAGTGTATCGGTTTCACACCTGCTTTACACTGGAAGAATTTTAGAGCGTTTTGGTATAAATTGCCTACGAGATTTTATAAAATTTGTGTGTTCCAAAGAAATCCTCTTATATTGGTGCAAGTAATACATGGTTTCACCTGCGCTTGATCGTTCTTCTATTTTGCCATATAAGAGTATTGTTCTTGTGTTGATTTGGCCCCTATAGGCTGACAAGGGCGCTGACTAAATGAAATGGGCAGGGTGATAAGAATTAAGAATACAACAGTTGGAAAAGAGGCAAAGGAATTAAGAGGAAGCAGAACATAAACGGCGGGATCTGGTGTTCGCGATGAGTATTTGTATTCACTGGAGTCCGATCACAACTACTACCACTGATCACTAGGCCCATGTTATTACCAACATGCGAGATAAACATTGCGCATGTCCTAACTGAACTTTTTGTTGGGATCGGTAAAAAAATGCTCAATAAATCAACCAACCTCAACAAATTTAAATTTTTATTATATAAAAATTGGGAAACTGTGCGTTGTAGTTGTAGATGGTCGATTACTAGTCTAAAAATGATAGAATTGAACGCTCCTTTCATTTGTTAATTTCTCTATAATCAGAACTGTTCAACTTGAGTTGCTAACAAACACAAATCTCAACCATGTAATTTTTAAGAAAAACAAGCTGGTTAACCGGCCAGCTCCCACGAGTTGAGTTTCGTTATAAATTTATGAGTTGCTACGAGTATTTTTAACCTTTTCCAATTATGGTTTGGAAATATTCCAGCAACTTACTATCGAAATTTAACTTTTGTGACACATCACTCTCTTTTTTTCGCCTAAACGATACCACTCTGGCACTATATACACCACGCATAATATAAGCCTCGACAATGGCTGTGGCGTGGTACCAACACCATATTTGCCACACCGTTGATTTTTGGAAAAACTATTAGAGGTTTATTTTTAAAATTTCTATTAGAAGGTTCACTTTTTTTAAAAAAAATATATCCTTATTGCATAAGTGACGTTAGATTGATGTATCAGTTCAGGATTGAAGCTACCATTTGAGTGGTTTCTGACAATTTCCTATATCTAGCACCATGATCAGATATCTAACAAACGCTACTGAATCCCATTTTGAGTTCATGAATATTCAAACTGATGGAGATGATGACTAAAAAGTGGCCAGTAATTACAGTGTCATTGTCTGTCTTAAATCTTAATTGGTCCTGGTCATTGCATGAACCAGCTATAGCCCCTATATAATCACTATTCACTACCACCGATCGTGTGATCTTGAGGAAGAACATAATCACGGTAGCTAATCCTTCCCTGTCGAAGTAACCATGGGAAGGCCAGTGGCAACACTGTTCGTGCTGTGCTTCATCTCTGTGACGGCGTGCTCGCTCTCGGAGCAGGCCACGCGCGGCCGCCTCCTCGCCGGCGTCGACGCGACACCGCCGGCGGCCGGAGGCGCAGTGGCCGTGCCCATCTACCTGTCGTCCCAGGGGCTCTACGTCGCCAACTTCACCATCGGCACGCCGCCGCAGCCCGTGTCGGCGGTCGTCGACCTCACCGGCGAGCTCGTCTGGACGCAGTGCACGCCGTGCCAGCCCTGCTTCGAGCAGGACCTGCCGCTGTTCGACCCGACCAAGTCGTCCACCTTCCGTGGGCTGCCGTGCGGCTCCCACCTCTGCGAGTCCATCCCGGAGAGCAGCCGCAACTGCACCAGCGACGTGTGCATCTACGAGGCGCCCACCAAGGCCGGCGACACGGGCGGCAAGGCCGGCACCGACACCTTCGCCATCGGGGCGGCCAAGGAGACCCTCGGCTTCGGCTGCGTCGTGATGACTGACAAACGCCTCAAGACCATAGGCGGGCCCTCTGGGATCGTCGGGCTAGGGAGGACGCCGTGGTCGCTCGTCACCCAGATGAACGTCACGGCGTTCTCATACTGCCTGGCCGGGAAGAGCAGCGGCGCGCTGTTCCTCGGCGCCACCGCGAAGCAGCTCGCCGGCGGCAAGAACAGCTCGACGCCGTTCGTCATCAAGACCTCAGCTGGCTCTTCCGACAACGGCTCGAACCCGTACTACATGGTCAAGCTGGCAGGGATAAAAACCGGCGGCGCGCCGCTCCAGGCAGCGTCGAGCAGCGGCAGCACCGTCCTGCTCGACACCGTCTCGCGGGCGAGCTACCTGGCGGACGGCGCGTACAAGGCCCTGAAGAAGGCGCTGACGGCCGCCGTCGGCGTTCAGCCGGTGGCTTCGCCGCCGAAGCCTTACGACCTCTGCTTCCCGAAAGCAGTGGCTGGAGATGCGCCGGAACTCGTGTTCACGTTCGACGGCGGCGCGGCATTAACCGTGCCGCCGGCGAACTATCTGCTCGCCAGTGGGAACGGCACGGTGTGCCTGACGATCGGGAGCTCGGCAAGTCTCAACTTGACCGGTGAGCTTGAAGGAGCGAGCATCTTGGGAAGCTTGCAGCAGGAGAACGTCCATGTCCTCTTCGACCTCAAGGAGGAGACCCTCTCCTTCAAGCCTGCAGACTGCAGCTCCCTCACCTGATGAATGAACGAACGGCTGCCGCTTCTTTCTGGAAGCACCTCCTGCATTAGCTTTGCTGTTCAGTTCAAGCATCAATATATATGTCAGGTGTTTGTGTGTGTGTGTTGCCAGAATAACGCAGCTAGGTGGCATGGCATGTGCTGCGGCATATGTTGTGCTCTGCTCCTTAGTGTCCAGCATTTTCCTTCCTGAACCTATGTGCTTGTATCAGTTTCATGTCAATGCAAATAATACCCAGTGCTGATCTGGAGTTCGTTTTCATTCCCCGTTGAAATGGTTCATCATATAGATCATTGTGGCAGAAATAATGTCCTAATATAATGTCATGTGGTTTTGTATAAGTTACCATACCGGTACAGTAGAGGGCACACAGAAACATGACTTCGTACCTCAAACTCAATTGGCACATTTTAACAGCTTCAGAATCCAACTGCTTATTCTGCTCAACCATAACACCCAGAAAGACCTTCAAAATCAAGCAGGTCAAGCATACAAATGGTTTTAAAAAAAAGTTGAAACATAATTGTAAGACATATCTGTTCACAGCATATTCGCATATTGTCAGGAGACTTTGTTAAGATATTTAACCATGCAATACTGAACGGCTAGAACAAATATGACAAGTGGAAATCTTAACAGTAATATGAGGATACGTTTGACAATGCCACCTTGAATTCTCTGACAAACTTCTTCCACAGAAAGCCGCTTCACACTGCCCAACTTGTGCTAATTAATCAAGTAAATGTAGTCAACTAGACAAATGGAAGTAGTCAACTAGACAAATGGAACTAACAATTTTAACACAAGGATTGTGAAGCAGTCATGGATGTACACTGTAGTTTATCTCTGTTGACATTCTCATGAGGACATCAGACCTAAAGTTTTTTTAAAAAAAAAAAAACTAAAGAAGAGGCAATGCAAAACAGGGTTTAATGAGTTTATCCTTTCTTGCTCTGAGAAATTCCCCTTTCAACAAGACTCAAAAGAAGAACAATATATGAACAGTATAGTGCTGCAGGTTTAACAAAATGGAAAGAAAGTTGATCAATTTTAATCATAAATACTATCAAATGTGCAAAAGGAGCATGGTAACTCAAACATAAGGATCTAAAAATTTGGTTAACAGATTCACTGAATAAGAGTGCCAATAAAATATGCCATGCTTGCGATTAACACTTACTGTACCATACAATTGCACAGATTAAAGTGGCAAACAATCAGCCTTAAGAGAAGTGAGTTCCACTAACAGATATGCTCAGAGGGACAGCCTTGGCCCATAGAAGTTTTATTTTCACTGGTTTGTAGTTTGAAAAATGAAAACACAGACTACTCTAATGGTCTAATAAACCAACAACAAGCCCACACAATTTGTCCTTCTCTATAGGAGATGTTCCAGAACTTCCATCTAAAGTTGATTAACAGTTTGTAAAGAAAACCAACTCACAGGGTGTGCAATGAAGTGTGAAATACTAAACGAAGCTAACAAAATGTCACAGTTCCAATTGCACAGAAAGTATCAATGTGACTAAGCATAGAGCTATAGTATAATGCATTGAAACAACATTTGCATTTTTGGCATAATCTTCTTTCTGTCATTGTATTTGTAAATTTCTAACTGTGTGCTCAACTATACATGATGCATCTGTGACCTGTATGCAAGTATTAGATATAGCTAGAGAATCACACAGATATTACATCTTACTCAATCACTATCCTTATGCAGCATAGTTATTGCTATGAAGTGATGCAATTGTGCCCATTGGTAGAACAACTATGTTGAAAAAGGATAGTAGTACAGTTAAGCTTCAATTTTGCATTTTATATACATCCTAGACTTATACAAGCCAGAAATTTGAATGTTCAGTGGACCAAAAAGAAACGTTAAGCATGTCATAGCAGCAATAGACATGATTCAGAAAACATTTGTGTGTTTATAACACAGAATATCTCCAGCTGCAAACAAAAAAGGATGACTAGTTCTTAGCATTCCATAATCTTCCCTCTCCGACATTTTGGAATCACTGTTTTCAGTTGTTGCCTAGAAACAGTATACAACACACCAGCTCGGCTTGCCATTTAGCCCAAAAAGAAAAATAAAAAAGGCAGTGTTGTTCTAAGATGCCCATTGGTAAGAAATATGTTGACAAAGGATAGTAGTACAGTTAAGCTTCAATCTGGCATTTTCTATCCATCTCGAACTTATCCAAATAAGAAACTTGAAGGTTACGTGGACCAGAAAGAAACACTAAACATGTCATGGCAGAAATACAAATAATTCAGAAAACATTTATGTGTGTGTAACAGAGAGAATACCTCCAGTTGCAAGCCAAAACGATGACTAGTACTTAACATTCCACAATATATCCTTAGCTACATTTTGGAATCACCATTTTTAGTTGTGATCTAGAAAAGATATACTCAGCTGGGCTTGTCATTTAGACCAAAAAAAAAAAGAGTGGTTCCCTTCTGCTTCGTTTAGGGTGTACGGTGCATTCTTCTTTTCTATGAATGGGGCCATTTACTGTACCATAAAGTTACACAGATCAAAGTGACAAACAATCAGCCTTTAGAAGTTCAGGCAAACATCGATTACCTTTACTGCAAGGTTGAGCAAAGTGAGTTCAGCTAGCAGATATGCTCAGAGGGAGAGATTGCCATTAGGCCATAAAAGTTTTATTTGCACTAGTTTGTAGTGTGAAAAATAAAAACACAGACTACTGTAATAGTGTTATAAACGAACAACGATAAGCCCTGTTTGTAGGATATCTTTCAGAACTTTTAATCTAAAGTTGATTAAAAGTTTGTAAAGAAAACCACCTCATGGGGAGTGCAATGGAGTGTGAAATACTAAATGAAGCTAACACAAAGTCGTGGTTCCAATTGCACAGAAAGTGTCAATGTGACTGAGCATAGAGCTACTGCATATAATGCATTGAAACAACTTTTGCATTTTTGGCATAATCTTCTTTACTATTATGTCGCTGTATTTGTAAATTTCTAACTGTGTGCTCAATTATACATGATGCATCCATGACCCGTATGCAAGTATTATATATAGCTAGAGAATCGTGCAGATACTACAACTTACTCAACCACTATCCTTATGCAGCATAATTATTGCTATGAAGTGATGCAATTGTGCCCATTGGAAAGAACTATGTTGACAAAGGATAGCAGTACAGTTATGGTTCAATTTTGCATTTTATATGCATCCTAGACTTATACAAACCATAAATTTGAAGGTTTCATGGACCAAAAAGAAACACTGAACATGTCATAGCAGCAATAGACATGATTCAGAAAACATTTGTGTGTTTGTAACACAGAATATCTCCAGCTGCAAACAAAAAGGATGACTAGTTTTTAGCATTCCAGAATGTTTCCTCTCCTACATTTTCGAATCATCATTTTCAGTTGTTACCTAGAAACAGTATACAACACAACAGCTCGGCTTGCCATTTAGCCCAAAAAGAAAAGGAGAAAAAGAGTGTTGTTCTAAGATTCCCTTAAATTACATTCTAAGGTTGAGGAATCCAACTATGGATTCTGGCAAGCGACCAAAATGTTGAAGCGATCAAAAGAACACCCCTAATTCACAACAATTCCTACTTACCCCTGTATTATACTGGACCAAAAGAACAGGGTGTGAGAACACACCTGCTTCAAGAACCCAATCAATCAAATCCTCTGTTGTGACTCGATCACCAATGCATTGAGCATGATGTGCAAGACCGCATCATACACATCGCCGTCATAATGCATTCCATCAGCCGTGCATTGCTGCCCACACCCCCGGGAGAGCTTTCCTACATCAAGCAGTAGGAACGGGCCACCGTCGCGCTGCAAGAGCCCCCTCTGCTCGACCTCAAGGTCGTAGGCTTGCAGAATGGTGTCGTTCATGTGTACTTTCTTGGCATCAGTGTTGAGCATGTGGTTCACCAGCAGCGGCAGGCCGAGCCAGAACATGTGCGGCGGCGGCACGGGGAGCGGCGACCGGAGCGACTTCGCCGCATCGACGACGGACGCCAATGCGTCGCCGTAGCGAGCGGCGTCCGTGACGTGGAGCATGTGCCAGAGGCCGGATCCGAGGACGAGCACGTCCGGTGTGCGCGGCGCGAGGCGGAGATCCTCGTGGAGCAGCCGCGTGAGGTTGCTCTCGAAGGGCGCCCAGACGAAATCGACGGAGATCCCCCTCGCAGGGACGGTGGCGCGGTAGTCGCTGTGGCGGCGGAACAGCTCCGGCTCCGCGGCCGCCGCGGCGGCCGGGTCGAGCAGGAGGCGGAGCAGCGCGAGCACCAGCAACCTCGCCTGCGAGTCCCCGGCCACCATCACCCACGACCCATTCAGCAGCAGCGACGCGTCGTCCCGCGACAGCCGCGCGAGGCCGCAGGTCGACGCCAGCGACGGCGGCCACGCCCACGCCCTACCGACGCCCGATTCCCCACCCGCGTCCGCCCATGACACGCGGTGCAGGAGAGGCACGCACGAGGAGGAGGCGGCCGAAGACGACGACGACGACGAGATGGGATGGGGGTGGAAGGATGCGGCGAGGAGGAGGTGCGGGAGGGAAGGGAGGTAAGGCGAGAGGTGTACCCCGACGGCGAGCGAGACGAACAGCGCCCCGGAGAAGAAGAGCACCTTGTTCCGGCTGAGGTGCCACCCGGCGAGCCCCATGGGGACGAACAGCACGACGCACGCGGCGACCACGCCCGCCTGCGCCGCGGCGGAAACCATCGGCCGACGGGGCCCGACGCCCCGCCACCAGATCTGCTCTCGGAGGCGAGATCGCGGGAAGCGAGCGAGCGATCGGTGGAGCGGCAGGCAGCGAGGCGTGGAGCGGAAGCGAGAAGTAGGGGAGAGGAGAGGTTGGTGGGGGGAGGCGGGCGGCGAGGTGGGAGCGGGATGGGAACAGCGGAGCGGCAAGCGGCAGGTGCGGGGTCTCCCTCCCTCCCTCCCTCCCTCCCTCCCGGCGTCGGCGCGTCGCCGGCAATCGTCGGTGGCGGGGGTGCGCGCGCCGCCGTGGATCCACCGGCGTGGTTGGTTTCACACCGCGCCGATTTCGATTGCTTCGGGGAGAGAGAAGGTGGGGATCAGTGGATGGATGGATGACTTCTGTTCCATTAATCACTGCTGTTCCCTCCTGCTTCGTTTAGGGAGAATCCTGATAAACAATTTGAGATGGTCAAATCCAGATGCCTTTACCCATATTTGAATTCTGGTGTTATCAGCGGTAAATTTAAGTTTTGAAAGTCAATTTTAAGTTGATTTTGAGGTTTTTAAGTGTATATCAATTACATTTCTCAATATTAGCTTCTAAACTGCTAACAGGTTGAAAAACTATTCATAAATTATTTTTATTGTTTCGTTTATTTTTTAAGGTAACTTCATTTATTTTTTCAATAACGGTGACAGTAATCTCAACATACGACTATTCAGTCTATGGAAATGCTGAGTAGTACTCCTATGTGCAATTGTAATGACAAGTGTGCGTGCTGCTGTGTTTGAAAAAAGAAAACAATATGCAGGTAGAATGCCGGTGGGTGATGAGCATGTTCATAGAACCGATGGAATTTCGTGAAAAATGGTAGATTTTTGTGAAACCGTTAGTACTTGATTTGTGAAAACCAATTGGTATGAGATTTTTGTGAAACCGTTAGTACTTGATTTGTGAAAACCAATTGGTATGAGCCAGTTTCTGTATGATGTTGACTGAAATTCATTGGTTTTTTTTGGTTCAGACATATTTCGATAAACCGTGAGAAGCGGTTTTTACTTCGAAATAAAAAGATTGGGACGGTTGAAGGCAGAAATGGCCGTGTCGCACCCCGTATAGCGTGTGCTGTACTGTACCCACCAAAGCTGTACTGTACAGGTTCGCCATGGTCCAGCACTCCAGGCGACCGCATTGTCACGACTCACGCCGCGTCGTCTTCTGACCTATTGTGTTCTCTATACCAACATTTTTCAACTCCACACGCTGATTACACATACTTGGCAGACTACAAATTTCCCCAAATATTAAATGCACAACCAATCTGAACTTCCACGAAAACAAAATTCGTTTCATCCGAAAGGCAGTTTCACGAACTTCGCACAAATTCACATCACAGGAAACAGAAATATAAAATGACGGAATCACAGGGGAACCAAATCTTCAGTTCAGATTCATCGAATTCATTTAAACAGAAGAGTCGCTACACAGAAGCCAACACAAAGCAGAAATTCCCCCCGAATCCCATCGAAACCCTAGCTCCTACACCACCACCACCACCCGCACGCCACCAGGAAGGAAGGAAGGAAGGAATCAGCCGCCGAAGCCGTAGAGGGTGCGGCCCTGGCGCTTGAGCGCGTAGACGACGTCCATGGCGGTGACGGTCTTGCGGCGGGCGTGCTCGGTGTAGGTGACGGCGTCGCGGATGACGTTCTCGAGGAAGATCTTGAGCACGCCGCGGGTCTCCTCGTAGATCAGCCCGGAGATGCGCTTCACGCCGCCCCTCCTCGCCAGCCTCCGGATCGCGGGCTTCGTGATCCCCTGGATGTTGTCGCGCAGCACCTTCCTGTGCCTCTTCGCGCCTCCCTTGCCCAGCCCCTTGCCTCCCTTGCCACGGCCCGACATGTCTGACGACGACGACGAGAGCTTGGAGACGGAGGAGGATTTGAGATTTGGGGATTTTTTTGGTTTAGATGGAGAGACACACTTGGGGTGTGCGGATATTTATAGGAGGTGAAGGCGAGGGGTGCGATCCGTGGGGTGTTGGGTTTGGAGCGTTGGATTGGAAATGGAGGGGTGGGATTGGGTAGTGGGGGATCGGTGCGGATCGATGACGTGGCTTGTGACGACGGGGAGGAGGGACGCGATCCGTGGGAGGGTTGTGCTCCACCGTTGGATGAGAATGGACGGTGGATTCTGGTTTTGAAATGGGGGAGTATGGATCGATGACGTGGTTGGTTGTAGGTGCACGGCCACATGGGCCTTGGGCCTTTACAAGTAGATGGGCTTATTTGTGTCATTTCGATTTAGGAAAAAGTGCACTTAGACACCCTTAATTGTTCACCAAATCTAGTTCGTCATCCTTAACTGTAAAACCGGGTAGGATGACTCTCAGAATTATTAAAACCAGTGCAATTTGACTCCTCCATCGATTTTAGAGGGTAGTTTTGCTCACATGGCGCTGACGTGGCGAGCGGGAAGAAGCAGCCGCCGCAGGGGCTGGACCACCGGGTGATGGTGGCGCTGGTCAAGATGGTCGCCGCCAACTTGTTCCTGCCTCCGGGCAGTGCCGCCGTCCGCCTACCCGTCGTCGCCCTCGCCGCCGTCCGACGTGCTCGACGACGAGGTCCCCGTGATGGTGCTGCTCCCGTCGATCGTGGCCGCACCTCCACCTCGTCTACGACGTGCTCACCGCCGCGGACGCCAGGACGCTCCGCAACCACGTCGATCGGAGCTTCCTCGCCGGCCTCGTGGCGCTCTTCGCCTTCGAGGACTCGCGCGAGCGCGACCGCCTCAAGTACGTCTACCACCAGCTCTACTCCAAGCTCACCGTCGAGCGCGCGTTTATGCAGCGCATCATGGCCGCCGCGCTACTCCGGTTCGTCTACGACACGTCCCCGGAGGAGGCCGAGCGCCACTGCGGCGTCGGCGAGCTGCTCGAGATCTGCGGCAGCATCATCAACGGCTTCGCCGTGCCACTCAAGGAGGAGCACCGGGCGTTCATGGCGCGTGTGCTGCTGCCGCTGCACCGGACGCGGTGGGTGCACACGTACCACCGCCAGCTCTCCTACTGCGGCAGCATCCGTCGCTCGAGACATCTTCCTCCGCCACTGGCCGGCGACCAAATGCCAGAAGGAGGTGCTGCTCATCGACGAGCTCGAGGAGATCGTCGAGATCCACTGTCTGCTCCCGGATTGCCCGCTGCGTCAGCAGCTGCAGCTCACAGGTTTGTGTGCTTCTTCATCCATTTTCACAATCGATTTCATTTCAGTCAAAAAAAAATCGATTTCATCTACATTTGCACATTCAATTAAGTGGCACATGCATAATTACTGCTTGCTTCCAACATCCGGGTTCGCGCTGGATCCAAGCGCCGGCCGGGCCTAGAGGGGGAGCGGCGACGAGCCTGCTTGGAGACGGGGCAGGCGGTGGCGCGGCCGTCGCCGCTCCAGCCCTCGCCCGCACGCTGCCGTCGCCACTCCAGCCCCCGGCCGCCGCCGCCACCGATGCTTCCCAAGGGGGAAGAGAAAAGGGGGAGAGAGAAGAGAGAGAAGGGAGAGAGAAGGAGGAGGAAGAAGGGAAGGAAAAAGGATGACACGTGGGCCCATATATCGGTGGGTCCCATGATATATTTTGTGTATGAATGACAGATGGGTCCCACATATATTTTTTTAATTCTAAATGCCACATAAGCACCACATAGAATGAAAACCGGGTTAGCACTGCCACATCAGCGCCACGTAAGCAAAACCGCTCTCCAAAACCGCTGGAGGAGTCAAATTGCACTGGTTTCAATAATTCGAGGAGTCATCCTATCCGGTTTTACAGTTAAGGGTCACGAATTAGATTCGGTGAATAATTAAGGGAGTCTAAGTGGACTTTTTCCTTTTGATTTACGGCATGTCTGTACGTATCCCCTTCTGAGTGTCTTGTACTACTCCATTTGTTATGAGTCGCTTTTGACTTTTATTTATCTACTTCCTCCGTTTTATAATGTAAGTCATTCTAGTATTGTCCATATTCATATGGATGTTATATGTCTAGATTCATTAATATTTATATGAATTATGGACAATGATAGAATGACTTACATTATGAAACGGAGAGAGTAAGTTTATATAAAAATATAGTAAATATATTGTTAAGATATATTCAATGTTATATTTAGTTAAACTTATCTGGTGTTGTAGATGTTGCTAATTTTTTATATAAATTTAATCAAACCTATAGAAGTTTAACAAAAACATTTACCTTTCGCCCTATTCACAATGGGAAGTGAAAAAATATATTGCGGTAACAAAATGAGGTACAAACACATTGAGAAATTTTATGCGGTAAGGTGACTTGCGGTGAAATTTGACAACATATAAGAAACAGTTGGCTACTTGGCTTGATTTGGATGAGAATTTGAGAAACTTTTGGAGATACAGAATTCAGTATGGGCTAGGGATGGTCTCCGATCCGACCGTACAACCACAACACTGGGCCCATGTACCGTACTCGGTCCACGGAACGCCGCCCACTAGGCTTTCACGCACCGGACGAGCTGGTGGGCCCCAGTGAAAGTGAATGAACGGCTCTGCATGAGTCCCTCGTGCGAAGTTTTTGCCCGGCTTGTGGGCCCATGGGCCCATTGCGGGGCCCAGCCAGCACGCAATCTCTACGGCCACTCTTCTGCCAGTGCAAAGTGTTGCTCTCTCTCTAAACTCTGAAAAATCATTTACCTCTGGCTTTAAAAAATCATCGCATTTACCTCCTGTTTATTGATGGACCATGTTAAAGAAAGTACTAACATACTTTATTCACGTTCTAATCGGAGGATGAGAACGGCTTATTAGTCACATGCAAAATGAAAAATAATCGCAAAATGAAGCATTAATAATTGAATAAATAAATAAATTTACTTTATTTTTCTAAAAAAATGCAAAGTTTAACAATTTTAAAATATGCTAACGAAAATCAAGAAATTAAGTAGCCAATCCAATTTTCCCATTAGAACACAGTAACGGTAGAAATCAACTAAATTGGATGACAGGTTCATCTGACATAAGCCGGTTGAACTAGTGAGACAAGTTTATTATGGATTTATGGATAGAAAAAGTATAATGCATGGTCGTCACAGAAAAGGAGAACTGAAGAAGCACATGGTGACAATTAACCTTAGCTTCGGGTTGGATGATGTTCACTGTCAAGAGCGCATAGCGATAATATTAACCTTGTCTATGAAAGAATGATTCACTGTCATGTAGTACGTGTAGTGTCTAGCAAGTTGTGTTAGTTTTAAACCTTAATTATCTTAGTATAACACAGGTGCTTTCGGAGTTACATATGGTTAGTACCTGCAGCTTGCTTGCGTGGATGGATAAATGCAACAGGAGGAATCATTAAATTAGTAGGGTAGGAAAACAAGTGTGTTGAGCACATAGTTGTGTCTTTTGTTTTTGCCTTTTAGATGCGCCAAAGATTTGTTTAGGGTTAAAGTAGTGACGATCTGGGCAGAAGGCAAAACATGATCTTCTCCTCAATCTCATGTAGTTTCGTTCTTTTTCACAGAAAGTTTTTTTTTTCTAAGGTGGGGCAGGTTTGTTTTTATAATTGTATCTCTACTACTTAAATTTGTAATAGTGGTCTCGATTTTTATATAGCAGACACATCTGACAAACATGCTAAGAGCAAGGCTAATAATACAGTCAGCTGCTGATTGTATAGATCTTTATAGCCTATCTCTCAGCTCACTCATATAGTGGTTAGCTCTTCACTATAAATATATGGTCCACCTGTCTGTCTCACTGATTTTCTTAGTTCATGATATAGCAGACACATCTGACAAACATGCTAAGAGCAAGGCTAATAATATAGCCAGCTACTGACTGTATAGATCTTTATAGCCTATCTCTCAGCTCACTCATATAGTGGTTAGCTCTTCACTATAAATATATGGTCCACCTGTCTGTCTCACTGATTTTCTTAGTTCCTGTGTCTAAGCCGGCTGTAAGCTTACAGCCCGCTTCTCATCTCTATCATCTATCATCCACCTCAACATTCAGCATTTTTACAGCCCACTATTATTCTTGCTTTAATATTAACCATCAGATCGTCATATCCAATAGCCTGGACCTCCCACCTGTCGCGTAACCCACCCATTGCGCACTCCGACTCCTCCTCCGCCTACCCATCCCCGTCGGTGACTCCTCCACCCGCTTGCCTCCTTCGCTCCAGATTCCTGCCAGCGACACTGTCGACGTCCACCTGTGACCGCCGCCAACACCCCCACTGCCTCCTACTCCGCTGCAGATCCTCACTGCCGGGCCTACTCCTTCTCCTCCCCGCCGTCGACGCCTACTCCTCCGCCCACCCGCCACACGCCCTGACCACCTGCCTCCTTCACCCACCTACCACCGCCGCCGCCGACACGAGTGATGGTGCAGTAACTAAAAACCACATCTCTAGCTAGCTAGATAACCTAAAAGATATTTGTTGTCAAAATATAGATGGATTGACGGCACAAATTATGTAGAATTAAAGAACGAGATAATGTAATATATGGCTAGCCATGCATGTTTGTGAGAGTTAGTTTAACTTTGTCTTAATGTTTATGGTTGTGACGGCGTGTTATTGATTAGTAGTATTATATATCAATTAAACAGAATTCATATATAGTCGAGTTATTAAAAATGGTACTCCTACTTTTTCGAGATTTTTTAACTAGATGGTACTACTAGCTAGTGGTAAATCGACCTTCATGTTTTTCAACAAGCATGCATGTGTGTAGTGGACTTGTGGTACGAATTGGACACAAAACGCAACACTTCACCTAACCCTCCAAAAATTAAATCACATATGAATGAAAGAAACGGGGCCCCATAGGCCATAATTAAGTTAACCAAGCAGAAATCAGGTATGGTAACATCGACGCTTCACCTATAGCTATATATAGCTGGTAGTACATGCAAAACACTGTAAGAACATAGGCAACAACTACTACTTTTAATTTAAATTATCCATAGTCAATTCATATAATATTTACTTATAAACATACATAATATATAATTAATATCTGGTCTCACATATCATACACACATTACGTTTTAGAGTCTGTGTTATAGTTTAGCTATAAATTTGTAGCTCGTTGTTCTTCTCTCTTCTTTTATCTTTTCGACATGTGTTTATAGTAGTAGGGGTGCAAGCGGGCCGATCCGCGAGTTTAAATAAATAATAATTTATGGGTTTTCGCATTGCGGTCCGGCTTGCCGCATCTAAATATATAAGTGGATCGAACTATAAACCCATTTATAAGTCAAATTCATAGTTAACCCGCTAGTCAAACCGGCGGTTACGCACTATTTTTGTCTATAAGCATATTCGTGGGTAAACCCACTTGCACCTTTAGAAGTTTATAGTTGATTTATAATTATAGTTGATTTATAATTTGCTACTGTATCTGCTCTAAGCTAGCGAGAGCTCACCCAAGCTTGGGTACGTACGGTGTTCGGAAATCAGCGGAGACGATCGATATTTTATCGCGAGTGACGACGAAACGAAGAGATCGAGCTAGCCAGTACGTACCATCTCGCATGCAGCGTGACACACGGCAGTCGGCAGGCGGCATGGTGTAATGCATGTCAGATCTAATTTGGTGCCTTGTGCAGGGTGCATGAAGCCGCGCGCTCACTGCTGCTCAAGCTGGAGCTTAGCTAGCGTCACTTCGATCGGCCCCGTGAGCGTAAGCTCACGGCGATGGATGGCAGCAGTGTACATGTACGTACATCGCGATATCCACTGTCATCGTGATGCTCGTCATATATGCATGTTTTGGTACGATCACGATGGCAATATAAATGAGCATGTTAGAATTTTATATTACGGTGAATAAAGTTTTAGGATTGTGCTATGTATTATTAAAAAAATGTTCTACTAACCATTGGGCTTCAAACCGAACTATCACTTTTACTATTCAACTACCAAAAAAATCAATATGGCGCATTTTGGCATCAATCAAAAATAACCCACATCATATACTGTAGGCTATAACTCCCTCTACATTCCCGTAAAAATTATGGTCAAATCTGTTTTTTTTACTTTAAACTATAAAATTGATTATTTTTCCCCTGCAACTTTTAAAACTGGACATGTGAAACCCTATAATATATTTCAAGGTGATTTTCTCTATGAAAGTCTTTTCGCTTACAGAAACCCCATTTAGGTAGATTTTATAAGGTGTGTACTTTTTTTTTGTTGGGAACCCCTCCTATCCACACGCAAAACTATGCAATGGATTAATGCATGATTAGATAGTATTAGCTATAAAAAACTTAAAAAAGAACTAATATATTTTTTAAAACAACTTTCCTATAGTATTTCTTTTAAAAAAACACATTGTTTAGCAATTTGGGAAACATGAGCGTGAAAAACGAGGCAGGTGAATTGTGAACTTAGGCTAAAAAACACAGCCATAGTCATGGGCCTACCTAAATAACATTTACATCGACAAATTTTGCACGATACGAGCATATGAATTAGTAAACCACCTCTATTTCCAATAAAACATCTAAAATAACATCATAGGGTGTTTTTTTACCTGTTTTTTTTTCAAGGCGAAAAATAAATTAACTTCGAGCAAGGTTTAAGGGTTGAAAATATACTTCACCCTAAAATTTATCCATACCAAAGAAAGCTAGCTTAAGACGTGATTGCCATTAACTATATAAGTTTGAGACATTTCTTTTATACATTTGAGAAAGGGTTTGATGTAACTAAGCTGCTGAAATAACGAAAAACCCCACACCCTATGTAAGGTTAATGGTTTCTTGTCGTATTAGATATAATTTATTAAACTTTCACGCTATATCAATTAACTGAAACATCTAGAACCATCCGTTCAAATATACCACGGACCAAAATTTCTTATCAGGACACATCATTATTTTTCCGTGACGCAATGATTTCTTCTCTTTACATAAATGTTTTATCGTACCTAAAAGCAACGATAACGTATCCGAAACCTGGCTATTTTATGTCGCGATGTAATTAGAACACGAAACATACCAAATTAGTGCATCCAGCTTAGAAAGGCATTTGTCATTTTACCGTTCTGTTACAACCTTTTACCTTTCCACGTAACACTCGGTTTGTCGTTGAACCCCTGCATCCTCCCGCACTCCACGCCACATCATTGTACCGCATCAACGCCGCGGACACATCTGGCTAAAATCCCGGTAGCAGATCACCATCTTTATATTAAGCATCGCCTGACTCCCCAAGAAACACCAATCACCAGTTCACCACTTCACCATTGCCTTCCAGCAACCCAAAAAAAAAAAAGCTTACCAAATGGCGTGTATGAGTGTATCCTCAATTCCTCACCATGACATCCCAGCCGCTCATCAACGTTTCCATCATCCGCGATCGACAAATCCTGGCCGTTGATGCGTCCAGCCCCCTCCCCCACGAGGCCCTGCTGACGTGGCGCGACCAACCACCCTCTCCTCCCCCGGCCGGGGGTATAAAAGGGGGGTCTCCTGCCACCTCCGTCTCCTCAGCGCTCTCCTCTCCATTTTTTTCCTCCTATCGATTTTGCAATTTAGCCCCTAGGGAGGCAGGGAATCCGGCTCCGGTCCCTGTGCCGCTCCCCCCGGCTCTCCTTGCCTCCCTTGCTCCTCCGATCGAGGCTGAAGCGGCTTCAGGTGAGCCCCGTCCTGGCGATTCTTGATTCGCTTGGATATACATTTTGTAGCGAGTTCATCGTCTCGATTTAGATTTCGTTTGTTTTTGGCTGGCCATGGCTTTGGGGTTGGGTGGATTGGAGGAGGTGAAGTGAAGTGGTTCTTCCAGGAGGAGATTTTTGGTGGAGATTTTGGTGCTGGGAGCCTTTGGGTTGGGGATTGTGAGCTGTAGGAAGGTTTAAAGGGAGATGCCTTTGGAGGAAACTGTACTGAATTTGGTGAGGGTGTAGGATGCATAGAGCTATAGAAGGTTGGGGAATTTGCTGCTCGTAGGAGCTTAGGAGAGCTCGAAACTTTGGATAATATCACAATTGTTTAGGTGATTAGTTACTTGTCGATTGGTTGTGTTTTGATAACATAGAGTCTGGTTGTTGGGGTGTCCAGTTTTAGGCTAAGGTCTTGCTCTACTCTTACTGTATTACTACAATAAGTACAAGTTCTGAATGAGTACTAAATTAAGCTGGAGTTCTCCTTTTTAGCAGGCTTTTCCGGATCCCTGTGAAGTGTTGTAGATATCTAACTTGCATATTGTATCATGCAGGATATACATTTTTGTGGGAATGGGGAATTCTTGCCAAAATGGAACCTATGGGAACAATTACCAGAACAGCAACCGGTTTCAGAATGACCGTTTTGCTTCTCGGTACGTTGATGGGAATGATACTGAGGATTGCTACTCGGGCTCGTCAAGGGCCAGCTTAGCGGGTGCTCTGCGGCAAGGGCTGAACCTAAAGTCCCCTGTCCTTGGATACAAGACTCCAAATGTAAGGGAGCTCTATACTCTTGGCCGGGAGCTTGGACAGGGACAGTTCGGGAAAACATACCTCTGCACTGAGATTAGCACAGGGTGTCAATATGCATGCAAGACTATCTTAAAGAGTAATCTCCGATGTGTGTCAGATATCGAGGACGTGCGCCGTGAAATCCAGATAATGCACCATCTTTCGGGCCAGAAGAATATAGTGACAATCAAGGACACATATGAGGATGAGCAGGCCGTGCACATCGTCATGGAGCTCTGTGCAGGTGGTGAGCTCTTCAGCAAGATTCAGAAGCGAGGTCATTACAGTGAACGGAAGGCTGCAGAGCTTATAAAAATTATAGTTGGCATCATAGAAACATGCCATTCACATGGAGTGATGCACCGGGATCTCAAGCCAGAAAATTTCCTCTTACTGGACGCAGACGATGAATTCTCGGTTAAAGCAATTGACTTTGGTCTATCTGTGTTCTTCAGACCAGGTATTATGTCAGAGTCAATAAGTATATTCAATGGGGTTGTTTCTATATTTAGTCATGTTAGCAATCAGCTGTTTGATATCCTGCTAACTTATTTAGTTATGATGTAAATAGTTCCGTACAAAGAGCGAGTAAGGTGAAAGTATGGCAGAGTAGAAAAACAATCCCAATCAAATTTTCTACCAGTAATTTAGTCTTGGAAACATTAGTTTGTTGTAGTTCCTTATAATGCAGCTTTAACAAAAACAAATAATAATGTAATTGTTTACTCTTGCATACAATCTATGCTTCCTTTGGCTGTTTTTCCTAACTGATTCATATCTATCCACAAATCAGGTCAGGTTTTCAGAGAGGTAGTGGGAAGTCCATATTATATTGCTCCAGAGGTATTGGAGAAGCGTTATGGACCAGAGGCTGATATATGGACTGCTGGAGTGATTCTCTATGTATTGCTGACTGGTGTTCCTCCATTTTGGGCAGGTGATTGATTTGACAAGATTTGCAAAATTCTGCTTCATTGGTTTTAGTGAATTGCTAAAAGGACTTCTTTCACTCTTACTAGATACACAAAGCGGGATATATGAAAAAGTACTGGATGGACGTATTGATTTTAAATCAAACCGGTGGCCCAGGATATCTGACAGTGCAAAGGATCTTATAAAAAAGATGCTCTGCCCTTATCCATCAGAGCGTTTGAAAGCCCATGAAGTGCTAAGTTAGTATATTTAATATTTCGTTCATTAGTATCACTTTTATTCAATTTAGTACCTCGTAGAATAATTTTGGACCAATGTTTTTGTTATCCACGAAATTTCATAAGTTCCGAAACTATAGTAAGATCTCAAGAGTAAACAAAGAGCAGTTTCTTACAGTTTTTCTATTATATGTTCAGAGCATCCATGGATATGTGATAATGGAGTGGCTACTAATCGAGCTCTGGATCCAAGTGTACTTCCTCGTCTCAAGCAATTTTCTGCAATGAATAGGTTAAAGAAATTGTCTCTCCAGGTATATTTTTTTTTACCGTTTCATCTTGTCATAGAAAAGTCATTTATTTGTTTCCATTTTGTCATCATGGTGAAGCATCATTAAATGCTTTCACAATTTCCAGGGAAATCATTATTCTATTACTGCTGTCCTTTAATACTAAATCTAACAGAAGTGTGAACCTTTTTAAATTCCAGAAGCATAGCTACTTCTACAAGAATAAAAACAAAGCTACCTTGTGTACATCATGCCATCATGGCCAAATTGATTTGCTGCAGTTCAGATTTTTCCTCGTAGGATCTTAAAAATTTGACAGCACTGAAATTGTTTTTAAATCTGACTCAGTAATATTTTCTTCATTGGTGAATTGTTTATTGTTATCATATACGAAGATCTTTTGTCGGTATTGTACCTGTTCCAGCATTGCTTCCAAGTTGAGAGTTACAGACTTTTATGGTGCACCTAAATTTACTATTCTAAATTGACCCAGATATAATTTCATAAATTGCTATGATACAAAAGTAGGAGATGCTAGGAATCAGGATGAGATTAATTAAGGCATCAATTTTTACTTAAACTATTATGTCTATCTATTTCTCATATTTAAAAATATTACAGATTGCAGTAATCTATGTTTCTTACTTGCTGTTCATCCAGATTATTGCTGAGCGTCTTTCAGAAGAGGAGATTGTTGGGTTAAGAGAAATGTTCAAGGCTATGGACACCAAAAACAGAAGTGTGGTTACATTTGGTGAGCTTAAGGGACTGAAAAGATACAGCTCAGTGTTCAAGGATACTGAAATTAACGACTTAATGGAAGCAGTAAGTGGTCACTGTTATTGCAAAATACGATGCAAAATGTACTGTAGCACACTTAAACCATATACATGGTATCTGTAGTATATAGACTGGATATTGTTTGTCAACCTTTTGATCATGCTGCTTTTCAGAATTCTGTATTGTTTTGAATGTGTGTGAAAAGTCGGGGCCAACACATTCATGTCAAAAGATTACTTAAACCATTGGTTTAGTTGAAATGGAGTATGTCATGCATCTGTGATGAAATACTGTCTTCATTGCAGAACTGTTTTATATATTTTAACCTTTTTGAGTACTACTTCAGGCTGATGACACCACCTCCACCATCAACTGGGAAGAGTTTATTGCTGCAGCAGTGTCTCTTAATAAAATAGAACGTGAGAAACACTTGATGGCAGCCTTTACATACTTTGACAAAGATGGAAGTGGTTTTATCACAGTTGACAAGCTTCAAAAGGCTTGCATGGAACGTAACATGGAAGATACTTTCCTTGAAGAGATGATTCTGGAGGTTGATCAAAACAATGTAAGTTCTGTACTGTTTTTCAAGCTATAAGATCAGTGTGCTAGTATTAGTTATTGCTGTTCAGTAGCTAATTGTTCTACTCGTGAAGAATTTGATGGCACTGGTTATAGAATAGCAGCATGTATGTGGTAGAAGTTGGTCCTAAATGATGTTTCACTTTCAGTATTACCTTCAGCAATAGATATGAACCAATTTGGATCCTCTGCAGTGGAAGACCTGGATCCGATATGAACAACTATAATGATGTTATTTACAGGCTGTTTAAAAATGTATAGTTTAGAGGTTTCATACTTTTGCGCTTTCACCCCCAACTTATTGTCCTCTTTGTTTGAGGATAAACTGAACAGCTGAGGGAAGACTTCCCATATGTTCAAAAGGGCCTCAATTATTTGGCATATACTGTTGAATTATCATAAGATGAATACTTATATTTGCTTAGTAACATAGGAAAGCAAGTTATGTTTTTCTCAGAACAGAAAAGGTGTCATTGAGATTATTTTTGCTTCCTTGCTGAACATCTCATCAGTAATTATGTTTTTCTTGTTCTTTTTTTTTTGGTAAATTTTCAGGATGGTCAAATCGATTATGCTGAATTTGTCACAATGATGCAAAGCAACAACTTTGGACTTGGGTGGCAAACGGTGGAAAGCAGCCTGAATGTAGCCCTGAGGGAGGCACCCCAAGTATACTGAACTCCTGTCGCCTGGCACCCCCAAGAATTCAGTTTGTTCTCCTGAGCCTTTCATCTGTTTATCACAACACATAGTTGTGGATTTGAGAGAAGAGAGCCAAGACTAGATGGTTTATCAGTAATCACCCTATAGCAGTGGTGGAAGAAGACTCTCTTAGTACCTAATAGCATATAAATGTGTGGTCTAAAGACATCGTATATGTATGAACCTCATAAGTTCGTTCGTTCGTTCGTTTGGTTGGTTGGTTTGCTACCCTGCTATCTAATAATAATATCAATAATACCCGAAGAACCCCTCTTGGTTCTGCATATATCTCTGTGCTGGTGTTGTTAATTGTGTTTATTTTCCTGCAGTTTTTAAGTGATTTTTTTTTGTGCAAGTGATTATCTCATATCTCTTCGATGGTGAAGAGTTTTGGTGTGGTAACAGCAATCAGAAATTCAGACAGAAACCAGAACTTTTGGAACTGCAGAAGTGATATAAAGGCCAGGCGCTGAAAGTCTGAAGAATCAAAACATGACAAACCCGATCAAAAGCTGCGAAGAGAGGATGATGATCCGAGACCTGGATGGATGCTGCCGCAAGCCGCGGCGCGCTCTGCCCGCTCCACCACGAAGCCGCGCCGCGCGCACGGTGGCACACGGCCACACGCCGCGGGGGCGGGCTGCGGCGCCCTCGCCGCCGCGTCGGCGTCGGCGCGCGCGCGCTCGTGTTGATCTCGATCTTCTCGTGGCTGTGGGGAAAGGGGGGAAAAAATCATACGCGGATGCGCGCGCGGTGGTGAAGCGTGCGGCGCGTTGCGTTTTGTGTGGTGTGGGTGGGAGAGGAGAGGAGCAGCCCGGCCGCGCGCGGCGCGTCGCGTGGTGGCGACGCGACGCGACGCCGAGGGGGGGATCTGATCCGAGTGGGCTCGCCGTCCCGAGTGGGCCACAGCTGCTAGCCTGTTTCTTCTGGGCCGCGGCCTGCAAGGGGAAATATCACGTACTCCCTCCGTCCAAAATAAATTTATTTTTTTACTCACCTTACGCATACCCAAAAAATAATAGAATACCCCCATTTTATTAAATTATAATACAGTAATTTTCACTTTATCTACACCCAATTTATTTATCCTTCTACTTAAAGAAACTCTGATACAATGATATTCAAAAATAAACTTATTCTAAAACAAACGGAAGAAGAAAAAATAAACTTATTCTAAAAGACAGGGGAGTTTGAGAAACGTGTGTCCGCGTCACTTGTTTGTCTTGCAGCTTGTAAGTTGCTGATCTTTTTTTTTTCAGGGAGATCAAATTTAAATTTTAAAAGTTGATTTAAGAAGTTATTTTTTTATCGCTATCATAGTTCAATTTTCAACCTTAGCTTTTAAAACATAAGTAGCGCATATATAAAAGTTTTACGTCTAAACTTATTTTTAGCTGTTTATAAGTTGTTTTACTGCTTATTATTAGCCGTAGTCCAAATGATCATTTAAGTACGTTGTCCGGTGCTCGGATAGCTTGCTTGTTTGGGTCACAGGACGGTGGCGACGTGGTGTGGTGGCTGGCTCCGATCCGACCCTGACGTGCCACACCACTCCATATGTCCTTCCTGTACAAGTACCTGCCTCATCTGCCATTCCTGATGGCAATCGACCACGACCAACAAACTGACCAGTTTCTTCTTGTACTCATTAACAAGACCCCCAAGCTAACAGCGAAGAAGAAACTGAAAAACACACAGCCAATCAGAGACCCACCTGCTGGGCACCTCTCTTTTTCGTCCTTTACCAAGTCTAATCCAATCCAATCCTCGCAACATCTCACCACGAATCAGGATTTCAACGGCTGCTTCTGGACACGAACCTGTGAACGGATCCCACGAAATCCAAACAAAGATATCACGTCCCTGTCCTACTCGTACAGTACTCTTGCTACTGTAGCCTACTACTCGCAACTTACTTATACACGTGTGAATGGAGAGATATGTTACGGTTGTGCCGTTCGCATCCGCGGTGGAATAGCGACTCGTCTTCAGGGTTTACCTTGCTAGAAAGGATTGGAGGGACGAGGATAAGGGTGTGTTTAGTTCACGCCAAAATTAAAAGTTAAGTAAAGTACATCATTGGTCCTTAAACTTGTACCGATGTGTTATCTCAGTTCCTAAACTCGCAAATCGACCATGTAGGTCATCAAACTTATTCGATTGTGTCATTCTGGTCTCTAAACTTGCAGATCACTCGTTTAGATCCTTCAACTTGTTCAGTTGTCTCACCCCAGTCCCTAAAGAGGACGGTCTAAAAACTTTATATCAAAAAATAATTCATAATTTTTTCATGTGAACTCTAATGAAGACAAACTTTGTATCAAAATTGTAGCCCTCGACGCGATCTACAACTTTGTAGTTGAAATTTTTTGAATTAAAACTGTTTAGGGTCCCAAAATATTGTTGCATGTTTATAGATTTTGAAATTTTAATTTTAAAATTACATTTTGGGACAAAAAATGACTTAAAATAAAAAAAAATTCAACTACAAAGTTGTAGATCGCGTCGAGGGCTACAAGTTTGATATAAAGTTTGTCTTCATTAGAGTTCATATGAAAAATTTATGAATTATTTTTAAATATAAAGTCTTTAGACCATCCTATTTGACCTAAATGATATTCAAATCTAAGTTTAGTGACCGGAGTGACACATCTGAACAAGTTGGAGGACCTAAACGAGTGATCTGTAAGTTTAGGGACCGGGATAACACAGTCGAACAAGTTTGAGGACCTGAACGATCGATTTACGAGTTTAGGGACCGAGATGACACAACGGTACAAGTTTAGGGACCGGTGATGGACTTTACTCTTAAAAGTTTGGTTGAAATTGAAACGATGTGACGGAAAAGTTTAAAGTTTGTGTGTGTAGAAAAATTTTGATGTGGTGAAAAAGTTGAAAGTTTGAAAAAAAAATTTGGAACTAAACTCGGCCTAAGAAGTAATACATGCTGCATGTCGAAACTAGCTACTATTATAGTTTCTTTACATTTTCTAAAAATTTTAGTTTTTCTCCCCAAACTTTCTACTCTCGAAGGATCCTTAAGATTCTTTTTGTAATCTGGGTTTGTACAAAACCTTTGTTGTCTTTCTCTCTTCTTCTTAAATGAAATTGGCAGAGCTCTTGCCCGTTACCCCTCAAAAAAAAAATGTCGAAACTAACTAGGAATCTGTCATGTAGATCTTTGCTAATTTTGAATGGAGACTTATAAATAAGATGTATTTCATTTGTTTTATGTTGAAGTTCTTAAACTTATTACCTTGTCATATATGAAATAAAACTCTATATCGAGTGAATAATGTTTATAACATATCGTTGTAACTTATTTTGAAGCAAAGGTCGAAGGGGTGGGAGGCTACCGCAAATACAAAAGACGCTCCAAAGAAAGCCCTGCGCATGCTAGCGCCCCTGTTAGCTTGGGAAATCTGGAACGAAAGAAACTGCAAAACCTTTCAACAAAAGGAGCTATGGTAGCCTTCTGGCTAAAATTAAATAGGAGGCCAAATCGTGGTTCTTGGCAGGAGTGAGAGATGTCGGTAGTTGGCTTTCTTTTTTGTTGCTCGGACTGAAGTTCCTGAGCCTTGATTTTTTTCTCTGACACTTGTAAAGTTTACTCCCCCTCTATTCAATGAAAGTGGCAGCTTGCCGATTCATTTAATTTTTTTAAGCAAAGGCCATATATTATTCTATTATTAAGAGAAATAGCGGATCGAAGGGGTTACCGTATCACGACAATAAAACCGACTACCAAGATCAACGTATTACTATTTTTAAAGAAAAACTTGGTAGGATTATGGGACTATCATTGTGGTAATTAACCGACGGTAAAGGAAACCGTAAGTCGTCTCTGGTTACCTCGGCAGCTAGCAGTCATCACCACCACGCGAGCTCGCTCAGCAACACGACACGCTCACCGCTCCCATCCCAGTAGCTCCCATCGCCGTGGCGATCGAAAACCACCGCGTTTCATTTTCCTCCTCTTCTTCTACCAACGCCCATTAATTCCCCTCGCTCGCTTGCTTTGCTCGCATTAACACCTGATCACATCAACTTTGCCCAAGTCGTAAAGCTTCCTCTCTACTAATCCAAGTCACAGGTCGGCCATGACCCAAATCCCGTGGCGTCAATTCGATCACTCGCTCGACCTCGCGTGCGTCGCCACCGTCGTGGACGAGCCGCGGCCATCGGAGACGAAACAGGAACGCCCAGAGCGCTCCTGGCCGTCGATCCGACCAACGAGGCGAATCTGAGCCGTCCGATGGAGTAGTTGCGCCTCCTTTTTCAACCCCCCCACCCTTCGCGCCAACGCCACAGTGCGCGCGCTCCGCGTCGTGACACGGACGGACATGGCGGGCTCCGGTGGCGAGGCGATGGCGAGCTCTGGGCTTGACCTGGGCGAGTACCTCGATCGGCCGGACGCTATCCACCGGCGAGCGGCGTCGGTCGCCATCGTGAGGTCCGGTGGTGGCGATGGGCCGAGGATTGTGGATGGAGGGAGGGATGATCGGAGGGCGCGGTCGTCGCGCCGGCTCTCGCTGTCGTCGTGGAGGAGGCCGGCCGGCGGCGAGACGTCGGTGGAGTCGAGGAGGTATGGTTTTACGGCGGCGGCGGCGGCCGAGGTTGGGGGGAAGACGAGGGCGGCGGCGATATGGGAGTGGAAGCCGGTGCGCGTGCTCTCTCGCATCGGGAAGCGCCGGTGCGGGTGCCTCCTGTCCGTCGAGGTGGCCGGCGTCCGCGGCGTTCCGGCCTCCATGGACGGCCTCCGCCTCGCCGTCACGGTGCGCAAGGCGGAGACGAAGGACGGCGCGGTGCAGACGATGCCGGCGACGGTGCGCGGCGGCTGCGCCGACTTCGTCGAGACGCTCTTCGTCAGGTGCAACATCTACTTCGCCGGCGGCGCCGGCACCGGGAAGCCGCTGAAGCTCGAGCCGCGGCGGTTCGTCGTGTCCGTCGTCCCCGCCGAGGCGCCCGGCGTCCGTCTCGGGGCGCATGCCGTCGACGTCAGCTCCCTCGTGCTCGACTCCCTCCAGAAGAGCTCCGAGGGCCGCCGTGTCCGGTGGTTCGACACGGCCGTCACCCTCTCCGGCAAGGCCACCGGCGGCGAGCTGCTGCTCAAGCTGGGGTTCCAGCTCATGGACGACGCCGGCCTCTGCCTCTACACCCAGGCGGCAACGGAGAAGGTCGACGTCGTCGACGACGTGTCGCCGGCTCTTGCCAGAGCTCACAACAAGAACTCGTTCAGCGTCGCGAGGACGTCGGGGCCCAAGCTTTCAGCATCCGACGCGGCCATCTCGCCCTCCATGAGAGCCTACAAGCAGCTCATCGATAGGCTCAGCGTCGACGAGCATGGAGATCCTGTGACGTCGCTGATCCCTCGGAAGCTCGCCGACGACGAACTTTCCGGCGACGTCGGCCTCCCGGAGTACGAGGTGGTTGACAAGGGCGTCGAGACCGTCAAAGAGGTCGTCCACTACCATGCTCACCGCGACGTGCTCAAAGAGCTCGACTCCATTGCCGAGCAGATCGAGGCCATCGAGGCGCTGATGACGAACGGCGGCAAGAAGTCGCCGCCGTCGCCGAAGAAGGTGGATCAGAAGCAGTGCCTCGACGCGGATGAGGAGATGGTGACGGTGGAGTTTCTACGGAAGCTCGAGGTAGTCGACGATAAGGGCAGGAAGCTGAAGCAGCCCATGACGCCGAGAAGCGAGTCGGAGAAGAAGGCGGCGGCGGCGGCGCCGCCGGTGGTGCCGGACTTGGGGCCGGGCCTTGGGACGGCGGTGCAAACGCGCGACGGCGGATTCTTGGTGTCCATGAACCCGTTCGACTTGCCTCTTGAGAAAGGAGATGCACCCCCGAAGCTCGCCATGCAGGTGTCGAGGCCGTTCGTGCTGCCGAGCTCCATGGCCGCGACTGGGTTCGACGTCCTCCAGAAGATGGCGGCGGCGGGCGGCGCCGACGAGGTCCGGGACAAGGTGGCGAGGCTCGGCGGCATGGACAACCTCACGGGGAAGACGCCCGAGCAGGTGGGCTTCGAGGGCATCGCGGAGGCGGTCATCGGCGGGCGGCGCACCGAGGGCGCGAGCTCGAGCGCCGCCCGGTCCGTCCGGCTCGTCCGGAAGCTCGCCGCCGCCGTGTCCGATGGCCGGAGCGAGCGCGTCGCCACCGGCATCTGGACCGCGGCGGACGACCCGGAGACGCTGGAGGAGGTGATCGCCTTCTCCCTGCAGAAGCTGGAGGCCATGGCCGTGGACGCGCTCATGATCCAGGCCGAGATGGCCGACGAGGACGCGCCGTTCGAGGTGGCGCCGGCCGCGGGCGACGCCACCACCGTGTTCGACGCGCTGGTGTCGCCCGACGAGTGGTCGGAGTCACGCGGCTCCGACGGCCGCGTCACGGTGGTGGCGGCCATCCAGCTGCGCGACCCGTCGCGGCGCTACGAGGCGGTGGGCGCGCCGATGGTGGCCGTCGTGCAGTCGGCGAGGCTGCTCGGCGCGGCGGGGAACAGCGGCGGGAGGTTCAAGGTGAGGAGCCTGCACGTCGGCGGCGTGCAGCTGCGGTGCCCGGTGGGAGGCGGCGCCGGCGGCGGCCGCGCGAGCTGGGGCGCGGAGAGGCAGAAGCTGACGGCAATGCAGTGGGCGCTCGCGCACGGGCCGGCGCGCGCCGCGGGCAGGAGAGCGCGGACGCCGACGACGACGACGACGCCGTCGTCTCAGGCGAGGCAGCGGCCGGACGTCGTGTGGAGCTTGTCGTCGCGGGTGCTCGCCGGGATGTGGCTCAAGACGGTGCGCAACCCGGATGTCAGAGTTGGCGCCACCGCCGCCGGCAGCGGCGGCGGCGGCAACTGAGACGGCGCCGGCCGGCCGGGATGGCACGTTACACAATTTGTAGGTTTGCATGATATGTATGCAAACTCCAGTACTCCCCGTACTGGTACATTACATAAGTATTAGCATAAAATCGTTTTATCTGAAGTCTGTTTGAAACGCAGGAATTTTATAGAATTTTTAGAAATCAGATAAAATTCCTGCATTTGAAACAGGCCTTGTGTTGTATGTGTAGGCAGTGTAGCCAAGTTGTCAGTGTGTTACTGTGCAGAATCATGCGTTCGCTTGCCTTGTTTGGTACTACAATGTTATCATTTTAATTCATTCTTAACTACATATGAGAGTAAAAAAAAATCAAAACTACTATATTGGACATACTTATTTTTCCTAAGTTAACATTCTGGGAGGAGCAGTCTAGTTTCATATAGTAAGTTGATATGAACAGTCCTGATCGAACTGATTAACTAGTAGTCTAGTTCTGATTTCTGAATCTGCTTCGTAAAGCTGACTGTTTGTGTGTGTATGAAAGTTTTGATGTGATGGAAAAGTTGAAAGTTTGAAGAATAACTTTGGAACTAAACACGCCGTGATTAACTGTTTCTGCACATTGGGCCTCACAAAAGCCCAAGAAAGACAGGTATCGCCATTGCCTGTCAGACATGTAACCCAAACTGCAAATTAACCATATCAAATGCCATGAGCCCATGAGAAAACTTCTAATTAACATCTTTCAATGCAACAATACGTTTGTAATCCGTACAGCAACAGTGTCACTACGTGATCGACTCGAGATCATTGCCACAAAGTACAGTACTTTGGAAGGAACTAAAGCTCGTAGCGTAGCGATCATACACTCGTATACAGTGACCCGTCGTCAACCGTGTTCACACTAATCCAGAGAGCCGTCTCCTTCGTCTTTGCTCCGGGCAACGCCATCGCAAAGGTCGCTGTTGCATAGTTATGGCGAGGACACTTCAGAGCTATCCATGGACCAATGACCATGGACACAAATTTGCTTTCCTGTTGCTGATAGTGGCCATGCTCCCTCTCCACGTTGCTGTCCATTTTACGAGCTTGGAGCTCATCTTTCCGTCCTAAAATATAATTATTTTTACTTGTCAAATTAAAATTTATATGGCAATGTAATTTTTTTTGGGCGCTGATTTCATTACGCGGAAATTCATATATTTTCAGCTGATCAGATGCTTGGGAGGTGAATCTAAATAATTCAAAATTTAAAATTCGACCACCGAGACAACTGAAAGACGATAGTTTTCCTTAATTTTAATACTTATTAAATAATTAAGAAATGTTTATATTTTTAGAACGGAGAAAGTAATGAGAGTGCAACAGTCAGCGGGCTCAATTTTGGTACGGCTCTAGGTCTGAAAATGACCCTGGTCCAATGCACTGCAGGGAGGGAAAGATGCTAGCTCTCGGATGCATCCTCTGAACAGAGAGATTCTGCATTTGTGATTTGAGTTTTTGGGCGAGATATTTGGAGGGCCATGACCGGTTGCAAGAGGCCACTATTGGAGAGGAGCAGAGTAGGAACAAGTCAGGCTCGCAGGTGGGCCGGCATATATGGGCCAACCCATCTAGTGACAGAGTGACACATCCTAGTCATTCGACGAATAATTTGCAAAGTTCATTTGGAATATGATTGCTGCCCACTGTTGTTTTTGCTCTTAAATATGTTTTTTAGCAAGCTGAATTTCATGTATTTTAAACTTATGTGAATTAATGCATGTTGTTTTTTTCTCCAAAAACAGAAGCCATGTTCTTTTCAGCTTATTCGATTATTAGCTCCACATGAAAAATACATTTTCTCAAAAAACTTTCTTCGATTGTATTATTTAGATTACTTGTTTTACAATACTCCCTCCGTCACATAATATAGCAACCTAGGACTGAGTCTCTCTGTTCAGATTCGTTGTACTATGAAATATCCCATTCAATCTTAGGTTGCTATATAATGAGACGGATGGAGTATTTATTATGTTTATTTGTAAAAAAATTAATATAATCTTATAATCAAGTTGATAATCAATTAATTAATCAGTGATGATAATTAATCTAAATGAAAGCCCGGTTACTTGCTTAACGGCAGAAACCATATCTAAGAGCAAATTTATCTGAACAGCTAACCAAAACACCGGTTTTTAGATGTATCTCATAGCTCCAGTTGCTAAACGCAGAGAGCAATTTATGCTCAAATTCGGTCAAATTTGGATGAAATGGTCCAGGCATGACAGAAAAAAAAAATAATCCAGATGACCAGAAACCGATCAGAACCCATATGGATGTTCAGAAAAATTCAGAGTTTCAGATGTCTCCAGAGCACGGACAACTCCTCGCTCGTCTCGTCGTGGCGTTCGCAGCAGATGCCCAGCTAGCGAACGTCACTCTCGCTTCCAATCCAATCCAATCTCACCCCCATTCGCTAGCGCCGCAGCACACGCGTGCCCACGCACGCGAGCATCCAGCCGCCGCCGGCGCGACGCGACACCTCATCTCCTCGTCGCCAGCAGCGGAGAGCCACGCGTCCATGCCTGCGAGAGCCAGAACGTAGCGAGCGAGTAAGCAAGCGCCGGCGCCGAACGCGCGCGCGGGGCGACGTCAGCGTTGCGTCGGCGCGCGCCCGCCGCCGTCGCGCGCCGCCGCGCGTGGGGGGTGAGGTGGACGGGAGGGGGAATATATCCGCAGGTGAAGTTACAGCGACGTGGCGGTGGATTAATCAGTGGGCTGGGGGCATGGAATTTTTTTTACATTTTAAATCTATTTAAAAATTTACTCCTCCCAGAATTTATAAAACCGTACGATTATCCTATTATCCTAGTTATATATCACCTGCGCTAACCTTTCCGGATTTTAAAACCATAGTATACCTCGCGATAACCGCCAAACCGTGGGGTGGCGGCAGGGGCGGATCCAGGAACAAAAAATTTGGGGACTCAACATACCGAGTACACCGGCATAAATACATTAACTCAATATTAAACTATGTTAAAATACTATTAAGAAACCTTTAGCACATTCTATCATATTAACCATGACGAAAAAATTGAAGGGGAGACTCAGAGGGTATCCATGGGTTTGGGTTTCCGCCCCTAGGTGACGATAACTCCACTCTAAATGGATTGGTAGAATAATGACGATGAGTTTGTTTTTTTATGGGATGGAGAAGTATTTTATAAATAATCCTTTAGACAAACTTATTTTACAAATGATTATAAATAAGTTTTTTTAATTATTTTTATAAGTAAATCCTTGGCTCTAGTGTTATTGACGCCAAACACTATTGAGCTTTTGCGGGCGGGTTTTCAAAAAGGAAAAAAAAATAAAAATCATGGGGCTGTGGCTAAGGAAGCTTCACTTCACAAAAGCTGCTGCTGAGGATAATACGTTAAAGCTGATGGCAATGTGCTGCTGAAAGCAACGTTGTAGTGACGCAATGTAGGCCACACGGTATGATAAATCTTTTTGGCGTCGCTCACCCACTAGTTTCCGTCCCATTTGGCCATAATTTGGTTTGAAATATTTCACGTGACACTTAGTTTGTGTGGAAATTTGACGATCAAATAATGGAGCTTGATAGGGAAAAAAAAAAGAAGAACGAAGTAAAGCAAACAAGGTAAATCAACTCTAGAGGCTGCAGTGTTCTTGTAAAAGAAAATCCCAAAGGTAATTCTGGAGGGAACATGTGAAAATTGTGTTTTTCAGAAGGGCAAGACTATATTCTGCACGTTTTGCAGGTATTTTTAGGCGAGCGGTTGATTTGCAATACAGTTAATCGCCGATGATATCTTTCATTTCGGTTCGATGTTGCTAGCAAAGTTCCAATCGGCGGGAACAATCAGGCATTGATTTCGAGGAGTTTGTTTTCAGGTTTGATGAGAACAAGGATTACATACAAGCAAATTGTAGATTTTTCGCCAACTATAGATAACGCTGTCTCTGTCTTTAGGGTGATGTTCCGATTAATTTTTTTTATCTAATTTCCGTCTTAAAATATAACAATCTTGAACTGAATAGAACATATCCTATTTCCTAGAACAACATCATGTTCAGATTCATATTCTTAGTATGTGTCTTCTTCAATAGTAGGTTACTATGTTATGAGACGGAGAGAGTATCAAATTGTGATATGTAATGGCAATGCATAGTCTTTCAAGTTGCAAACACTGTAATAATTAACTATAATTTCTTGGAAACAAGGTCTGAAATAAATTTCATTATCTTAAAATATACATTACTATAACTATTTTAGATTGCCTATGATTTAGTAATATATGAATAACAAACTAATAGCCCACAAATGCCACCACTAGGCCACAATAGAAACTTCCATGGTTTTCTTTCTAGAATTGGAGTAAGAAGACACTTGCGTTTGGAGCATGAATTCCATTAGTCCCAAAGTGGAAAAATACCTTATAATAATTCCGATTAGGTTATCTTCCCTTATTCTCTCCTTCTCGAAATGACACAACACCTTTACAAGTTTGCATTCTCCGCAGAAAATATAAATTAATTTAGGAAGAAGAAGTTGTTCAGACTTGTACAACGTAGAACTCTAGAATATCCAGCTCATAGAATGGACCTCGTGTGACGTGTGAGCTCCAATAAATAATTAAATTTGAACTAAACTAACATTGATAACCTATAGTACTCCATCCGTCCAATAAAAAATCCAACCTAAACATGCTTATGCTTATGTTCAGATTCGTTGGTCTAAAATATATCCCATCCATGTCTAGGTTGACTTTTTTCGGGTCTGCTGTGTTTAAGATAAGGAAATAGGAGAAGATTGGGAAGATACGCAAAATAAAGTGAGCCATTAGCACATGATTAATTGAGTATTAACTATTTTAAACTCTAAAAATAGATTAATATGATTTTTTAAAGCAACTTTTCTATAGAATTATTTTTAAAAAAACATACCGTTTAACAGTTCAGAAAACGTGCGCGCGGAGAACGAGATGAATCTCCTCTTTCTCACAATCCCTCAAACGCACACACATTATATATATATATATATATATATATATATATATATATAAAAAAAGAAATGTACACACGATATTAATTGCTTTCTGGTGAGACAGTAGGATCTAAAACTCGGAGGAATTGCCACGGGAAGAACAATAGAACATCCAGAAAGCCAGCACACAAAAAAGGGTACAATTAATCTCTGCAGAAAAAGGAAGAAGAAGAGAGTGAGAGGTGGACTGCTTTTGCCTCGCTGTTGCAATCAAATGGCGCCATTTGGAATAAAGTAATCCAACATGCTGCGTCAGATTGACAAAAAATATTAACCACTCTAAACAAAAGTGTCATTGTCTTGATAGGCATCTTAGTATATAGATCGGGCCCAACATGTCACCCATTTTCTGAGAGCCTTTCTGAAACTACTGCAAAAATGTTCGGCGAATTTGATCTGAAAAAAAATGTTCAGAGATGGGGCCAACTCTTATTTTGGAGAAACCTGGTCCGCTGCTGTCCGTTTCATAGAACTATTGTACCCATCTCTAGTTATAATCCTACCGAAAAGGAGGCACCAATGGGTATATTGATTGCAATTGTCTGGCACATTTTTCTGTTTTTGAGAATGGGAAATTGTGCTAGACATAAATAAGCTAAAATGGAGTGAGATCTAGATCTATCAGTGGAGATCATCAGTAGGGGAATATGTGATGTGCATACTTGCATGTTCTGATTTTAAGTGCTTGCTAATTATGTGCCATTAGGCTTGTGATGTTTGTCACCTAGTGTTCACCTGCTGCTTGATCATTAATTTATTCAATTCAATCACGATGCACAGGGCTAATTAGTAACAATGTAAGTGGGGAGCAAAGGGCCTTTTTATTTGACTAGGAAACGGAATTAAGTTGATGGTAGAAAGTAGTAGAAGTGTAGAACATGGTAACACAATAATATCAACATTTTGGCACCCTAGGAGATGTGTTCAATGAAAATGTTGGTGACCAACTGACCATAGATGAGCATACAAAAAGTCATGTGTATTAAGAGAAGTTTGAAGTCTGGTCCTCAAGGGGGTCACATTTATTGTGATTATAGAGTGCTAACACCAACACACGTCATATGTGTTCCATCGATATTCTCTGGCTACCAAATCGCATTATAAATAGTTCAATAAATGTCCTCTCCAAAAAAAATGATCGATGCCTTCATGAGACATAGCACTCGTATTCTAACATATTATGTGATTGACACTTTTTACACTAGAAGTTTGATAATATGAACATTCAACACTTATGAATACCATAGGACATTCAATTTTGTTCCCAATTAACGGTTATAACTGGAGGGAAGACCGAAAAGGAGATATATGTATTTTTTTATTCACCACTACTAAATAACGGTATGTGTTGGATTCACGTTTAAAGGGTCATATGTGGATCATGCAATTCACTTCTCACTTCTTTTATTTAGACTCCTAAAATTGAGTAACACTAGCTCACACACCCCTCGATATTTACATGCCTTACCCCTCTCTTGCACGGCGATGGTCAAGCGGTGGCGGTCAGCATGACCATTGGCACGTCAGCATACTTCCCCTATTTAGAGACCTAAAATTGAGCAACCCTAACACACACTCCTCAATCTCTACACACCTTACCCTTCCCTTGCATGAGGTGATGATCGAGTGGCGGTGATCACTGCGACCATTGGCACGTCGGCGCACTCTCCCTATTTAGACTCCTGAAATTGAGCAAACCTAGCGCACACTCCTCATCTCTATAAACCTTACCCCTCCCTTGCACGGTGATGATGGAGCAGCGGCTGTCACCGCAATACTTGTCTTGTCACCACACTTCCCTTCTCCTAACTGAAAGGGATCAATCGTAATATACGCCCCTTATTTTCTACACACTTTACCCTTCCCTTGCAATGATTGTCTGGTGATGGCTATCACCATGATCCTTGGCTCGTCACCACACTTCCCCTATCTAGACTCCTAAAATTGAGCAACTCTAACACAAGTCCCTCAATCGGTACAAACCTTATCATTTATTTGCATGGGATGGTCGGTGGTGACAGTTGCCATCATCCTTGACTCGTTATCAGTTGCCTATGTTCCCTCAAATCTCTTCTATCCTGAAACATGTGAACGGGATTTGACCGATGATGTTAAATCATAGCGCCACTACAATCAACCCTAATTTTGGTACCTAAGGCGACATCATTTTGAAAGGAAGAGTCAGAGAGGAAAGCCATGGAGTAAGGTTGATGTGCCCGCCGTTGTGATTGATGGCATCCTTAGATCAGATCTGATGGTGTCGCCACAATCAACCCTTATCCGATACCTAAGGGACATTGTTTCCAAAGGAAGATTAAGTGAGCGAAGCCATAGAGCAAGTTTGATGTGCCCACCGCCACGACTAGATCCCCTATCTGCCGCGCCAAAACCACTCAAGTTTTATCCCCCTTCCTTTTCTTTTTTGAAATAGTACTAGAACTCATTCATACCTTATGAAACCTAAACTTGAAATGTGCTAAAAACACTCTTCTATAATTTTGCAATCAATGCAAATAGTTTAAAACCAACTTCCAAAGTATTTTAGAGGAATTATATAGGAATCCATTCCTTCACGCATTATCCTTCCCTTGCATGGTGATGGTCGGGTGGCGGCGATCCTTGGCTCCTCATGGCTCTTCCCCTATTTAGACTTCTAAAATGTAGCAACTCTAACACACGCCCCCTCAATCTGTGCACCTTATCCTTCCCTTGCATGGTGATGGTCGGGTGGTGGCGGTCACCGCGTTCCTTGGCTCGTCATGGCTCTTCCCCTATTTAGACTCCTAAAATTGAGCAACTCTAACACACACCCCCTCAATCTGTACACATTATCCTTCCCTTGCATGGTGATGGTCGGGTGGCGGCGGTCACCACAATCCTTGTCTCTTCTCCAGTTGCCCATGTTCCCCTCAAATATTTTCTATCCCAAAACTTAGGATGGGGATTTGGCCTATGAGATTAGATCTGAGGCACCACCAGATCAGATCTGTTAGCGCTGCCACAATCAATCCTAATATGACACCTAAGAGGACACCGCTTTCAAAGGAAGAATCAGCGAGCGAAGCCATAGAGCAAGTTTGAAGTGCCTGCCGTGGTGATTGATGGCGCCACCAAATCAGATCTGATGGTGCCACCACAATCAATCCTAACTTGGTACCTAAGAGGATATCATTTTCAAGGAAGAGTCGACGAGTGAATCCATAGATCAAGTTGGATGTGCCCCGTGGCTGCGTCTAGATCCCCAATCTGCTACGCCAAAAGCAGTCAGGTTTTATTCCCTTTTCCTTTTTTTTTTGTTGAAATACTACTTGAAGCCTAGATCTTACTCATGCCTAACGAAACATAAGCTTGAAACATGCTAAAAACACTTTGAAGTTCTCGTGTAATTCCACAACCAATGCAAATAGTTTTAAAAACTAACTCTTAATGTATTTTAGTGGAATTTTATAGGATATCTGTGGTCTTTAGGACAAAGGACTGCACCCGTATTAGTATGATTTGGGATGCACCCATATTTTTTTAAATCCCTATGGAATGTCTCATTCTACAGGAATTTTGGGAGCATCATTTGTACCAAATTTCGTATCCAAATTCCTCAATTATAATCTATCCCGAGTTTAAGATTAGGACTTGTTTGGTTAATATTGATTATAGAGCAAAGAGAAGGGTTTCCGATGGAGTGTTTAGTGGAATAATATATAGAACTGAATGTTTTTTTTAATAATGAACACTAATAATTAGATACTTTGTAGGGTAAAATAAGAATTTGGTGCAACAAGAAACTATACATGTTTCTATTCTCCCAAAATTCCTATAGAACGAGATATTCCATAGGAATTTTAAAATATCATATGAATACATGTCTATCTAAAAGTTGGAACCAAACATGTCTTGTTTCTTGAACGCGGAGATAGATTAAAATGAGGAAAATAGCTTTTAAAATTGGCACACATGATGCATCCCTTTGCTCTATAATCCATATGAACCAATCAAGTCTTGCATCTCGAACTTGGGTTGTATTATAATCGAAGAATTAAGATCTGAAAATTAGCACACATGACACATCCCATTACAAGCTAGCATTTCAACCTTAAAAAAACTAAAATGGTATTGATTTCCTCTGATACACCACACATAGTATGCTTTCAAAATTCTTGTGGTGAACATGGCAATTCATCAAAATACCAATTTTTTTGCCAGCATCAAGTACATAATGGTTGGTTGTCCTACATGGAGCACAAGGATGGATCCGAAGGCATCCAGCTCAATAATTCTCCTCTGACACTGGCTGGCTCTACTGCTAATGCTCACCTGTCAAATAAACATCCCAAAATCAACTTCTCACCTGTCAGATCACCACCCTCTCTCACTGAACCACCTGGCCCACAACCTGCATGGCCCCACCTGTCAGTCACCTAAGCAATGCAAAGAAGGGGTAGAGGAGAAAAAAACATTGCCTCTCTAGAGCAAAATCTATGGTAGTCCAAAGAGTCCACAGCCCACACTCACTCTCCTCACCCCCCCCCCCTCGGCCCTGGACTCCCTCCTCCAAATCTCCCCTAAAAGCTTCCCAATTTGGCGAGAATTCCCCATATATTTGCCCCATCTCGGCGTCCCAACGAGCCCTTCCAGATTCCCAGCCGCCTCTCTTCTTGTTAGGGGATCCGAAATCTCGGTGGACGAGAGACTTGGGTAAAGAAAGGGTTTCTTTCTCTCTCTGGGGGGAGGCATGTTCTTGATTCTAGGAGGGGATTTGTTAGATCGAATCAAGTTTTGTTTGTGGGTGGGGGGAGTTTTGTTGTAAGATTTGTGTTGCTGATGGCGTTCTTTGTTGTGGTGTTGATGGTGGTGTTCGTTGTTTTCTTTTCTTTTTCTTTCTTGTGCAGTGGTAAGATTCGCCGGCCATGGCGGGCGCCGTGCTGGTCGCCATCGCGGCCTCCATCGGCAACTTGCTGCAGGGCTGGGATAATGCAACCATTGCAGGTAAGTTCGTGGTTAGAGAAAAAACGAATCTTTTTTTTTCTGCCATAGTTTGTGTGCCATGTCGTTATGTGACGCTAGGGCCCGTGTTTGGTGGCAATTATTGTGATACTTGTGGAGATCATGATGGATTTGGTGGAATCATCTGCAGTAAAAATAGTTTTAGTTGTTCTTCTCTGTTCATGATATCACAAAAAAAAACAACTGATATTTTTTTTTCAGTAGAATTTTGAGTCAATTATGAGTAGGATTTAACAAATGTACGGATCTCATGAATGATCTGTATTTATGGAACTTGATACTGTCTGCATCGTAAGGTTTCAGAAATTTGATTGATACCGATGGTTTTGACTTCTTGCTGACCCTGTGGACTTGTTGGGATGATCTTTATCAGGTGCGGTACTGTACATCAAGAAGGAATTCAACTTGCAGAGCGAGCCCCTTATCGAAGGCCTGATCGTGGCCATGTCGCTCATTGGGGCGACGATCATCACGACGTTCTCTGGAGCAGTGGCTGATTCTTTTGGTAGGCGGCCCATGCTGATCGCGTCGGCTGTCCTCTACTTTGTTAGTGGGCTAGTGATGCTTTGGGCGCCAAATGTGTATGTGTTGCTCTTGGCGAGGCTCATTGACGGGTTCGGGATCGGTTTGGCTGTCACGCTTGTACCATTGTACATCTCTGAGACTGCCCCGACGGACATCAGAGGACTGCTAAACACGCTGCCGCAGTTCAGTGGGTCTGGAGGGATGTTCCTTTCATACTGCATGGTATTTGGCATGTCCCTCATGCCACAGCCAGATTGGAGGATCATGCTTGGCGTTCTATCAATACCATCACTTATATACTTTGCATTGACCATCTTTTACTTACCTGAATCGCCGAGGTGGCTCGTGAGCAAAGGAAGAATGGCTGAGGCCAAGCGTGTGTTGCAAGGCCTGCGTGGAAGAGAAGATGTTTCAGGTTTGTATGTCTTACCCAGCATTTTTCCCTGTGAGGATCTAGAAAGTGGAGAAACTATTTAATGCTATCAGTATAGGTATATTATCTATGCGATGGAGTTTCTCATGTTGAATTAACTGTGCAGGAGAAATGGCCCTTCTCGTTGAAGGTCTGGGGGTTGGGAAAGACACAAAAATTGAGGAATACATAATTGGACCTGATGATGAGCTTGCTGATGAAGGGCTGGCTCCAGATCCAGAGAAGATCAAACTGTATGGTCCTGAAGAAGGCTTATCGTGGGTTGCCCGTCCTGTTCACGGGCAAAGTGCACTTGGAAGTGCATTAGGTCTCATCTCTCGTCATGGTAGTATGGTCAGTCAGGGTAAGCCCCTTGTGGATCCTGTTGTCACCCTTTTTGGAAGTGTCCATGAGAAGATGCCTGAGATAATGGGAAGCATGCGGAGCACATTGTTTCCTAACTTTGGCAGCATGTTTAGTGTGGCGGAACAGCAGCAAGCTAAAGGTGATTGGGATGCTGAGAGTCAACGGGAGGGTGAAGATTATGGATCAGACCATGGTGGGGATGACATTGAAGATAGCCTCCAAAGCCCACTTATTTCTCGTCAAGCGACAAGCGTGGAAGGAAAGGAGATCGCTGCACCTCATGGCAGTATAATGGGTGCTGTGGGAAGAAGTAGTAGTCTCATGCAGGGCGGGGAGGCAGTAAGCAGCATGGGCATTGGTGGGGGATGGCAGTTGGCTTGGAAATGGACTGAGAGAGAAGGTGCAGATGGCGAAAAAGAAGGTGGCTTCCAACGTATCTACTTGCATGAAGAGGGTGTGACAGGTGATCGCAGGGGCTCTATACTGTCATTGCCTGGAGGTGATGTTCCTCCTGGTGGTGAGTTCGTCCAGGCAGCTGCTCTTGTCAGCCAACCTGCTCTTTACTCTAAGGAATTGATGGAGCAACGCCTTGCTGGCCCTGCTATGGTGCATCCATCTCAGGCAGTTGCTAAAGGTCCAAAATGGGCAGACTTATTCGAACCTGGAGTGAAGCATGCTCTGTTTGTTGGCATAGGGATACAAATCCTGCAACAGGTAACCCTTTTTCTGATTTTATGTCATGTACGAATGCATGTGCTATGGTTGAACCTAATTTTCTAGTAGCTCCAGTATAAATTACTCTGATTAATGTAACTGGTTAAAATCAAAGCATCTTCATGCAGTGTCCTTCTAGGTTTCTAGCGAGTCTCTCATTAAAGCTCTTACTTACCTTACTCGAAAAACATGTTTAGCTGTTACGTGTTTTTCTTGCATATATATTCCATACAAGGACAATGAGCTAAACTGCACAATAAATACACCTTTGATGATTAGAATACAAATGCCATCAATGTTTGTTTAGTTTTTACACTAGTAAAGTCAACCTTAACATCTTGCAGTATTCATTATTAAGAAAACCATTGGGACTGGGCTATGTCACATGACCTGATTACGGGTATTCTATCTGAAGCACAGAAACAAATGTGCATGCATTCTTTTATTCCTGAATTTATTTGCTGAATATGGTTCTAGTTTCGCAGAATAACTTTCAGAAACTTTTCACAGTGGCATAATCATGTATATTCTTCTTTTACTTCCCTCCACTCTTCCTATTTTCCCCTTGTATATTTTATATCAGTCTATTCATGTTTACCTCACTATAGCATACTGAATGTTAATGTGCTATCAACTTTTCCATTATGTGCAGTTTGCTGGCATTAATGGAGTTCTGTACTACACTCCACAAATTCTTGAGCAAGCTGGTGTTGGTGTTCTTCTTGCAAACATTGGACTTAGCTCCTCATCTGCATCTATTCTTATTAGCGGACTGACAACCTTGCTGATGCTTCCCAGCATTGGTATTGCTATGAGGCTCATGGATATGTCTGGAAGAAGGTTAGACTTCATATTTTACATTTTTTTTTGTGATTACATGCATCACTTCTAAGTGAAAGTATTATGCTAACCATTATTCTGCGTTGTTTCTCATTCAGGTTTCTTCTCCTTGCAACAATCCCTATCCTGATAGTAGCACTAGCTATCTTGATTCTGGTCAATATTCTGGATGTGGGGACCATGGTTCATGCCTCACTGTCCACAGTCAGTGTCATACTCTACTTCTGCTTCTTTGTCATGGGGTTCGGGCCTATTCCAAACATTCTCTGTGCAGAGATTTTCCCGACCACCGTTCGTGGCATCTGCATAGCCATCTGTGCCCTAACATTCTGGATCGGTGATATCATTGTGACATACACCCTCCCCGTGATGCTCAACGCCATTGGACTCGCTGGAGTGTTTGGAATCTACGCAGTGGTCTGCATACTGGCTTTCCTGTTTGTCTTCATGAAGGTGCCGGAGACAAAGGGCATGCCTCTTGAAGTCATCACCGAGTTCTTCTCTGTCGGAGCAAAGCAGGCCAAGGAGGACTAGTTGCTCGGATCAAGTGATCAATCAGATTGCTGGTGGTAATTTTGTTGCTTCCAAATCGCGCTGCGGGTTAAACCTGTGATGGATGCTTTGTTAAAGAATCTTGGAAGAGATCAAAATGCAGTGAGCCTAAAGAGATGATTTGGCTGTACATCATGAGGCTGAATCCTGTCGTAGACTGGATTTTGGAGCTTAGGATATGTAGATCATCTGTTCCTTTTGGTTTGGTCATTTTCCATTTGTGTTTCTTTGGAATTCTTCTCCCTGTAACTAGTGGTCTATCACAGTTGTGTTACTGGTTTTGCCTTACTCTTGAGTTTGTTTTCTTCTCTCGGTTGTGAGTTCTGAATATTAGCATAGCCGAGTACTAGTTCTGAATTGGTTTCCTCTCTGCTGAACATCTTTCATTGATGCTTGGATTTCATCAAGTACTAAAAACCCAAGCTCACAGGGTAAAAAGAAATGGTGAAAGGTGAAAGGGGAGAAAAGGAGAAGCAAAGCAAAGGTAATGCTTTGAGTTCCATATACCCAGGAAAAGAATTGTGCCCACTCTTGTAAAGGAGTTCAGGAGTAGGAGAAGTACTTTGTGAATAAAATTTCAATTTTGTTAGCTGTCAGAGTGGAACCCAAAAGCTACTGTCCCAGCAGAAAAGCTTCGAGTTCTAGTGGCAGCTTATAAATTAAAGCGATGCATGATGGTGGGAAGCTGTGGGTTCAGCATGCAGCAATGTGCAGTTTGGGGACAAGCTGGAGCAACAGAAACTGTGTTGGACTCTGGTGTACTCCCTCCGTCCAAAAGAAAAAAAAACTCTAGATTTTCGTGTCTAACGTTTGATCATCCGTCTTATCTTAAAAAAATATAAAAAAAATTAAAAAGACAAGTTATAAAGTATTAATCATGTTTTATCATCTAACAATAATAAAAATACTAATTATAAAAAAAATTCATATTTTTCTTTTTTTTTTGGACGGTGGGAGTATTGGTTCAGAGCTGAGACTTCAGAAACTCTTGTAGTACTGGAGCTCCACTTGCAAAGCTGCATTGCAGTTGGTTAGATCAGGTCTTGGAACCGAAGATTGATTGAATCGAAGAGAACATCTCCATCACGTTCTGTTTGTACCTGATCCAAGAGGGCAACAACCGCTGGTCGATGTTTGTAGTGGTTGCTTAAAAAATAAAGATTGGCAACAACAAAAAGACGCTACTACTCCAGTACTAGCAGGTAGCATAAACTATAAACTACTACTACACCTGTAATTGTGCGGCTGTGCTATTTATTCTTGCATATTATCTTGTATTTTTTGATATATATCTGTGAAGAAATGTCTCAAAAGAGAGGAAGTGCTGTCAAAATTTTTCATTTCAAACTTACTCCTGAAAATTTTGGTCAGACCGAGACCGAGACCGAGACCGAAAAGACCGAGACAGAATTTACCGGTCCTGAGTTTTTTTTGGATGAAATTCGGTCCTGAGTTTTCAAAGACCGAAGACCGAAAAACCGAAGACCGAGACCGAATTTTTCGGTCTGACCGAATGTCCACCCCTACCTTTAAATACGCAAGAAATGGGCAAGCCATAGGTTGGCGGCCGCCGCGCAGCTGGAGGTAGCGTCATTGCCTGATCGCCGTCGCGGCGGACCACCACGGTTTCGTGCGGCGGGCAGCGGCAGGTGGCCGTTGACGACGCCATTTATTTATTTATGCACACGTCTTTCCCTCTCCCTCACGCTCGCTCGTGCCACCCACATGTCTGGTGGCCTCGTGGAGGTACAGCCATGGTTTACACTTCACAAAACCAACAAAAAAAAAAAACAAACCACACTTCTTAGGCCAATTTGACAACACAAACAGTTCAGTTTCTCAATAAGTTAAAAGTTTTAGAAAACCCATCCGGTCCGATTATTGTGTGTGATTTGGTTTTTTAACCTTGAGTACATCTACTAACCAGTGATTCTAACCAGTAAACATGTGATTTTTTTTTGACTAAGGTAAACTAGTATGATCATATTTACGGCTAATTATTCCTTTATCATATTTACGGCTAACTATTCTTAGTGGTATAGCGAGACTTCCGCAGTAACTTCGTCAATCTCAAGATATATTGATTTAATTTCTTAAAGGTACTCATACGGGTAGTACGTGCGTGTCTGCTCGTATATATGAGTGTACACGCGTTTTTAGCGTCTATGCTTGTATTGTGTTTTTTTTTTAAAAAAAATATTTATAACAAATATTTAATATAGTAGTTTTTTTGGGCTCTAAGAAAATCTGTTGGCGCCGTGGCGGTGGAGAGCGCGCCGCGATGGAGACAGCCGGAGAAGAGGCTAGTACTGCGGTTGGTGACTTGTCACACGCACGCTCGCCGCGCCGTCCCGGCGCGGACAGGCAATTATGCGCGGGAGACACGGAATTTTCAGCGGGTCGCCATATTGCTATACTCCCACTGCCACTAGTGACTTTGGACTGAGCTGGCCGCTTGACACGTCGTGTTTACAAAAATCGCTAAGCTACACTCGAGCCGGTGAGCTGAGCTGGACGTCTCCAAAATTTCTACTTCTAAATTGATCGCCAATTATTGGGTGAGGCTAGCACGTATAGTTAGTTAGTAAAAATGGAGTAGGTTTGGGATCTAAGTACGCTTTTGTTTAAGCGCTGTTAGTTGCTTTGATATGATATATGGCTTTGTTCCATGTTGTTCCAATTAATGGAAGACAAAAACCTCACGGTCACATGGCGACTGATGATTATTGTCACTGACCTAACGCCCCTGAGGCAGACCACCCGGCTACTCCACTTCACACGCTCCCTCTTCTCGCATCCAACGGCTGCGGATGCCTCCACGTGGCATGCATCTGCTCAGCTGGGAAGTATCATTACTCTCATGCTGCATAACTGATATAATTTCAGATGGGATTAGTTTGCTAAAATTTGCAAGACACTTAGGTCTAGTAAAAATCTTTTTTTTTTACCCCAACCATAACTGATATAATTTTTTTTTTACAGATTACATCAACAACGACTGTATGTGATGTCATGCCCCCGACAGAAGCTGGAAGGAACCCAAAAAGGTGTAAAAAAAGAATCACAATTCATTCACAAGTTCTAATTATTCTCCTTTCCATTTCTTTTTCTGAAGAAAACTTTTTCAAGAGCTCTCTCTCTACTGACATGTGGGCCATGGGTGGAAAGGAGCAGCTCAACTACCCACACCGACCTGGGCCCCACCCGTCAGGGACACAACCATCCTCCCTACACTACGGCAAGAATCGGCCACCGCCACCGCCGCCGCCTCCGCCGCTGCCGGTGGCGGTGGCGGCGGAGGAGGAGGAGGAGGAGGAGGCGGCGACGACGGCCTCGAGGACTATGGCCTCGCACTTGCGGCAGCGCTTGGGCGGCGAGGGGTCGTCGAGGACGATGGGGCGGCGGCAGGAGGGGCAGGAGGAGTTGGATCGGAGCCAGGTGTCGACGCAGGCGACGTGGAAGCCATGGCCGCACTGCGGCATCACGCGGACCTCCTCCCGCTCGCCGAACTCGGAAAGGCAGATGGCGCACTCGGCGAGCACCTCCACCTTCCCCTCCTCCTCCTCCCCCACCACCGTGCCCCTCGCCGCCGCCGCCGCCGCCACCGCGTCCGCGTACGCCAGCTTCGGCAGCGCCTTCAGCGCCTTCTTCTTCAGCCCCTTGGCGGCGGTCGTCGCCGCCGTCGTCGTCGTTACGCCGCCACCTCCGCTCCCTCCTCCGCCGAAGTGCCCCGCGTGGGCCGGGCTGTGCGACGGGGAGGCGGAGCCGGCGCCGGCGCCGGCTCCGCCGCTGTTGCGGCGGTTACGGGCGCAGCGGGCGACGGCGGCGAGGCCGACGACGCAGATGAGGGCGCAGAGGAGGGCGGCGAGGATGACGACGACATCGGAGCTGACGCCGCCGGAGGGGGGATCGGCGGGCGGGATGCCAGGGATGCGGTTGGGGTTGCTCCCACCGCCGACGCTCTGGAGGAGGCGCCGCGTCGGCGTCGGCGGCCGGAGCATCGCCGGCCGACGGGTGGTTGAGCGGGCGAAAGGGATCGGAGGAGGGGAGGTGGGGGGGAGGAGGTGGTGGTGGTGATGGCGGCCGCGTGGGGGAGGTTGGGAAGGTTAATGATGACGGCCAAGCTAAGCGTCCTACCGAAGCTTTCCGGACGCACGGAAGAGAAGGGAAGGGGTCACCTCGTCTCGTCTCGAGCGTGGCCGCTTCGTGGTGGAGGGTTCTATACTTTTTAGCATTACACCCCTTCGAGTTCATGTATTTTGTATTTCAAAGGTCTTCCTTTTCGATTTTGTCTATTTAAAAATACAATATAAACGCAGACGCTTATAACACACGTACACTCATCCTTATGCGCACACACGTATAGATCGATGAAGTCAGCATGAATGCCTCATTATCGATGGCTAGGTAGCCTATACAACTTAAAGGTGTTTCTTCTTTGGTCACATGGAGAAAAAGGAGGAGAAAATGATGCGACATTTTTTAGTTTTTGCCGATTCCATTTGGTGTAACTATAGGTGAACCTACTTTCAATAACATAATTGTAAATTAGTAATGAGGATTAAAGGCTATAGGTGAAACTTATGTTAGGTGAGTATTCTAAACAAAATGGAATTCTTTGCTAGCTGAACGGTGACGTAGCGCTGGTATCAGGGTCCGTGTCTATCACTAGACTCAATATCATATGACGTTAGACTAGTATTGGGATGGCGTTGTCTCAGTAGAGATAACACCATGTTGAACAGGAAAAGCTATGTGGTTGTGATAGATTTATCCAATATCACTTCTACTAGTACCATGGCCACGTGGTATTGGAGATAGTAGGGAATAATGTTACATCCATATATACTTATAAATACATTCCATTGCTACAATTAAATGGTCTCTATAGTATTGGACATGTTCAGTTGCTAGTTTCACGGCTGTGCCGCACTCAGCACCAACAGTGCTGAACGCACAGAGCGCAGCCGCTGCAGCCGGCTTGCTGAATGACCCATTGCCTAGGATGCATTATCAAGCATGATTTTCAACACTAGGGTGCACAATTCAAATAGATTTACCTTCGATGATCAGAAGGTTACATTGTTTTGTTTTATTCTAGTTTTTCAAGTGGAGAGTTCTAGTGGCCTTGCTTTCCTGTCATGTCCTCTGCTCATAGTCACCAATTGTAAATGCACATGGTAAACTGACAAGATATTCAATTGCATGTGCAATAACATAAAAGGAGGGCCAACCACAGGTAGAAATAACACCAATAAATATGTAATAAATTCCACCTTTGGTAATGCATTTCTATAATCTAGTGGTTTTAACTTCTGTTTTTGGTGCGTTTCGTTGCCACAAACAAAAATAAAGTTTATGTAACCTACAATATAATAATAATTGATAAATATGTTCATGTACTATTTAACAACACAAAAGGTAGGGGCAAACATGGATATGAATAATCTCTACATGGATAGCCCGCAAAATTGAGTCCGTGACAAACCAATAGTTGTTGGTATACTAATTCTACTGAGGATGTAGGTAGGGGTAGTAATGGGCAAGACTCATGGGTCACTCTCATATATTTTTATATGAAAAATATGTAAAAATTAGCTCAACCCATTTTAAATCAAATCTCAAATTTCCTAGATTATAGCTCTTTACCAATCCTAGATATAGGTGATCTCCACAAGAACTGATTGGATATCAAGCTAATGTGGATGGCAAATCAGAAATGTGTTTCATGGTATATACACATGACGAGATTCCAGCATATGACTAGTCGAATGTGTGAGGTACCACCCTTAATTTTCCATCTTTGAAAGGACCACATTTTGGATTGAGGAAGTCATACAACCGATATTTGCTATCCCCACGAAAAGGGGGACAACGATGTATCTGAGCATATCGCCAGCCAATCGCCCATGGACAACCAATTCGGTACTTTTTTGTTAAGGAAAAAAAAAACCTAATATCAATTCGTTTCTTTTCAAATTAGAACACAAAGGTTGGCAGACAGTGAGATGAACCCTGTATGATTACACTGGACACACTAAATCCCACCACGAAATTAATGAATCTTTTATGAAAACACTGCCTTCATCCACCAACCAGATTATTACAGAATCTTGTGAAAGATAAAATGGTCTTCAGAGTTCAGACTCACCTGGGACCGAAACGGGCAATACCACTATACCAGTGGAAACAGAAACAGCATGTAACTACCATGGCTCACACATATGCACAGCAAACCAAACGCCGAATTTCTTCTGGCCACACCCGTAATAAGTCAACGGCGAAGAAACCTTTTTGCTTCCTCCCTGTCATATGCACAGTAGTTAAACACAGAAAAGACTAATCTGAGGCCCCAATCACCACTTCATCAGCACCAGACACCAAACTGCCAAATAGTTTTCTAAGGGCTTGTTGTTACCGGTGTAGCGTTGCGAACTGGCCATGCTGGATGCTGCTCCCACATGGGGCAGGTGCAGTGCAGCGGTCTTGGGTGATCATCCTACTGGGGAAAAAAGCAAGTGTCCTAGACCGCAAACCACTCCAACCAACGCGACCTGCGCGCAAAGTCCAACGTTATCACGATCTGTCTGGGCCACCACCACTTCCCCCCGCGAGATTCGTACCGATCACGGCGACGCGCGCGCCCCAGCGGGTAGGAAGCAAAAGCCTTTGCCGCCACCTCCCGGGTCGTTTTCGCCGCGACAGATGACGCCCGCGGCCGGGAATGGCGAAGGCGACGGGCACCGCACCACTACCACGCCGCCGGGTCCCCCGTGACGGACGGACGGACGTGGCCGCCTTGCGTGGCTGAACTTCTTCTGATGGTCCCCGCCTAGGGGGATCAGTTGGGTATACATACAGCAACACGCATCCTCTTGCCATGCTGGTTCTCGGTAGCCTGCACAACAAAAGCGGCAATAGCCAATAGGGGTTACAGTGAACTTATCTTGCTGCCTTGCTACCTAAGTACTATGTAAATAGTGGGTGGTCTCGCTGGTGGTCAAAATTCAGATGAAACTGCTACCTTCATCACCAGTAATCTCTGCAGGAGCAGACTCCGTCTTTGAAATGGTGGAAGCGTTTGGCGTCTCGCACTACGATCTCCCGGTCCGCGATCTTCGAGATGTACTTGATGGCATCATGGCAATCACCACAGACCCTGAGGTTCTTTATGATCACAAGCCTTGTTCCTGGGCCTGTGTTCAGCAAACCGAAGGCGATGGCCAGCCTCTCGCTGTGGTAGCTGAGCTGCTGTTCCTTCACTTCCTCCTCCAGATCGTGGTACACAAACTCTGTTCTCGGAATGTAGCCCATCTTCCTCATCTCTAAATCAAGCTTTGCCACCTTACTTACGATCTCTTCACGCTGAGGATGGCTCTGGTCTTCCATCACGAACACGTGGCGTGTTCCGCGTATCTCTATTGAGCTACAGCCAGGCATCTTCTTGCTTCCAGAATCTTTCATTAGCTTTCTAACTTGTCTGACTTTGTCCCATTTCTTTGTAGCAGCATAGAGATTTGAGACCAACGCAAGAACGCCAACATCGTCAGGTTGCAATTCAAGGATATTGTCTGCTATACTTTCTCCAAGCTCCAGCTTCTTGTTATTCAGACAGCCTGAAAGTAGAGCAACCCAAATGGCAACGGTTGGCTCAGCTTTCATTGATGTGAGCAGGTCACTGGCTTCTTCCACAAGACCGGAACGTGCTAAAAGATCAACTAGACAGACATAGTGTTTCTCAGCAGGTGTGATCTTGAAGTGATTAACCATGCGACCAAACCATAGTTTCCCTTCCTCCACAAGACCAGAATGGCTTAGAGCAGACAAAAGAGAAGCAAATGTGGCATGATCTGGTCTCATTCCAGTTTCGTTCATTTCTTGGAACAAAGTGAGCGCATCCTGGCCTCGTCCATGAGCACCACAACACGCAATCATGGCATTCCACAAGATCAAGTCTCTATCACTGATCATGTTGAAAAGCATCTGTGCACTTGCTAGGGAGCCGCATTTTGAGTACATATCAATGGCTGCTGTACCGAGGATACAATTAAAATCAAACCTCCTCACGATGAAACCATGTACTGACCTCCCTAGCTTCAAGAATCCAATATTTGAGCAAGCTAGCAGAGCACTAACAAGTGCTCCTGAGTCAGGCTGAATACCAGAAGCCTGCATATTTCTGAACAACCGAAGTGCCTCATCCGATTGCCCATTCTGTGCAAAACCTGAGATCATCGCGCTCCATGAGACATCATTCCGGTGCACCATCAGACCAAAAACTCGGCACGCCACATCAAGTAGTCCATTCTTTGCATACATATCCACGAGGCTTGTTGCAGTAACAACATCCATCCTCATTCCATGCCGTAAGAGATGCCCATGAACTGAAGCTCCCATTCGGACATTTCTGGCTGCTGTGCACGCTTGTATAACCCCAATCATGACCACCTCATCTCCCTTCACACCATCCTCCCTCATCCTCCTGTACATCTGAATCGCATCCAGTGGCTGTCCAGCACTCACGAAACCAGCAACCATGGTGCTCCAGGTGACGCGGTCCCTCCTCGGCATTCGGACGAACACCTTGACCGCGTCGCCCATGGCGCCCCATCTCGCGTAGAGGTGGAGCAGCGACGAGCAGACGAAGACGTCGTCCTTGTACCCGGCGTCGAACGCGCGGTCCCTGACGGACTCCCCGCCGCGAAGGTCCCCGAGGCGCGCGCACGCGGAGAGCGCGAGCGTGAAGGTGGTGCTGTCGGGGCGCGCGGCGGGCGGGAGCGCGCGGAAGACGCGGAGCGCGGATGCCGGGGAGCCGCGGCGGGAGTGCGCGGCGATGATGGCGTTCCACGCGGCGATGGAGGATGAGGCGGCGGTTGCGGTGAGGGTGGACTCCGCGGCGGCGAGGTCGCCAGCGCGGGCGTAGGCGGCGGCGAGCGAGGAGATGAGGGTGTGGGAGGCGGAGGAGGAGACGATGAGGAGGGCGTGGAGGCGGGCGAGGGTCCGGGCGGAGGCGGAGGCGGCGGCGGAGGAGGAGAGGAGGCGGCGCGGGTCGTCGAGGAAGACGGGGAGATGCATGTGCTTAGCGCCGGAACGACGGATCGGTCATCGAGGAAGAGCGGCAAAAGGTGCGGCGGATAAAATCGATTTGCTGCTGTCATATATAAACGTGTTTATCAATGTCATAGTATGTTAATTATGTTTAGATTATAGTATTATAATATATGGATAATCAGTTTCGTTATAAATTTTATCGAAAGTTGTCAGTATCATCTGACACCGACCCTCCCTTCTACTGTAGATCTACCTCTGGGCAGTCGAAGAAGGTGGCGGAGGATGACAGGTCGAGGGTGAGTAGATGGCGCAGCGGCGCGGATTTGACGATCGAATCGGTATGTTGCAAAATGAGTACCTTATTCATTTGAGTCTCTTTTTTTTTTGCGGGAACATATAGCTTTATTGATTAAGTAATAGGATTACACTCTTATTGCAGTACATGCTTAACACAGGACGGGGCATGATCGCGCCAAACCGCGTAATGTGCCGTCCGTTTAGCAAACTGAGCAAGTTCATAAGATACCCTATTGCACTCTCTTTTGCTGGATTTTTCACATTTTGGTCCTTTTAAAAAACTTATTTCGCAAATAGACCCCTGAAAAAACTTATCCCAGAAATGGTCCTTTTTGGGGCGCCAGAGTGGCTGGCGCCGTCATCCAACGGGACGGCGCCAGCCTCTCTGGCGCCGTCCTCCTGCCACCGTGGCGCACGCGAACCGACGTGGCAGGAGGAGGGCGCCAGCATGGCTGGCGCCGCCGCCTCTATTCCTGTTTCTCTGTATGGAGTTGCAACGGTGTCATTTTTATTTTATTTTTGATGTTTTTTCACACTCAGGATCACGATACAACCAACCACAAAAAAATTTAAACTCGAACTACCACTTAGCTAAGTCTGAAAATATCTAGCATACCACTTAGTCTACTTTGCACCTTCACTAAAATTAGACCATAACTCCTTTAGTAAAACTCTTTGATCAACATGTTAAACATAATGCACTCTACCACTATATGAAATTACTTAATCTAATTCAAAATATAACCACATGAAATGACATATATAAGTTAAACAGTACATAGAGATGCAATTTTTTTATTTTTATTTTATTTTTTTGATATTTTTTCACACTTAGGAGAACATAGGAACCAACCGTATAAAAAATAAACTCAAACGGACAAAATATGTGACATGTAGAATTTTCCAAAACTCTACCGAAACGGACAAAATATGTCATCTATTAAAATAGGCGTAACTTTCTCATACGGACTCGGAATCAGGCAAATAATATATGCACGGACATCTACAGAAAAAGTTACATCCGATTCTCCCCGCTTTGTCGGGTTCGGCGATATTAAAACCTCCAAATTCCGTTTGCAAGATTGTGTTTTCGAGGAGAGAAGTTTTTCGGTGGAGCTTTGGAAAATTCCACATGCCACATATTTCGTCCGTTTGAGTTTATTTTTTACATGGTTGGTTCCTGTGAGTTCCTAAGTGTGAAGAAAATATCAAAAAAATAAAATAAAAATAAAAAGGTTGCACATCTCTCTCCTCTGCACTAGTTCGGAGAGAGGAGAGGAGAGGAAAAATTCTACATGTCACATATTACGTCCATTTGAGTTCAATTTTTTTATGGTTGGTTCTTGTGTGTCCCTAAGCGTGAAAAAAATATCAAACAAATAAAACAAAAATAAAAAATTTCGGGGGGGGGGGGGGCGCCAGCCACTCTGGCGCACTCCCCCTAGCCACCTCAGCATCGCCCCGCCACGTCGGCAGGGGGACGGCGCCAAAGAGGCTGGCGCCGTCCTGTTGAATGACGGCGCCAGCCACTCTGGCGCCCCAAAAAGGACTATTTTTGGGATAAGTTTTTCTAGGGGTCTACTTGCGAAATAAGTTTTTCAAAAGGACCAAAATGTGAAAAATCCAGCTCTCTTTTGCTAGGATGCACACGCACCATCTGAAGAGTTGCCATTGCTCGCCGAAGCTTCTCTGATCTGAAAGGACCATTGCGATCTGTCTTGTACTTTGCTAGTCAGCCTTGTTGCTACCATTGCACAGTCCATTTCCAATTCGACCCGCATTTTTAGGCCTTCGCAACACGCCAGGATTTCCGCTTCCTCCGCAGCCTTGCATTGCCGAATGAATTTCCACGACGATAGCAGGGCTTGGCCTTCAGAGTTCCAGAGATATGCCGTGAATGCACCATCAACGTTGATCTTTGCCCATCCTGTTGGCGGCGCCTTCCAAGGTGTTAATCTTCTTTGACCCTCTGCTGCTCTCAGGCTTTGGATGCGTGCGGCTGGTCATTGTAGAGAGCTGTCTGCTTTGCCCTTTAAATCACTTGTTTTTTTGTCGGATGAGCAGCAGTTTCTCTGCATAGTTTTGCAGGAACTGGACAGAGCCATCTACCGAGCTGTTGCCTTTGCCATGAAAAGAGTCATTCCGCCAAATGAGATCCTCTGCAGTCACTGCACCCCTACCATTGTCACTGACATATGGGCCCGGAGGTCATTGGGCCCACATGTCAGTGACGATGGCACTCTGCAGTCGACTGCAGAGGAACTCAATCCCATTCCGCAAGTGCCATGCTCGCCGTAGCAACATGAGGGTAAGTGATATCATCTGCGGTTCTGCACTTCTGCATGATCCAGCAAGAGAAGTAACCAATCAGGTTCGGCTTGCACAAATTCACTTTCCGGCGCTGTGGCATGGCACATTGGCACCCATCCTCCTGAGCAAATCCACATATTTTGCACGTCGGCCTTTTTATGATGCGTCGGCGACTTGTGTGGCCAATCTGAGTTGCTGATCAGGTAAGTTTAAGTAACTAAGTATATTGTGTGGATGTAGATTGGCAGAACATACTTGTGGCACTTGTTTACCTTCACGTCGATATAACATATTTTACGTCCTTTTTTTATTATTCTGAACAGGTATGTGTCCCTCCTGAGGATTGTACAATTTATTCTAATCTGAGCGGTTATAAACATCTAATGCATTTTTTTTTGTCTAAACAGGGAATGTGATTTCAACAATTTATGAAGAATCTGGTTTCCTGTGCTATGTCGGAATGTGGGTACATTTTGATTAGGGATGCAAGCGGGGCTGACAAGAGGGTTTTTTTGTCCCGCTTATTCCACTTCTAGTTCATTTTTTCTTCTAAATTTTGTACTACCATGCGGGAAATAGACTAACAAGCGGGTTTTTATGCGGGTAGCGGGACTACCCACTTGCATCTCTAAATTTGATTTAGTAAGGACATGCTTACAATCTGCTTGATCCCTCAGTTAGCACAATCTTAATTTCCTTTAAATAATCTTTGGATAATGCCTTGATTTCCTGTTATATTTTTTTACTGTGACCAGTACATAATAAAGCTATTTGTTTCCACAAATCTTTGAACAGAACTATAAGTTCTTTTTTATACGAATATCGTGGTATCTCCGACGAACATTATAGTAGACGAAACAATTTGTGTATTATCTGAACTTTGCATAACAAACAAGTTACCTATTTACTCCCTCGGTTAAATGCATTCCATTTTCTGCTATTTGTACTGTTGGGTGGCTGCTGAATATATATTTTTCCTTTTATCTCTTCATAAAAGAGAATAAAGTTTCTGTATAATTTATTTAAGGCAGTTCCCAACTCACACATATCATTGTGTGAACATATATGTCGCAGTGTCCGAATGGATTAAAACTGAATATCTGTGGTGTGCTAACTGCATTAGAAGTGAAACATGAAAAATTCTTGAAAGCAGTAGGATTGTTTAGTTTTTTTTATTATCAAATTGAACTGATAATAATTTCTTGCTTATTCTTTAAATATGGATATAATTCCACACTACTGCATTAATAGTCACTTAAGTTGTCCCATTTAACTATCCTAGTAGCATGCCAGTGCTACCGCTACGGCAACATTTATACAAGAAGATGCACGTGCACATATGCAGAAATGAATTATAACCATTCCGATAAAGAAGAAAGAAGCAAATTGTCTTTATACAAAACCACATCGTATACCCATCAGCTGTATTTGTCTTTCTAAATAACCCAAAAAATTGATATTACATACTGAAATTCCAGCATTACAGTAATGAGATGTCAATTTCAACCTAACCTACAGAATTACAGAACCCTACCACTTTACAGAATTACAGAATTTTCCTGTCAAAAAGTTTTGGCTGTTGTTTTTTCACATTTCTCAGCATGTTTGATCTCTGAAGTTTGGCGCTGCCTGCTTGAATCCTTCTTTGGCAACCATGATCAGATTTAAATGCCACAAGGAGTAGCAATTTCATCTAAGAAAATATTTTGCACATGAGAAATCAAAAATTATAAAAGGATTAGGATGAACACCTGAGCAAGAGCGTGTGTCTCTTGCTCTTCCTCCAACACACCATATATTCAACATCAGCTTAAGCCTCCCTTATCCTAATAATTTCTTCGATTGAGCATGTCTCTACAAGAAACAAACCAAAATTAAGGCATGTGAGGCCTTTTTCACCAGACAATGACCATCGGTTTTCTTCCGATGCATCCATTTTATGCACCAATGGGGATCTTCTTCCTCAAACATCAAAGGAGGGGAAATTAGCTTCCAGCAGAATACTCACCTTTGCTTTAAGATGTACCCTGATCATCTCCTCATTTAAAAGATGATTATAGGACAAACTTGCACTTATATACAGACTAGTCAGCATGCACGTGGAATCCACGTTACTAAACAAATTTGTGAAAATGTTGAATGTCCCATCTGAATCTCTATTTAGAAAGAGGCTTGAAAGCAGTGCACCATAACCACCTACAACCACCCAATTCTTTACATCAATAGAAAGTAATAGGTAAAATTGATGATAAAATGCACAAGAGCCATTGCACCTCCGTTAACGTTAACTTTTGCAGGATCAAGTCCCAACTTCTTGCAGCAGTATGCGTACTGAGAAGCAAAAAAACCTATGTACAAGAGCAAATAAATATTACCATGCAGATCTGTTGTCTGGTGGAGAAACTCCATGAATGGATGAAAGTATACCTCATTAATCTCGAAAAGGTCAACATCATCTATTTGAAGACCAGCAGCTTTCTGCGGCAACAGCAGGACCAACACCCATTACAGCTGGGTATATGAAATCGCACATTCGTGCAACTATGACCATCCTTTTATGAACAGTGTGTAAAAAAAAAATCTGCATGTCTAATTCTGCAAGATGGCATTACACATCTTCCCCGTTATAAGTGAACTTGCTAATGTAGAAGCAGAGTAAAAATAGCACGAACAGCTCGCTTGGCAGCTCTGTCTGCGCTGGTCAATGTTGATCAGAATTCAAGATCGATCCAGCAAGCATTCCCTCTCCTTGCTGGATTTGAAAATGGAGGTTGTAACTAACCCATGCAAAGTGTAAATGTTAGCCAAAAAAAGGTAAATTAGCAAACATGCATGTACTAACTCTGAGATTTACAGGAAGAGTATTACTATGAGAACAACCTGCTTTCTGAAAGCAAATAATTAGCTTGCTAGAAAAGTAAGTGTTCGTAAATCATCTACCTTACTTCATATTGTGAGGTAGTTACGCAAATTCAAAGTGCAATTTATCGAAGTGTATAGAATTAGGTATAGCAGTGGAAGTGTGTAATCAAGAGGATTTTCTTAATACTGTTTAAGCTGACTTAAAGATCATTTTTACAATACAAAGCAAATATTAAATAGATTATGTGAAAGCTATGAAGTTGTGGTGTAACATATGGAAAACAGAAACAAAATAGTTTTGGTAATGGTACAGGGTAGCATCATCTGAATGTCAAGCAAAGCAAGCAACATATAGCTTAGTTGTAAAAAGAGTGGATTCCCATCAGTTTAAGTGTAATATTGCTTATACACAGGTAGTTTCAAGGTTTGCTAAAACCTAGCTAGTTGAACATAGAAAAAAGGTAACTGATATTTTCCAACACTCACAAATTCAGCATACCACCAACTTCCAGATTAGCTCAAAACCTGTAGAAGTAATATGAGAGAATCAATGTTCCAATTTTTTTACTTGCTTCATTCATTGTTGCCGTCAACCTCTGATATCCTTAAAACAGTTGGATCACTGTTGGATTGGTGAAAGCCAGAAATAAAGGCTCCCCGAGGACACCCAACATTTGCTCTAGTTCGAGCTTAGTGTTTTCTATATTTTGGATTTCCTGAGGTGTTAATGGAACAAAAACAAAATACCAGAAGATTCAAAGCTTATCTTCATCATATATTTTATTATGGGTAAAGCAAATCTGTCTTCTACTAAAACTGCACATAGTATTATCAGCATGTAAGTTATTTGAAGGAGAGTAAGTAAAAGAACTGAAAAGGATCGGATTAAGTTAAGGTTTCAAATTTTATGTAAATTAGAATGGTTCTAAATATAGTGAAGGAAGAATGGAATACAGAGAAGGATGCATATGGCCATATGGGTTGTGTTTTACTGTCTTACCATTTAATTACTCATTGGCAACTTCTCTTATGCCTACTCTTACACTACTATATCAAGTGGATATTGGGATAAAATTACAATCCACTTATCATTACCCAAGTTCAGCAAGTAGCCACAGCCAGAACATTAATTCTTCTTAGCTGGGGATGAAATACTTGTCTCCCTTGATGCCACAGACAACAGCTTCCAGAAGAATCAACCTAATCCCCCAGTTTTTTTTTTTCACATGCATGTTCTTGTCAGCTAGGGTGTTAGTTTTAATATTGTCGAGGAGGCCAGTTTAAGATGGATGAAGTAGAACTGCCCAATAAAGGAATATATTTTCTGTTGCTGCTTACGGGAGAAGACAATCAATCCATATGAACAGGAGTAAAAATTCCAGTGCCAATTGAAAGTTTTCATTTAGGAAGCAACTAGTATTTTTGCAGCACAACTATTATTCAGAATATCATTCAAGAGTACCCCATTCGGTTGTAGAGAATGAGCTGCCATGTACTCCTAGTGTCTAACCTTGGAAGTTGGGGTAGTAGTATCAACGATTTGTGCAGTCAGTACAGTAGAAGTCAAAGAGCCAACATGTTAAATTAAAGATGAGTAGAAAACAAAAACAAAAAAACAAAATCCTCATCTAATAATCTTAACAGATGCTCCCACAATCCCACAATATCACCATCTAAGCATTGAGGCAAAACAATAATCATTATTTCAACCAGGAGCAATTTGATCAGATCATGCACCGACGCTGAACGTTTCGATCCCCGCGGGAATTCTCGCTCCCTCGGTCTCGGAGGCGCAAGTGCGGGAGCGGGAAGGTGGACGGCGACGAGAAGAGGAGGAGGAGAGAGCGAAGGCAACGCCGTCGATGGCGACGAGGGGGGAGAGGTGGACGGGTGTCTCGTCTTCTCACGGTGGTGGGGATGAGGAGGGGATGCTAATATGCTATTTTGCGGCGGGGATGGGGAGGAGGCGGCGCCGGCGCTCGCGGGAGAGTAGGCGGAAGCGGCGGGATGGTGCGCGGCTAAGTTGAGGAGCCGGATATGGGGGCGCTGATGGATAGGAGGAGGCGGAGGCGGCGAGGGGATTCGAAGCGGCGGCGGGGTGTATTTCGAAATATTATTTTTTTAAGGTTTAATTTGTAAATATGTATTTTAAGAAGGTTCCCGTTATCTCTCCCTTTCCCCCTTTTTTTCGCTGTCTAGGGTTTGCGGCGGCGGCGCCCGCTCACCTCCTCGCCGGCCGGACGGCGCGAGGAGGAATCTCTCCACCCCCACACTCCTCGCGCCGGTGCCCCTCCCTCCCCCTCCATCCTCCTCGCGTTTCGCTTCCCCTCTTCGCACTACTCCGACTCCCAGCCGGAAGCGCCGGTGTCGATGGCGGACGATGCCGGTGCCGGTCGCACTCGCAGTCGCAGGGATCCTTCCGATCGCCCTACGCGTTCAGGCCAATTTCTAATCAGGGCTTTGCTACGAGGCGAATTGGAGGAGCGGTAATTTTCCATTCTTTATTTTTCTTTTAAATCTCCTCCATGCTCTGTCGTTGTTTTTTCCCTTACAATGTTGTTGTGTAGGAGTAGTTTTTTTTTAATTGGATTCATAACATTATAAATTTGCATGTTTTAAAAAATAATAACATTATAATAATTCATATAATCGAAACAATGCCACTAAAACTCCTATGAAAGCCAAATGGGAGCGGTTGGGTAACTCCGAGGCGCTCAACGGATCTTGCCGTCGTGCCATCCAGGCCCCAACAGGTGCCCTCAGGCTGAGATATTGAACTATATGCTACTTTTAGATGTGGCAATTCTAGGGGGAGTTCCTGTGCCCAGCACCTCAAAAATCATATTTTTTAGCTATTCCATTCCTTCAACACCCCTTCTGGTCCTTTCCAGTTTCCATCCCTCTCATCGCATTCCTCCTGTGTTTCTAGGGATCTCTGTCTCAGACCTTTCTCCAAAAATCAACGGTATTGTCATTCAAAACCCTCCCAACCGCGTCTGGTATCCTATATCGCTCTGGGCATCTTCCGCACCTAGGTTGCAAGTTAGAATGTGGCAAACTATATGATTTTGGTGGGGGCAGATAGTTTGCATGGAGCAGTGTTTCAGTTCCATAGTTCGTTAATTCAGGCAGCTTGGCCAGAGCAGCATTCGACAACATCTTCTCAACTCTGTCAGGAATTACAATGGATATCGCTTAGCAAAAGGCCTCTACGCTTGCCCTAAATGTGCCACCAACAACCCGCTCTCCGCCCCCCCCCCCCAAAAAAAATTTTTTTTTTCATGGAGCTCCCTCATTAGGAACAAGAAATTATCGCGAGGCTTTACTCTCCTCACCAACCGTCCCTCCTCAAGCCCATGCTCCTCCTCGGAGAAAACCGATGCTTCTGCTCTGCTGCTGCCTCGCTACTGACCACAAGGTTAAACACTGTAGAGATCCAGTTGTGTGCACCGCCTGTCGTTGCCCTGGCCACCGGCAGGACAACTGCCCCTCCTTTGTTGCTTCAAACTTTCCTTTCGGGGGATCTGCAGTTGTTGCTTCCACGACCTCTTCCTCCGCCAACCTCTTGCCTCTGACTCCCTCGCCTCTGCGCCTTCGCCACCACCCTCGCCACCACCGCAACCTCGCTACCCCTCTTCCACCCGCTTCTCGGCTAAGTGGGTCCGCAAAGCCAAACAAGCACAACAGCAGTGACGGATCCCCTCTGCTCCCTTCCCAAAATCCATCCAATCTACTGCCATGCAACCCTCCTTGGCTCCGTCTCTCTCCCTAAATTCCTTGCTAGCCTTTGCTTTTGAAACCCTAACAGATGAGGAGCTTCTCAAGTTTCTTGCGGTAGAAGTTCTGGAGGTCGCTATCCGCTCCAATGTGGACCACCATGCCGTTAACAGGGAGGCAAGAAAGGGAAAGGCTATTGTTCATGCATGTGCGCCTCCTGGTGGCCCCTCATCCCCTTCCTGGGATGTGTTTATTTCCCAAGGTACCTCGACTGCTCTGTGATCCTCATCCCTTGACATTCCTCTGATCTCCTTTTCCCCTCCACACCCTGCTGCTGCTGCTGGAGGTATTGTTCATGCTGGATCTAGAGGTAGCGGATCTGGATCTTTGAAAGAATTAGAATCTGGAGATTCTGTTTCGGATGACTCCAATGCCCCCACTCATCCTAGAGGACCGGGTACTCCGGAACCGGTCTCGAGCTAAGCGGATGCCTTGGGGATTACTAACTTTGTGGATGTTTTTTCCCCGTACTCGGATATGAGACTTGGTAGTCACTATGCTTATGCTTTCATGGTCCCCTCTTCTCATCCCCCGGCTGGAAACATTTGCAGCGCGATGAGGGAATACCTACCTGACATGCATTTCTCCCTTCATGCCTTTTGTCATGGTGCTATGATGGTTCATTTCAATTTGTTGCAAGACAGAGAGGTTACTGCTCCACGCCCAACTTCACGTCCCCCACACATCCCATCCTTAGGCCTTAGCTATGCCGGGCTGCCAGCAAGGGCGTCAACGGAGCAAGCGGCAGTGGACGACGGGTCCAGCGTTGGCGACACAGCATGGAGGGAGGAGGGCGATGGACGTGCCGTTGGGTGGCCAGCTCTATGGGCCCATCCTGCTGGAGTTCGGGATGCTTCCGGCACGTTCCTCGCTCGATTGGAGTTCATCTCTGCAGCGGGTGGAGCTCGCCGCTACAGTGGGTGGCTGGCTTTGACCTTGGGTGTTGGTCATCGCCGGCAAGCTGTCGATCCTCCACACCGGCTTTATTTTTCTCTTTTTTTTCTTTTCTTTTGTTTTTCTTTTCTTTCCCTCCGTGTAAATTCCTTTTCCAGGGGTGCTTTCGTTCGTATGAAAAAATAGTAAACAAAAACACTTGATAACATGGAACAAACGTATGGCATGGCATGGAACCACTTTTGAGAGTATTGCAGTAGCATCGATCTAATTATATGAATTATAATGTTATTTTTTGAAACGGTAAAATTTATAATGACATGAATCCAATTAACCCTTTTTTGTTACAGTTTTGCTTTTGTTTCAAGCTGTAGCAACTGACACATTTTCTCTTTCCTCGCATTCTGTTGATGAATCACAGCACTGCAGACGCAAGGTTTATCCCACTTACACCAATAATGGAGGATCTATTTGTCAGGTATGCTTATTATCATGTCTTTCCTATATTTTTCTTGGCTAGCTTAATGCTCGTGTGTTGCAACAGATTCTAAAAAACATTCATTGACATAAATTAAAATCATAAACAATATATTACAATTGGGCATAAATAATGAAGGAAATATAAATATAGAAATAATAACATGAAACTACAAATAACTTTGGCCGGAATAATAATTCAATATCAGAAAAATTATATAACTAAATCCCCATTTTTTTTTTCATTTAGCTATAAATAATTCAATACAGAGGAAAATTATAAGTTACAATAATTTTTAGTGGATCAAATAGTGTTAAAACTAATAGAGTAAATTTCAGAAAACTGCAACTTTAGTGACAAAACTATCAGTTTGCTGCAACATTAGCGACATGTTTCAGTTTGCTGCAACAATAGCATATGAAATTATCACAAAACTGCAACTTTTACGTTATATGTACTGTAGCATCATATAACGTAAAGTTGCAGTTTTGTGATAATTTCCAACGCTATTATTGCAGCAAACTGAAACATATCTCTAATGTTGCAGCAAACCGATAGTTTTGTCACTAAAGTTGCAGTTTTCTGAAATTTTACTCTAAAATTGTAAATAAAAAACAACTGAAATTAGCTATAAACTGAAAAAACCTATTTTAGCTGATAGATGAAAATATGATCCATCAATTCTGAACGGGTGTTCGTTTCATTGAGATAAATTAAAATTTTCTTGTTCTATTCATATTCCTATTGTCTCTATTATATGAGTGATCTAGGAGCATGGTATGGCTAGACTAGGAAGGAATAGCATTGTTCATCGTCTTCCTTAGCCGAAGGCAAGTAACAAAATAGGAGGGAAGATGGGTATCGGTGCTCGGGTGACCAAACGGCGATGAGGAAACGATGTGACTCGTATATAGATGGTAAAGGCTGGGAACAAGAAAACCAGAACAGTAGGAAACACATCTGGCAACGACATGGTCCCGATAGAGAGAGAAATGGCAACAGCAAGCTTGTGGTGAACACGGTAGGGTGAGTGCGTCAAAACGTGTTCTCGGTCGAGGGGGTCTGTTTTCCTTGAACGTGTAGGAGGGAGGGAGCGCAGGGGAGAAGAGGGGCGCTAGGAGGAGGGGTGATGGGGAAGAGGGGCGCCTAGGGAGGAGAGGGGGCACGGGGGGAGGGGGAGCATGTGCAGCGAGAGAGAGATGGGGACGCCGGGAGGAAGGCGGAAGCGGAGACACACGGGAGGGAGGGAGGGATAGACGAAAGAGATAGGGGGTAGAGAGGGAGGCGGAAGCGAAGACACGCGGGAGGGATGGACGAAAATCGATCTGCAACATATTTAATTAGGGATGAACTAAATAATTACTTGTGTTCAAATTTTGCTTGTCCTTATTATTTTCAATCACTTTATCTAATGGTGTTACGCTTGTCAGCGGCATTGAAGAGATTCCCGAAGACACTTCTGTGCATCACCAGCAAACTGATGAGCCACCACCATCGTAAGCCTCGTGCAAGATCTCTTAATCAATTTCATAACTATTTATCTATTTGTATTATTAGACTGATTATGGTGCTATGAAATATAAATGTCGTATGATTTGCCTTCTGGTAGGTATGTGTAGTTGTTTTTATCTCTTGTGAATGTGTGAAAACTTGCCTTGTATATGACTAGCATTTTCTACCTTCTTCTTTAACCTTAATCTTGATGAACAACAAAAGAGTGGTGATTTCATCAATATCTGAGTTGCTAAAATACTGTTTGTTATGTTACATGCTTGTATATTTGCATGAGCTCTAAATTTTACGAATATTACTTCTTAAATATTGCTTGCTTATATACAAGCATATATACATGTTCTAGTTCTAAATTTTATATGTAAAATTTATTCATTTAATGCCTATATACCTGCACAGTGCTAAAAAATCATTTATGTATGGTCTAAACTTTACAAATGATACTGTATTGATTGTTATAATATGTAATACCATTGCCACAGCTACAACACCATTAGGAGGGGTGAAGGCACATTAATGGCTGAACTGCGTGAGGCTACGGAGCAACTACGTTTGTCTTTCTATGCCAACACAGATGAAGAAACTCGGGCACAAATGAAACAGTTTTGGGATGAAGAATTCAATGCAATATCTGAAGAAGCAACTATTGAGAGAGGTTTAGAGTGGATGCGGGCGGAGGTTGTTGAGGCATTCAGTACACACAGTGGGGCTAATGTATGTATTTGTTTATATTATATATAGAAATCACTGCTTCCATTTTTATATTATATATAGAAATCACTGCTTCCATTGTTCAATTTTAATTTAGAATGTTTTCCAGGTGGTTGAATATGAGCTTGAAGATATTTCTCACCAGTGTTTGATTTTTGATGATTGTGCCAAGTCTTATCATCATTACAATTTCATAATGAAGTCGAAGTGTCCTGATTCTCATTTGGAGGGTTCTTGTCTCTTTTTTGCTGAAGTTAAAGTTGTGGATGGAGAGAAACACTATTTTTGCTGTCCCCTACAACCTGATGACGACGGTATTTACATTACTTATATTTATTGTTTATCTCATATTTTTGTCACTTAAATTTTATATATTTGGAATCATTAGCAAATTAATTAAATTCTGATTAGGTCATTGTCACGGATGCCAAAACTCTGGAATTGATCTTAAGCATCCTTCAGACGGTGGCTACGAGGAGGGCAACGCTGACTCTGGATTCCCTTTTGATCCAATTTAATTTGATGGATGAAAATTCAGAAATATGTACTAAATTGAGCAGCGCCTGAATTGAGTTGTGTAATGAATGCTCCTACATAAACCTTGTGTTCATGTTCAAACTGGCTATTGGTATTGTGTTTTATTCGGTAGCATTAGCAATCTATTAGCAATATGTTGCATGTTCGTGTCTGGAGTACGTGCGAAATGCTCATGGGCATGACTATTATTTCTTACGTGTGAAATGCTTGTATTGTAAGGTCGCCAGGTTTGTGATTGAGATGTCCATCCTTGCACCCTGTTCCTGCATACACGGTAATTTGCAGAGATGCCCTTGGCTAGAGTAGAATCCACTTTGCTGTCCGAAATATTCTCATTAGTTTGAAATGTCCTATTGCTGTTTTTGATTCTTGTATTTGTAGAGATGCCCTTGGCTAGAGTACAAATGTGCAATTACCTTGCTAATTCCAAACTTTGATGATTTCTTCAGCTTGATCGTAGGGGGAAATAGGCTCAAAAAATGTCTACAGTCAGATATATGCTTTTGGCTGCTTAGTGTTGGATCCTTTGGTCAACTAGAAATGACTAAAATTTGTCTGCTTACGCTATGTCAGTAATACATGCCCAAGCGCAGAGCATGTCATGAAAACATTTCGACCATATGCATCGTCAGAACAAACATTGCAGGCAATAAACATAAAGTATCAGGGAATCAACAACACTACACCTTCTATTATTCTTTTAACTGAACTGGTGAGGGTTTTTTTTTTTTTTTTTTGGAGAAAGGCGTCATATGCCATTCATTGATCAAGCAACATCTTCACAAAGTATGCCCCGGATGTAATCCAGTATTATATAACGGTACACAGTACACATAGAAAGATCGGCATGCCGAACTAGAGAATGAGCCGCCAAATTGGACAAACGGTTAACATGTACTCCATAAGAGAGCACAGAGCAAAGGTCTTCAATCACGCGTCCCACACCAGAGCGATCCCTTCCTGAAGCCTGGATGTGCCGGATTACAGTGTCAATCAGATGTCATGGCAACATTTTGCATTAACTGAACTGGTGAGTTGGGTCAGGTACACTACTTGAGTACGCCGAATGTGGTTTCTGAACTTTTTGAAAAAAAAAAAACTTGGAGTACAACTGGGGCCAACACTTTCTAAAAGGACTTCTGAACAGTTTTGAAAATGTGTGATGGGAACTACCCTGCCTAACAAACATAGAATCATTTTCCAGACTTTAGTTCATCGTGCAAAAATAAATTTCAGGGTTTGTTTAGTTATCAGTGTGATGGGAACTACCTTGCCTAAGATACAACATAAATGCATGAGCATATGGTTTAGGAGCAATCATCTTATGATCGAAAACATGTCTTACGAGCATATGGTCTTTCTGTTTAAAATTAAACCCACCCTTTGTACCCTCAGAGGAGCAACTGCCCATTCTTTTGTCATTATGAATTGGACCATATGATAGTAACAGCAATGCTCGATTACTTTGCCTTAGTATAAGTGGGTTGAAACACGGGTGATTCTTTCCTAGGCCACAGTAGGCTTCTCTCAGTTCCTGTAGAACTTATGATTGAATACTCTGGTGATGACAGTAAAATTATGCCCTTTATATTATGGAGTCGACAAAGATAGTTTTGTAGTTTAGTATGTCACTCTTTGAAATATGATGCTGCTCTTAAATTGAACCAAATTCTTAACTTTGCCAAATTCAGATTTCTTAAATTGAACCAAGCCAACCTTGCCCATCTGATTAGGTACTCTTAATTCTGTTATCATCTACTAGAATCAACATTGCTGTTTCTAGAATTTATAAGAATAAAAAATAAGAAATGACAGGATTCAAGTGTAAACTCGAAATACACTTTTGATGCGCATTTGATCAAGGAGCTAAGTAAATTAGATAGTGTTCTACTTATACAGCAGATCATTTCAAAAATTGCAGTTGAAAAAAAATAGTTGAATAGGTCCCTATCAGATATTTGGCACTAACCAATAGCGGTATTTGTTGAACTCAGTTTGGCAGTAACCGAGTAAACCACAAAATATTGTAGAGAGTACTTAAGAGGGAAGATAAGAGCATGTGCACAATAGTTCAGATGTTTCTAGCACTACAGAAAATTCAAATAAACAGTAGCAGAGGCACATAATCAAGCACATTTCACATATATGTGACACCACCAAATGCAGAGAGAAAGAGCAGCTATGTGAGCTTCATACAGACATACGCACACCCTCTAAAGTCTAAACTTCTTACTGAGACAGTAACGAATTTAGATTAAGCAGTGCAAGTATGAATAGTAACTCTCAGTCTGCATCATGGGTGTAGAACAAAATACCTAGTTGAATTTGTTGCTGCAGCCCTCAGGACCACTTGATGCTCACCCTGCATCAAACACACTTATTATGCTCTGGATTGTACAAGATTACGTACTGCAATCAACATGTTAAACGGCCACTTTGCTTCAGGAAAATAGGGGAATAGAAGACAGCGAAGTCATGTGGAATCGAAGACAGAAAATATATTTGAGCCACATTCAGAGTCAATGAACAATTTTCAGATGGAAAACAAAAACAATAGTTCAATAGGTTCCTGTCAGACACTTTCAGTTTGGCAGTAACCAAGTACACCACAAAATTATATTTGGCAGTATCCCAATTCCCAAGTACTTGTATAAATATAAGGATGCAGTTTATGGATAGCTTGAACTCAACAAAACTACAACCTAGACTGCCCTTATCGAATCAACACTGAATATCTCATATGGCCACTCAGCATTCCGGACAGTACACATAAACTAAACCCGATGTATTCCTAGTGAGAGTATACATATACTGAACCCAATGAAATAAATGTATTTGTAGTATCCTTGTTGACGATGATTTCCTGGGCATCAAAGTCCAGCCAAGCAATACACAGAGATAGGGTAAATACTCTATTGCATGGCGCAAGCAGGTAGGCACCACATAAAACAATAGGGGGGATATCTTTCTTCAGAGTCAGCAACACTGTGTTGGTGAATGATTTTTAACAGTATTCCAATGAGAGAAAAAAAGGATCCACAAATCGATACATACATCAGTAGACCACAATATTTTCATTTCATCCTCAGCGTCAGGAAATATTAAATATTTTCATTTCTTCTTCAACATGGTTAGATAATGGTTCACCTTGTTGAAGGGGTTCGAGTCGTCCGACAGAGCGCGAGTGGAGGTGGAGACCGGGATAGGACGTTGACGACCCCTGACAGGCGGTGATTACTGGTGGACTATGGGAGGAAGTCAAGGGCAGCAGCGATTTTAGGGCTATGACGGTGAATCGTGGGCACCTGTGGATGAGAGAGGTTGATCGAGGAACACGATTAGGCTTAGGCACAGTGGTCCTGGAGAATTGGAAAAGAAGAGGAGAGCGACGAACCAGTATGCAATGAGCCAACCTCGAGGACAGAAGGTTGTGAATGAACACAAGAAATGAGTTGCATGAAGTGGGGAAATTTCGTTAGAATGAAATATAACTTCCATATTTCTGGGGAAATAAATCAAAGATCAGATTGTGAGCTTGGAGGTAATTCACCAAATTCGGAATTTAATGCCATCTGAATCCCAAGATATGAAAACAACTTCAGAATCAAAATCAGAAGTTCTTTATATAAAGTTGAGTAGTCAAAATCATTATTATCTAATGAATTAAACATATCCCGTGCACATATCATTGTGATAACCCGTGCTGCGTGCAAGAGCTCCTCAGTTCGTATGTCCCGCTGCATCATAAGAGAATACGCCATTTCAGTCTTTCAGAGACATACCAGGGAAACGCCAGTGAGTGTACAACGATGAGCAGATGGACGAGGAGATGTTGACGAGGCACCGCCGGGAGGACGACTCCGCTGGCGCAGGCAACCTAGCTCAGCACAGCGCGGCAGGGGCGAAGCCGATTGCGGCGGATGCCAGGCAGAAGTAGTCGAGGGCAGCTGCAGCCATTCTAAGAATTCTGAAAACTTGGCATCCGACAGTACTTTTCAGAAAGTGGCAAAGAAAATGTAATACAATACTTCTCATAATAGAACTATATAAGTTTGTCCCCTTCGATCTGATTATACAGGAAATCCATTCCATATAGTACTTTCCAAACCAGGAATGTAAAAGATTTTCCCCTTCAGTTTCAGGTTAATTCAAGGCACCAACATCAGGTTAAATACCATTAACTACCAAGCCATTAATTTTGTTTATAATCGTGATTGTGTTTTCTGAGCTCAAGAACCACCTTAAAACAAACTAGATAAAACCCCGCGCTTTGCTGCGGGATATTTGTGTGATTAACAACACTTCCAATGCTTTATATAGGATTTGCCAACATTAAAATATCTATTCATGATTCGAGTACGAAAAAATAATTTTTCAAAAGGGACAGGAAGGATTACCTCAAGGATGTGGAATTCTGATTTGGAACTTGCACAAACATGCAAAAAGGATTATTGAGATTAATCTAGAAAAGATTAAATATTAAACATAATATGAGACAAAATAAAATGGATTAGGCTTGAAGTATGAAATTAGTTGCAAAAGCGCTTACCGCATTTACCCTAACAAAATACTACCAACTAATATAATTTGGCATTGGTGCAACCTCAGCAAGTTAAAAAATGCACAATCCAAAATATATTTCGGCAAAAACTGAAATCTGAGGGATGATTGACAACTCGTTCCTTGTGCCTCACAGTCCATCTTAATATCCATGCATGTGCAGCTAAGAGTAGAATGTTGTGTGTGTGTGTGTGTGTGTGTGTTTGAGAGAGAGAGAGAGAGAGATTGAGATTTTCTGATATTCTAGAAAAAAAGAACTATCAGTGTATGAGAATGAGCAAACAAAAGTACAAAGTAAACAAAAATAAAGATGGGCATACTGCTAGGTGAAAGTGCAGAGAGCGCCTAAAAGATTTGATTATCTCTTCAACTTTTATAGTCAAGAATCCATGCGTACGTGAACCGAAACAAATTAATCAATAGCAGGAAACAGGAGATTGCCACAAAAATTTAGAAAGTAATGGGAGAGGGAGAGATCGGGATGTAACTACATGTGCTTGCCGGAGTAATTAAATCATCAGACGATGATGACCATCCACAGTCCTGCTAACAGAGTCGCAGTGCACCACAGCATGAGGTTGATGGTCTTTGTGCAAGAAATTGTGGAACTAACGGATGAACTTAAAGAGAGAATTGCAATGGTTTATAGCTGCTTCTAGTGGCAGTCGAGCAATCAATATGACTTTAGGACGACGTTCTGCAGCATGAACACTGATAGAATTATGAGGGGACCAACGGTTTCAGGTGAAGTGGGATGGGAGGCGATCAGACGAATGAACTGAATGGGAGCCGGAGCACGCCCATGCGTGCAGCATTGAAGGGGATCGATAATATGCAGCATGAATTGTTACGCAGTGTTGCATGGGCATGGCATGCGTCACCGGATGGGAGCAGATCAGATGGGTTGGGCTGGTTGAGTGTGATAGGCTTGGCTCAATCGGCAAGGATGAACGGCAGAGAGATTAGAAGCAAGGAGCGATCAGATAAAATCGAACGGCTCTACTAATTCTAATGACGTGGCTCAACCTTGTAACAGGAAATTAGAATTAACTGCAGTAAGTGGGGATCAATTGTATAGTTATATAGGATAGGATTAGTTTTTCTTTTATAATCATCCAATACGAATTCAAGAAGAAACATAACTTTTTATAGACAAAATCATCACCTTTCTGAACAAATAAAGATCTAACAACTGCAAAGTTTCTAGCAGCAACAGAAAATTTGGGGTCTTGTGTAGCAGCAACAACAATTGGTTTCACAGCTAGCATGGAGTGCAGGCAAATCTAAACAAGTGAAAGGAGAGTGTCCTTTCTTGCAAAATTATGTATCCACGTCGATGGCAAAATGTAGTCCATTTGATATAGAGGTTAAGAAATGTGAACCGTTAGATCATTCGCATCAAAATTTCATAAAGTTCCCATCGAGAAACTTGTATTTCAGAAGAGTCCTCTGGCCTCCACGTCCCTATAAAAAAAAGAGTGAATTACTGTTTGGACCATGTTTTATTACCTATGTAGCACTTTGGACTAGGTCCTAAGCTATGTTTTCACTTTAGACCACATTTTATTACCAAATGATTTGATATGGACCACTGGCCCACTAGTTAGTGAGAAAAATAGATATGTCACGCCCAGAAATTCACGAACCAGAATTTCTAAGCTGAATGTGTATTAAACCCCTGTCCAGAACCAGCCAGGGTACACAAACGACAATTGTTGACATACAGATCCACGTCTTACAAAAACATAAAGGATTACAAATGCAGCGGAAAAGGTAAAAGCGAGCTAAGCCTGAAGACTTGACTCCTGCAGCGGGCGATTCCATTCCACAGGCAACCCTTGACGGCAGCGACGAAACCAACCTCTTCAAGACATCTCCAACTGAGAAAAACTTCATCTCTGGTGTGGGGGAAAAGAGCAAGACTGAGTACTATCCACTGTACTCAGCAAGTCATACCGGAAGAGGAGGTATGATGCAGGATATAACCAAAAGAAGCTACAGGGTTCATTTGCATAAAGCAGGCATTTAAAACCAGTAGTTGAAAACATTAAAAACAGTTGTAGTAATTAAGCAATATTAACCAGTCACTGTCCAACGCTACGCCACGTTGCAACAGGCCCAACCAACCACCTGAACTACACCAGTTCATTAAGCTAAACTAGTGGTGAGACTAATCACGATGAATCTGGTTGACCGCCCATAACCGCGGGCACGACTATTCGAATAGTTTTACTCTGATCAGAGGTGTACAACTGTACCCACAAGACACAGCCCCACGACACGTTCCCGTGCGCCGACATGCCACCACGACATACCGGAAAGAGGCCGTGACAGGACCCTTCGCATAACCCCCTCTAACCGATCGCACCACACCTTAGGGTTCGCCCCCGTCCCCAGCAGGCAACGGGCAGCCCCCCTTTCGTGCCGCGGTGAATCCGGAAGCCGATCAACCGGACACCCCGGCCGACCCAACTCCATCACGCCCACCCTCGCCTGGGTACGTCGGCTAGAGAAAAGCTACACTACAAGCCCAGCCGTTGCCCACGCTGGCTTGTGGTAAGTACGATAAGTTCTTCCAGGGCATCCCGCGAACCGGTCCTTAATCGCCATGGGCACGACTAGCAAAACCATGCACCCACAGCCCACCATGTAGTGTACTTTAATTAACCAACACCATTGCGGTGGCACTAATCCAAAGCTATTGCCAATAATCAAAGTCTATGCTTTAGTGTGAGCCCCTTTTGTGCACTAGTTGAACTAAGCATGGCTAAGCATCTCCTAAACCAATATCTAGTCATTTTAATACCCAAGTTATCAATGGCGTAAGGGAAACAACATATAGCTGAGTAATAGGACCCATCCCACATGATATTGTAAAACAATGCAATATTTAATAGAAATGCGGGACATTTGTAAATCGGGTACAATATGATCAATTGCAATGTATGACTTGCCTTGCTCTCGCACTGATGAGGCCACAGCAACGTCTTCGAGAAACCGCGAATCGACGAAACGGCCGAAATCTACGCGACAAACAAAGCACACAAGCAAAACATGCTATAAGACTACTGAAACAGATAACAAAGCCATTTTTAATGGATTCTACACATTTTTATGAATTTACTGAGACTTGAATGGACTTAATCGGAGCTCGGATGAATTAGTTATGATTTTTAGAAGATTCTCTGTGTTTATTACTATAAAAGAAAAACCCTTAATCAATTTATTGCGCAATATTGCCCCAGGGCTGACGTCAGCAAGGGGTGGGGCGGCGCCGACATGCGGGCCCCACTGGTCAGCGGCACTAAGAGAGGGATAGGGGGCGGCTGGCAGGCGGGCCCACTGGGCAGTGTCACAAAGGGGGGGGGGGGGGAAGGCGGCCTGGCTCGGCTCGGCTTCAAGCCGGCCGGCCGGTTATGGCGAGGGCGGCGGCGCGCGCGCACGGTTGCCAGCGACGGCAACCGGCGGCGGGAGGCGGCGGCGGACGGCGCAAAGACGGCGGCGGCGGCCGAAGCGGCGGCGCGAGCGGCCCTAGCGGCGGCGCTACGCGGCGGGCTGCGCGGCAAAGGGAGAGAGAGGAAGAGAGGGAGACCGATCCTCACCGAGGGGCTCGGCCGGCGCGAGGGAGGAGCGACGGCGAACGGCAACGACGAGAGACGGGAGGACGACGGCGACGGGCTCCGGGTTGCCCTAAGAGAGGGAAAGAGAGAGATTAGAGGGAGAGAGGGAGTCTACGGCGAGCGGAAACCATGGCCGAAGGCGGCGGCAATGGTGGAAGCTCACCGGAGTAGGGAGAAACGGGCTCGGACGACGGATTTGGCCGAGCGAACGGCGGACGCGACGGCTCAAGGGATGGCGGACGCGGCGGCGCCGATGGCGGGGTGCGGCGGCGACCCTAGCGGCTGCTAGAGGCGGCCGGAGCGGTGGAGATGGCGGCGGCGGGTGGGCGCACGGTGCGGGCGCGGTGGAGAGCTCGGGAGCGGCCGATGGAAAAAGGAAAAAGGAGGAGGAGAACGCGGGGATGGTTTATATGGGCTCGGGAGGGGCGGACGAGGACGGGAGGCGGCCGGATTTCTCGCCGACGTGCGGAATGGAGAGAAAGAGAGAGAGGGAGAGAGAGAGATTCGAATTCGAATCCCTCTGTTGCGGGGTGCACGCGCGAGTGGGAGGAGTGGGGATGGTGGGCGGCGACGTGGGCGCGGGGCGCGGAGTGGGGCGCGGAAGGCGGGGGAAGCGGCGGCGTGGGCGGCGGTTTCGGCGGCGGATGGTGGCGGCTGCCGGAGGTTAGGGACGACCGACAGGTGGGCCCCACCTGTCGGCGCCCGGGAGGAGAGGGGAGGTGGGATGGACTTCGGGGAGGGGAGGTGAAGCGGGCCGGCGCGGGAGGGAATGGGCCGGGCCCAAGAAAAAGGAAAAAGGAGGGAAAAGAAAAGATAAAAAGGAAAAGGGATTTTCCCAGGGATTTAATATTGCACTTTGCTTATTTTAATTGGTTAAAATTATTTCCAAGGCTCTGAAAATTCCACTAAAAATCCTGTTAGCATATTTTGGCACGTAGAATCCAAGAAAAATTCCACATGTCGATTCCGATTATTATTTGCATTTATTAATTAGGGATTCATCTCTAGGTTAAATCAAACAATTTCTTTGGACGATTTATTTTATGAATTTAGAGCAAGGGAGGGGAACTTCAGGGCGTGACAGGGTAATGAGCAAAAATCACAACCGGCAAGCTTTCCTCGGGAACTAGAGCAGCCAGATGCATCAAAGTAGTGCATTCGCTCCTCCTCCTCGATTAGGGGTCAAGCTTGACACCGTGATTTATACCAGGCGATCGCTCAAGCTCAAACTTGATCTACTGGTGTTGTCCCTGCACTGCTCTAACTTAGCTTGCTGGCAACAACCCCCCAATTGCTCAAGCCCCAAGCTCGGCTGCTGCATCGGCCCCTAGCTTGAGCTCCGGCGATGCTGAGCTCTGCACTTGAACTAGCACCAGCTTCGCTACTCGAGAGCTTGCATCCGCTCATGCTAGCTGGACCCTCTTGCTCGAGCTCCACCTTCACCCGCAGTTCTAGGCCCCCACGTTGACTTCTTAATTTGTTGGACTGGTCGAGCAGTCGCTGCCAGACTCTAGCTTGCTCAGGCTGCTTGTTGGCTTCCTCGTTGGGCTACTACCTAGGAATCAGAAAGAAGGAAGAGTGCGGAGATGGAGAGGAAGGGACAGTCCAAATTGCAAAATAAGGTAATTTTACCTAGACTAAAGTGAAAGCATCATACTATGGGAGGTCCAATATGACACCTTGGTAATAATAGGTGACCCAATATAAAATTTACTCTCAAAAAAACTTTCAACGTTTTGTTTTCATCCGCCGTTCTTCTCTTATTTACCTTCCAGTCCTCCCACCTCACCTTATTTTTCATTTTTCTCCCCTCCAGATCTCCTCCGTGTGAACCCAATGCTGCCACCTCAGAGTCCTAACTCCTACGCCACCGGTGTCAAAAAAAAAAAAAAATCCTACGCCACCGCCACCACCACCGCCACAGCCACGGCACCACCTCCTTCTTCAACCCTGCCGCTGCCGCCACCTACCCACGTTCCCCACCATCACCACGCTCTCTACCTCTTCCACACAGCCATCATCTCCCTTCCTCTCCCATCTCCGCTGCCGTCTCCTCTTCACCCACATTCACAGTGCCGCTGCCTCTACTACCCTCACCTCTCCCCGTCTCTGGCGCCACCTCTTCCTCCCCACACACCTGAGCCCCGGTGCTTCTGCAGCCGGCGCGTCCTCCCCGGTTTGCCACCAAGCAGGTCATTTTCTTTCTCTCTTTTCCACTAAGATATCTGTTTTATGGCTGCTTTACTTATCACCTTGGCACCTGTGAATTTGAATCATGTTTGCAAACTTTTACCACTGGTTAAAAAGTACATAGGAAAAAATATCAAAATTGTCTACCCTGAGCCACCAGTTTGGAATAACAAACAGGTAAGCCTTCTCTGATCCAGAACACATAGAATTTGATTTTCTTGGAATTCAAACTGAATTTGTTTTGTTTATGGAATTTGGCATCGACAGGGACTGGCGAGAAATATTATGTCTAGGTGAACTTTTCACAATGCAGATTAAACAGCACAAAAGATGAAATTGCAAAGTTAAGTGTTACAGTACACCATGTTAGAATATGTCAGATCAATTTTCTGTGCAGCTAGATTGTCAATTTCTTATGATTGCTTTATGTGCTTGGCCATTCAAATTGTGTTCATACTACACAGTAGTGTTGCTGCATGTGGATGTGCAAATCCAGTTAAAGTATGTGGATAAATGGCTAATAAATGCCACCTCTTTGCATTTTAGGATTTTCTAAAATATCTGTTAAATATTATCCAATAAATCGTTTGGCGATTGTAACCAAGTTCAGGAGTTGGAGAACAAGAGCAAAGGCATAATAAAATTGAATCACAACATGGACATAGTACTTAGAACGGTATAATAAATTAACTATCACAACATGGACATAGTAAATTTGCTAATATTTAGATGTGGCATATGCACAGTAAATTCTATAAATTTGCAACTTGGACATATGAAATTGACGGCAAAGTCAACAATATGCCATGATCATGGTTCTCATCGTAACATTGTTCATGGTTCATGCATATGGCATGTACCACATATAACATTTGTAAGGACCCACATATAAATTTAACAGAGAGGAAGGTTATAGTCGCGCGATCGTGCGGCATAATAGGCTAGTTAGTACAGAAAGAATTCACATTAGCCTCAGTGAGCAGCAATCATAAAACTTGCATCAGTGAGCAGCAATCAAGAAACATAAATCCACATAAAAGTGTAGGGCGATGATCCTCAGAAAATGGGATTGCACATTGACATAGCAATTTGGTTTTTTTTTTTTTTTGAACGACTCGCACGAGACGGTGCGAAGTTCTATTAATAGAGCAGGAAAAAATTACAAGATTACAACCCTGGAGAGTCGTAACCAGGAAAAGGAAAAAAATATACCACCACCCTCACACCAACAGCGCCAACACACAACCCGGGAGAAGGCTAGCACCGGACCTGCCGCCACTAAGCGTGACCTACCACCGCTAGACTGACAAAGGAACACAGACAAGATGTCCTTGGCTGATGCACCGATGCTCCACCACCTCTGCAGCTCTACCGACATGTGGGGCCCCTGCACCGGCGTCCTCCGCCAGCCAGTCTTCATGCGCCGAAGACCGCGCCACACCCACCGGCAGCTCCTCCTCGCACCGAGGTCGCCTCCTCCACCGTCGGCCGCGCCTCTCGCGCCAAGCCGGCCTCCTCCACCGGACGCGCCTCCTGCGCCAATCCGGCCTCCCTCCATCGGCCGCGCCTCTCGCGCCAAGCTGGCCTCCATCTCCGCCGCTCGCGCCTCTCGCGCCGAGCCGGCCTCCGCTATCATCGGCTGCGCCACTCTGCGCCAAGCCGGTCTCCGACCCCTCCTCCAAACGATGCCGCGCCGGCCCGATGTAGCCGTCTGCCACGCCCTTAGCTAGCCGTCCGAGGCCGCCATGCCTCCGGCGACCGTGGTCACCGCCACCGCAGCCACTGCTGCCAAACGCATCCCCGCGCCTCCTCCTACCGTGCCACAGTAGCCACTGACGCCGCTGCTGCCTCAGGCCGCAGCCGCGGCTGCCACTGGCACCGCCGCCGTTGCCCTTCACCAGCCGCGCCGCTGGTCGCCGCCGTCCGCGAGCCTCGCGCCGCCGTCACCGCCGTGCAGCTGCCGTCGCTCGGCCCGCTGCCACCAGGGCCGCCGTGCAGCCGCCGTCGCCGCCCGCGTGCATCTCGCCGCCGCCGCGGCTGCCGCCGGCTGCCGTGCGAGTCGTCGCCGCGCCGTCGCCGCCGCCTCCGCTGCCGACGCTACGCCATCGCCGCCGCCCTTGACGCGTCGCCGCACCGCGGCCTCCTTCGCCACCAGCGCCCACACCAGCCGGATCCGGCCAGGGGATGGCCAGATCCGGCGAAGGTGATGCCAGATCCGCCGTCTCCTCGCCGGGATCGGCCTCCGCCGCCGCTCCCCAACCGCCGCCGTTCGTCGCCTCTCCCGCGCTGAGAGGGGTCGCCGCCATGAAGGAGGCCCCGCCGCCGCCATCATGGCTCGCCCGCCGGCTTTCCGGCGGCGAGCTCCGGCGGCGGCAAGGTGGGGGAGGGAGAAGAGGAAAGGCGGCAGCGGCGGCGCTAGGGTTTCGCCCCCGTGTCGCCAGCGCGTGGGCGACGCGGGGGGGGGGGGAGGGGGGGGAGGGATTGCTAGCAATTTGGTTAGAAAACAGTATAACTCGATTACAGTATGGAAAAACAATTCCCTATTTGAAGTTCAGAAATTTGATCTGAACCCTTTCCTGGGGTTTAGGGTTCCGATCTGACGACCTCACCACCATGCAGACACACACGATCGAAATTGGTGGCTGTAGGGCGATGTACATCTTCCTGGCGGCAGTATCCATTAAGCAGGATATCCATTCCTGCAGTAAATGAGCCAAAAAAATCAAAATTGTAGAGCTCATAATTGGGTGTCTTATAGAGACAAGTTATTTAGGCGAGAAGTAAAGAACAGCTACATTGCACACGCCTAAAACAATAAAACTCACTGGACCCCACTATCCAGTGTCCGCCTTTGATGCTTCTTAGTCAAATGATGAAAATGAACTTAACTAAACATGTGATAGAAGACTGAATTAACTCTGGTATACAGTGAGAAATTGATGGCACTTACATGGCAATACCTCAGATTGAGGGCAAATTACCCTGTTGCAACAGGCATTGGTATTCCATCAAATTTTATGACTGCAAACAAGTACAAAAGAAAAACTTAGCTTTGATACTGAATACCATCAGGTTCCATTTTCTGCCCCTCAAATCTGTGATCTGAGGCCAAGTAAAGGGAGGAGAAGAACAAGAGTTACAGGAATAAAGAATAATGCAGGAGAAAATATGCAGTAATTGTAAACATCTTTACATTTGATTTGAGAAAAAAATATAAGCAAATTATTGAGCGGACAGAATCATGTATGAATGATCTACAGTTATCAACTGATCTACGAGACTACGATACACTAAAGATGCAAAATCTCCACCTTGACTATTCACTAAAGCTTTATATCTCCATGACCAGAGATTTGAATATGTACATGTAATTAACAGATCAGGGATTTGTTATTAAGAAAATAAAGTGAAACTGAATTCATTATTTTTAAGCAATGCATTTGCTGCTGAAATGGAGAGGATTCCTAACATCAGGTGCTTTCATGTTTCATGAAAATCGTAAGATATCCATGGCAAAGGGAGTAAAGCATGAAGAAAATGGTAAAATGTGCTCCCGGTCAATATTCTACTGTGAAAACAACTTTCATTAAGCATCGGCTGGAAACAAGTTATCTAAGGTTCTGTGCTTGAACTAATAATGAAATCTATGATCTTACAAAACGGTGAAATCAAACGCTCGAAAGTATTGGGCTGTTTCCTGATGGAAACCATCGTATTTCTATCCAAGAATTAGTTTCGATATCTTCAGACAGCCTTGAGGACTTTCAGAAATATATACATCAATACATGCATGAATGATCCAAATATATGTTCTAGCTAAAGGGCAGTGGCGGCCGTCAGATTATGTAGTTGCATGTCTACATGTAGCACACAAAAATTGGTTCTCTAGTGCTTCTACAATCAGAACATGACCTCTGATCAGGAGAAATGTAACACTGGAACAACAAGAGTTTCTGCCCCTAAAAGTAACATTAGGAATAGGGATTTTTACAGGCGACCGAGTGAGAAGGTACCGGAACCGCACCACCTGAGAGCAGAGGTCGTTGACGATGAAGATGGCGGCGGCGCCGACGCCTTTGGTCAGCACGGGCCATCGAGGCGAGGTACCACGCGACCACCCCGGACCCGATCCCGACGATCCTCCTGCTCCCGGGCGGCGCGAACCCCCCCGTCGGGGGCTCGGTCACCGCGACGACGACGACCTGGCGCTGGGGAATCGGTGGCAATCGCTGATGGCGACGGATGTGAGGGAGATCAGCGCGACGACGAGCTGGCGTTGGGGGATCGGCGGCGCCGGGAGAGAGGAGGAGGTGGCGGCGACGATTCGGGGAGGGGAGGTGGGGACTGGGGAGCGATAGGGGAAGGAGAATGCGCGGGGTAGGGAGAGGTGCGAGGTGGAGTCGATCTTGAGCGTTGGATTTCACCCGAGTGATGAATCGGTGGTGTTTGAATCTCCTGCAAATGCAAATGAAGATAAAGATAAAAATTAAGTGTTTCACATAAAACGATGTGGTAATAACGTGTAATTAATTAAGTTTTAATTATTATAAACTTGGAAAATAGATTAATCTGATATTTTAGAACAACTTTCATATAAAAAGTTTTCGCACAAAACTCAGTTTGAAAAACGTGTCACGAGTATCCAAAAATTTATCCAACTTTTGTTGGAGAAAAGAACCGAGGCTGGCTAAGTAAATTGAGTTGGGTGAACTATAAGGGGCTGGCTAATGGGCGATCAATCCCCATCCACCCCTATACACTCCTCTTCCCTCTTCCTCCTCTCTTTCTTCCCTTCCTACTATATCATAAATTTTAAAAAATAAAAAAATAAAGTTGGAAAAATTATATATAGAAATACTATATATAAAAAAATATTTGAATTCAAATTGAAATTTTAAACGCGTATGTAAACTTTTGACTTATAAACTTTGGGTCTATAAACTTTTAGATGTATAGAAATACTATATATAAAAATATTTGAATTTAAATTCAAATTTGAATCGGGTATGTAAACTTTTGACTTATAAACTTTGGGTCTATAAACTTTAGGTGTATAAACTTTAGATTTATAAAAATACTATATATAAAAAATATTTGAATTAGAATTCAAATTTGAATCGGATATATAAACTTTGGGTCTCTAAACTTTATATGTGTAAACTTGAGGTGTACAAATTTTAGGTGCATAAATTTACTAAAATAGAAAAGTAATGTGGTGCCAAAAAATGAAACCAGGTAGAGGGAGGGGATCCTAATCGTTAGGGGCGATTGATCGCCCCTTAGCAATCTCGGAACTGTAAGCATCTTATTAAACTCTTCAACTATTAGGCTACTTTTAGATGATGTGGCACACATATATAGCTAGTAATCAGCGATACTATTAAACATGTTCTTAGGCTGTGTTCGGTTTAGGAGGATGGGAATTAATCCCTCCCACACGGAAAATGGAGCGGTTCATTCGCGTATGATTAATTAAGTTTTTAGCTATTTTTTTTAAAAAAGGATCAATGTAATTTTTTAAGCAACTTTCGTATAGAATCTTTTTTTAAAAAAAACACATTGTTTAGCAATTTTAAAAGCGTGCGCGTGGAAAACGAGGAGGGTTGGGAACCGCTGGAAACGAAACTTCTCCCACACACGGAAAACAAGGTATCTTATTAGCTTACGATTAATTAAGTATTAGCTTAAAGATGTTTGGAAATAGATTAACATGGTTCTTTCTAAAAAATAACCTTTTATAAAATTACATAAATAAAACAATACGAATGGTTAAATATATTTCAAAAATCAACAACGTTCTAAATTAAAAGGGAGAGAATATTTATTAGTCCATTTTGAATTGGTTCATAGGATATGAATTTATGTCTCTTCAGTACGTAAAATTTCATAACAGCTCTATGCATGTCTAAAACCCTGGAGGACTGCTACAGCACGTAATCCCGTCCCAATGGAATAACTTAAAGGATGGCTATTTGACTAGTCAACCACTCCTGTTATTTTATTAAATTCACGTAAATGTTCATATGAGGATCCACACGTCAATCCACGTCTCTTCGTGTCTAGGATCCACACGTCAATCCACGTCTCTTCGCCTCCTCTCAAGGAGGCACGCATCAGCACATGTCTCCTCATTGGATACATAGCACATCCTCTTCGATTGTTATGATACTAACATCAATAACTATTTGGGTACCAGTCTACCAGACTTACCTGGGTACTAGCTACCTGATACCCAATACCAAGTTTAGTACCTACAGGAATCAGACCGATCTAGTACCAAGTAATTGATATCTAGAAATCCGATACCTAGTACCATGTATGGTACCTATGATATCAGACTGGTCTAGATTATAAATATACATGATACTTAGGTACCTGATACCCAGTATAAGGTCTGGTACCTATCGGTGCTCGACCAATCTATGTACTAGGTACCTCGATACCTGAGGTATCATACCTAGTACCTATGGTACTAATCGGAAAAAATGGGTACCAACAAAAGTTAATAGTACTTTAGTAGAAAAGTATAGTATAAAGTGTACTACTAGTACAACAGCATACGGAGACCCGGAGGTAAGTAGGCATATGTGCTACTCTAGCCTCTAACCAGCTTTAGTCACGCACTCACACTCAGCCTCCTCACGTCACGTCTGGCCCTTCTTCCCATGCACTCAGAAACATATCTAGATCATGAAAAATAACGGTTCGGTTCACTTGTAATTTATCCCGTTGTTACGGTATCCCGTTCTCTATTTTTTCTGCCAGAAAGAATAAGGTTATTTTTATAGACGGTTCTTTTAGAGGTCCGCTAGGCTTATTTTTATAAGCGGTCTTCTCGAAGACTCCGTCCATAGAAAACTAAAACTTGTACCAATGGACTTTTAATATCCGTTTGAAAAAATAGGGTTATTTTCGCAGGCGGTCCTAGGATTCGGCTGTACAAATCAGATTTGTTCTTGCAGACTCCCCTCTCTCTCTCTCATCCTCTCCTTCCCCTCACTTTTTCCTCCCTCTCCCTCCCGTGGCCCCCATTCTCCTCGCCGGTCGCCGCCGTCCTCCGCGCCACGGCGGATCGTCGACGACTGCGGGGGAAGCGTGGATTCGGCGGCGGTGGAGGAGGGGGAGGCGGCAGCGGAGGGGGCGGCGGTGGAGGAAGAAGCTCCAGATCCAGTGGTTTCGGGCGTCGGGGGCTCCAGATCTGGTGGCGGCGGGCCTCGGAAGCTTCGGCAGGATCCAGGCAGCTCGTCCACGGCGGGAGCGGCGGCGACCGAGCAGCAACGGAGTGGAGGCGACGACGTCCTCTGATTGGTGAGCGGCGACTACTCCTCTTCCTTGTCTCGGCTGCGGGAGAGGTGACGAACTTGCATCAATTTGTAATGGAGCAGCAATTTGCTTGATTATGTGGAAATGATGCATCAATGTGCTTGATTCCCATGGCATTTGTTTGACTTTGATATCTGGAAATGCTGATTCCGTGTAAACGACGCACCAATGTGCTTTGATTTTCGTTGCATTTGTTTGATTTTGATATCTGGAAATGGGGCAACGTACAGCCTGTGTAAATGATGCCGTACTTTTTTTGTTTGCTTTCCAGGGAATTTACCGCAGTTGGGATTATTCTTAGGTGCCTGACGGTGAAAATTGTTTTCACAGTCGGTGGTCTATAGTTGCCCGTCTAAATTGGCTGTCAGAATGGTACTAATTTGGTAAGCATGTGTAGTAAACCTTATTGAGATTTAAATATCATGTGTGCCTTCAGTCTTCTATATTTCCTTACATTTTCCTTTTTATGCATACAACAGTTCTGAAAGTTCTGATGACAAAAACAAGTGCGGAGATGAATTGATAAACTATATTTTATCATGGTCATGGACAACTTGTATTGAGTCCAATTTTGAAAACCCCCAAGAATCAGCTGCATCATCATATGCAAAATCGCTGTTAGAACCACTTGTCGAGGAAACGGTAGCAGCAGTTCAGTCAGCTCTCCAGAAGCTGTGTTTTGCACCTCAATTCAAGATAATTGATATCCTTCCTGCTGCTGGAGTGAATATATCATTCTTGGATATAGATCTTCAGGAGGTTATTACTCACAACACGGAGAGGGGTGATATCTTTTTACTGTGCACAGAACTTCCTAGGGACTCTAGTCAGCTATGCAATGATGAAGCAGTACTTGCTATGGCAACTTGCTCAAATCTTTATGACACATTTCAGAGAAGTTTCAATGTGAAGACTCATCAGAAAGTTAAGAGACAAAAGTTTAACCATGCTCTGTTCTTGTGCAATATCTTGATGAATATTCAGATCTGGGAATCACTGAATGCGGTGATTCTATATGACTGCCCAATAATCAATGATCTACTGGCGCCACCATCCATGGTAAAAATTCTAGATCATGCTTACAATCCTTCGCATCATTTTCCAGTTCTGTAAGTTCCTTTTTATTCTTCACTACATTACTTAACCTCTGTTCAATTGTCCATGCCCAGGTTGTGACATGCTGCAATGAGGAGTTGGTTGATGTGTTAATGTCTCAAAAGATTACTCTAGATGAGGTGCAGTTGGAAGCTGCCAAAGCAATTTATTCAGCTGCACGGTGTAAACATAGTAGAAGCATCCATGTTATATCTGGAGCCCATGGAACAGGCAAAACAAAAATTGTTTTCTCTGCAGTGGCGTCACTTTTGTCAGTAAGTGAAAAAGTTATTGTATGTGTCCCCAATGCTCAATCGTTTTCAGCAATGTGTTCTGATTTTGTTGAAATGGCTGAGTCTCACATGGATGAGGAATTGGGAATTTGCTTGGGAGACATATTGGTACTATCCAACGAGACCGGGCTAGAAGATAATGTTCAACAGCTTACAATCATTACAAGAGTCAAAGAAGTGCTGCCTTTGATGATATGGCATGATATGATGAAAGCACTAAGGAAATCATTGGCAGCATTTAAAGAGAAATACGTTGCAGAATTTAAAGAGAAATATGTTGCTTCAGCAAAACATAATTGTCAGCCATCAGCCAAAAAGTTGCTGACTTCATTATTTTTCGAAAAGGCAGGTTTTCTGTTGATATGCCTTGCAACCTTTAGGAAACATTTCCCAAAAAATATGTTTTCTGAACAAGTAAGCAAGAGAATAAAATCTCTCATCAAGTGTGTCTCCAAACTTGAGAATCTCTTGAAAGACAGGAATCTCAAGGAATATGATGTACATGTTGCTTTTGGGATATTATCAGGAAAAAGGGAAACAATTTCTGTGCTTGCCAAAGATTTACGCCAAACAAAGAATCACTGTGTTACTGCTTTGGATGACCTTCTCACTAGACTTGACCTGCCGTTCAACAAAGATTGCATTTGGCTCAGGAATTACTTCATTAGCAATGCAAAATGTGTGCTATGCACTCCATTATCAACATTTGATCTTCAGCTTTCAGCTGGTTCTATCGAGACACTTATTGTTGACAATGCCGATCAAATAAGAGATTATGATCTTATTCTTCCTTTAACTCTCCGCGATGTCAAAAATATTGTATTAACAGGAGATCCAAGTAAGGTAAAGTTCTTGTCTATACGTCCTTCTCGTCATTTTTGAATAACTGTCATTGCTGACTATTGCCATCTTGCTTTGATCTTAAATTACTTTTTAAATGGTTATATTATGATGAAAGAAAGTTGTATAGTTATATATTCTTAAGCTATGCTTTTTGCTAAAAGGATATGCTCAAAGATTAAATTGGTAAGAACTAATGCCAATTATTCAATAACAAAGGTATAACATTTGTCAACTAATTTAATTTAGGTGAAGGAAGGATCATTCTTTCAGAGATTGCTGTCAGTCGGCTTTAGTGTCTTTGAATTGAGAAGGCAATACAATCTGTTGGATGACAAAGAGAGACATGAGGCAGATGGGCAAAATACCCTTTCCGAAGCTTTAAATGACAAGATAAAGGCTGAAGAGCTGTCCCTTACAATTGGTTCACCGGTAAGTTTAGCTTGTCTTAAATATGTATGTCTTTACTAAATTACTTTTGAAAGAAAATAGCAGTTGCTATTAGGACAAACATTGGTTGTATAGTAATTGCTGTAAAAATAGGACTGAGCCTAACTATCAAGTGGTCAAGTAGGGAGTAAGGACTGAAAAAGGCTTATGATTCATTTTAGACAAAAGATGCTACTAGCTGATACATGACCCAAAGAGAAACTATTTTGTGTATGAGAGAACAGTTAACAACAACCTGGAGATAGCTTCATAGTTTCACATGTTTAAATGTTTCTTACAGAAACAACTATATTCTGAGTTCACCTGGCTCCATCGTCCTCACAATCAGAAGTACATCTTACCTCAGTTGTGCGACCAGAAAGGACATCGTATGTTTTTCTTTTCCATATCCAGCCTTTCAACTTTTTCAACAAGTTCATGTGGTTATGATGTTTGTGTTGTGGTGATATGCAGCTCACTGTACTGTACATGCTAGTTTAGCGGCTTTGGAATTCAAGTACAAGTATAAAGCCGCATCAGAAAACCCTCCTCATGATTTCAGCTCCAAATTCTGTACAAAGCATATGTTGAATGTATATGCTGCTAAGTACGGCGAACTAGGAAGTGAGCGTGAAAGTACAAGGGGTAGCAAACGCCTTTCAAATGTCTTGGATATATTGCAAAATGATGGAGCCAAGAGAGAAGCAATGATGGGCAAACAGGTATTAGATCATCCATTCTGCATTACTTCCATATTCATTTATGGTTTAATCTTATGTTTAGGATTGTACAACTAATTCAATAAATTTCATTTAAAAGTTCCTTAGCATTATAACTGAAACTGATTTTCTGATTATTGTTAGATATATTTAATTTCTAATTACATTATTAATATTTTTAGGTCTATAAAATCTCTTCATATGCGTGTACATACAAAATTGGAAACGATACTGAGTGTCTTCAAGAAACCATCGATCATTTGAAGATAGGCGACATTTCAATTGGATCATTTAAAGTTTCCGAAAATCTCAGGTTTTTTAAGCCCGGAGAAGTGTACATTTACAACCCAGAAAAGCCAGTACTCACTCCAACAGCAAATCAGCCAAGTGCCCACTGCGTGCTGGTAATAGGAGGTGGAGGCTGCCCAAGCGACAGTACTGCGGAACCTGTCTTAGCTTGCAACATGCAATTCATGATACAAAATAGCTATGGCAAAGGTTTCGGGGAACTGGGAATTGGTAGAGTACGCGGAGATTCGTTCAGTACCATGCATCGGATCAGTTTGTAGGCTGAGCGCCTCTGAGGTTCATATCTTGGTGGTGATGTCAATCTGTAATGACTGATGGTTGGTAGATTAGCATACGGTGGTAGTTTTGCAGGATGTAGATTGGTCTAGCTGAAAACATGGGCTCCTTGGAGGGAGATTGTGACAGCATGCTGAGTAGGTCTCACCTCAGGTTTGGCTTAATTTCATGCTGAGTAGGTCTCCTCTGTTTCAAAAAAAAAAGGTCGCAGCCTGAAATACTTCTGTTCCATACACTAGTTGCAGTAGAGCTTCAGACAGTCCTCACCATCAATCAAGATAAGTTGATGGGATTTTTGTGAATTGTGAGAATGAAATGATACTGCTACGGATCTGCGACAGTTTTTCTCCTTCGGCTTTCGTTTTTTCGGCCGTACATTTTGCGCCAAGATTCGTGCTCCTGGGAACCCAGTCCGGCTCGGATCCGACCCGCTATCGTGCATACCTCCCTGATTTTGAACAGTAGCCTGGACCCGCGCGTCTATTCCAGAAATTTTCCTTCGTTCTCTTTCTTTCTCCTCGTCTCGAGGAGGCGGAGGCGGAGGGTGAGGCGATTTTCGCCGTCGCCGCCGCCTTCTCACCGACGATTTCTCCTTCCTCCCCGGCCTGACTTCCCCGCTTGCTTTTCCCGTTCCCCGGTGTCTGTATCCTTGCTGACGTTTTTGGTCGGATTTTTCCTCACTGTTTCTTGGTCCTGATTTTTGGGGCAAGTTTGTAGGTGCTTTGATTTGAGTCGGATTGGCTCCAGATCCAGCATGCTTGTATGTTTTGTAGAGGTCTTTTAGTTTGGTGGCTGTTTTCTTTTTTTCCAGATCTCGTTCGCTTGTGTTTGGATAATGGAAAATGAGGGGTGAGATTGGAATTGGAAAATGAACGTTGGATTAAATGAAAAGGGGAGAATGAATGGTTAGGATTTAAATATTTCTTTTGATGGGTGGGGTGGGAATTCATTTTCCTATCCCATTACCAAACACTGCTTTTTTTTTTTTGAGTAGCCAAACACTGCTAAATCCCTATAACCTGTTGCTTATAGGTAGAGCTATAAGCAATGTTGTGTTTTACGTTTTAGCTTGAGCTTTAATCTTCCATTATGTTTTCGTCAGATCTCAAAACCCATATGGTTTTTTCGTGTATTTTGTAGCAGATCTGGATGAGCTATATAGAAGCTTTGAACTACAAATGCTTTTTTTTTTTTTTGGTGATTTGAGTTCTTAGACGGATTTTTCCAATCCGCGATTTCAGTTCATTGGTGGGATTCGGTTGCAGGTTTACAACATTTTAGTGCTCGATGGATCAGGGATGCTTCCCTGTTCATGGATTTTTTGTTGTTTTATTGCGCAAATTGCAATCAGATCCCTGTTCATGGTGTGAATAGAACAGAGAAGGGGAACCATTGTTATTCTGAATCGGATCCGTTAGTTTCAGAGATGAATGGAATGATCTGTTAGTTCTAAATTTTGATCCCTTCGCATGATGTTCGTAGTTTGGTTGATTAATCGCTCAAGTTCATGCACGTGTATGAAATCTTTCTGGATATGAGGCATTTCGGTTCATGTACGCATGTCAACTGGTCTCCCAGTGTTTCTGTTTAGATAATGAAATTGGTGAGTGGTTGCATACCTGCATACAATTTTGCACTAGGCAAATGTGTAATCTGTACAGAGCACGTTGAGTTGCATAATAATGTATAAATAAGATGTAATTTGATTATCAAAATTAAAACAATTTGATACAATTTTAAGCCTAAAAATAATTAAGATTGCATGTTTTTAAGAGAGAAGCAAGAAGAGACAATTTGGACCATAGATTTATCATCTAAAGGCTAGAAATAATTGGGGTGATAGTTTAATGAGAGAAGAGAGAAATAGTATTAACTACATTTAGTGAGTTCATCGAATATTCTGACCCTTAGATCTATTTATCCAATGGCTCGTATGAAGAAGAGTTGGATCTGCCCTTCCATCGCTGCCCTGAACTCCACCTGCGATCCGGCGTGACGACAGGAGCGGAGCTGCGACTACCGGGTTTCCATGGTGCTGTGCTGCTCACGGTAGGGTTCTCCTCGGCTCCTTGGTTCAGCTGCTGCTGCCTGCGTATTATTCTGATTGTGTATTTGGGATTTTATATAGATTAAACCAGTTGGGGATTTTTATTTTAATAGGGGAACCCAGTCTAGCTCACCCACCCAACGAATTTTAGACTAGCGCCTAGAGGCCACGTTGTTAGCAATGACAGTGGTCGTTGGGGGTTAGCAGCGCCAGCTTGCGGGGATACCAGCGGCAGCCTGCAACCAACAGTATGTTGCTAGAGAATGAACTGAAGCTGCAGCCAACCATGTCCTAGAAAATAGTAACTCTCTTATCAAATGTTGTTTTGGACGGATAAATTGTGATTTATTGTTTGGTAGGGACTGCGGTGGAGTTACAAATTATGAGAATGAGCTATAAGAGAAGGGGTAAGAATGGAATATAGTAAGAGGTGATCAACAACAGATGAACTTGTATATTATTGCTATCCAACCCAGTTCAATTTCATCTAGAGGGATTATTGCTTTCCAGTACATGCTTCTGATTTTTCTGTAACCTCCTTGTTTTCCGGATGTGAGCTCCTTGGTCAGAGAGGTAACAAACAAAATGCTCATATCCTTAGCTAGGCTCTCCACCGCCTTCACTCAGGTGCAATTCAAGTACCTTACATTTATTTGCAAGCCCATCCTTTGTTGCCCATCCTCCTCTTTAGTTAGTATTAGTATGAATGCCAATATCAATTTCCCTATCAGTGGCAGCACTGACTCAAAGCATGTTTTGTACGTGGGAAATGATACAACTGAGAGATAGATGAAGGAGAAGACGGCACCAGTACCTAATTTGCTGAAAGAAGCAAATCATCCGTGAGCACCTAATAACCTGTGAAATATAATCTTCTTTAGACAACTTGACTTATATAATATTGGATGATTTTTTAAATCTAGGAGGAGCTACCTCCCAATTCCAATACATGCATACAGCATCAGGGCAGAGACCATGCCCAGGGAAGAACAGGGTAAAGAAACAAGTAGCAAAAGACAGCTCTCGGGAAGTCGGGATAACTCTAAAGCAGCTCTACAGAAAGAGTCTGACTAATTAACTCCACACAGCAAGCAAGAGGGGAACAACTACTTAGCCCACTCCTACTCTGGCAAGGGAGGATGTTGCTTCCAAAAGCTTGTTCGCCATGCCCTCATCTTCTCAGCATCCCTCCTGCTACGGCTTGTTTGGTAACTCGAGGGAAGCGGATTGGGAGTTTACACGAGGGAATTGATGATGAGATTAAGATGGGAATTTGATTTTTAATCCCAATATCTTGTTTGGTAGAGATGATGGTAATTGATAGGGAGTTTAGTTAGAGATTAGGTCATTAATAAAAACGGATGGCTGAGATTTGCTTAGAAAAAGTAAAGGAGGAATTATCTCCCAATTACCTGCCCCTACCCAGATATTGAAAAGGAGGGAATTCCTTCCTCAATTCCCCATCCCCATCCCACCAAAATTCACATGTCTCCCAACCAAACAAAACACTTAATAGCCTACTCCCTCTAAACTCCTAATCCGTTCTAAAAAATCCATCCAACCAAACGGGCTTTCCACTGCAACAATGAATATTTGATACTTCATTCATCAATCCGATGATGAAAAACCATAGCTCCTCACATCCCACCGCGCACCGCTCCCATCCCACGGAAACCACATCCGCCATCATCGCCGTCCTATCCACACAAAAGGGATTGTGCATTACGAGATCGAGTCCACCGTTGTCCACCATCGCCCTCCCTCCCTCGAAGCGCCCCCGTCTCCCTCATCCCCTTTGTCGCTGGCCGCGCCCTCCACAATGTCGCTAGCACTCCCTACCGCACGCCACCCCCGCCCTTCCTTGCCGCGAAGGCTTGCCCCTCCTCTCCGGCATCATTCATCCTCCCCACCTCAGCCGCCAAGCAGCCGGTCGTGATCCACAGCCGTTGGGCCGCCGGCAGCGATGTCCATCGCGACCCCCCGAACAGATCAGTCCGACCGCAATCGCTGTTTCTTTTGCTGCAGAACCTGAATAGGTCAGGATAGCACCGATATGTAGTTATGTACTCGATTTTGACCTGCTCTTTTCTGCTCACTAAGAGCAAGTTTAATAGTATAGCCAACTACCAGCTCCAATTCATCTATAGCTAATCTAATAGGTCATTCATACAATAGTTACATACTACACTGTCAATATCTGGTCCCACCTGTCATACATACACCGCGTCTTGGAGTCCGTGCTACAGCTGACTACAAATCTGTAGCCCACTGCCCTTCTCTCTCCTCATTTATCTGTTTAAAATATGTTTGCAGCTGGCTTATAGCCTGCTATTGTACCTGCTCTAAGGATCATGATATACGATAGGCATTTCAGACTAGTACTTGCCACTGTCTATAAGACAAAGTAACAAATCACATCGACACATGGTGCAGATATGAACATCGTAACATATTATGATTCTGGTATTTGTTTGAGCCCGTATAACAGCTGCACGCACGCTCTCCTTAAATTATCGTCACTACACCGTGTCACAGGAGAAACACCCAGGGGCCTTCGGCTAGCTTCAAAATGTGGTGAGCTAGGTGATTTATATTCGAAGCCTCACCCCTTCTAAATATTTGATATCAGGTCATTCTTTAATATTTACATTTTTTTACACCATGTCACAGAATTTGTTTCAGACATCCGTGCGGGAAAGAGCACTATTTAACGTCAGTATTCTGTTGGTAAAGCTTTGCGACAAATGGCCTGGTTGGGTCTTGCTGTTCATCGCTAGCTAGGCCATCGATCGTGACCCGGCAAGCAGTTAAGATAAGAAGTTTTGACTTTTTTTTTTAAGTTAAATTTATAGATGTTGGATCAAATTTATAAAAAATAGCAATATTTTCAACATTAAAATTTAAAATATATATTCAATGTTAAATTTAATTAAATTAATTTAATGAAGATGTTGTTAAATTTTTTTTTATAAATGTGATCAAATTTAAAAAGGTTTGACAGAAAAAAATCAAGACATCCTCTAATACGAAAGAGAGGGACTACTATTTATTTATGATGTCCTACCTCCGTCCAATAAAAATGACAATGCTAGCTCCGTCCAATAAAAATGACAATGCTAGCTAATTTAGGACATATTAGGAGGATAGACAAATGACCTCACCTATACATTTATAGACAACTTTTTTTTCTAAAAATTTAATAGATATAATTATAGTACAATCATGATGATGTAAATACGTTGTAACTTATATGTAACTTTCAAAAATCTCTCCGTAACATGCTATTTCGGTGAAATAGAGGTCGTGGGAACAAATCCTCTCACATATGTGCGTGCAGTGACTTTTTTCCTTTTTCACTTGGATAAATCTTGAAACAAATCTAACGGTTCAAAATTATGTAATTATGTGAAAGTTACATGCAAATTATATTGCAATTACATATACGAGTTACAGTGTGTCGAGGAGTGGTCCTCTCTAGCGGGAGATCATGAGACCCCTCTTTGTGAGTTCGGCCAGGGGATAAGGCACGATGATCAAGAGCGTATTTCCGCTATGGATCTAGCTGGTCAGATTCTTCAGAAGAGAATGGGAGACAAGGGATTATACAGGTTCGGGCCGCTATGGAGCGTAACACTCTACTCCTGTGTGTGGGATTAAGCTTGTGCTGTTACTAGGGAGTTCTAACCCTCGGCTCAAGCTTCTCAAGTGGCGTTCCTTTTCTCGATGGGCAATGTCCTCCTTTTATAGTTCGAAGGGATACCACGTGCACCGTCTTACACAATCCATCATTGGGTGGGGCCCACTTTGTCCTGGGTCAAGCCGTTGTCCTTGCCTTCGACCGGAAGCAAGGTGGTTTGCTCATCCTCAGGTGGGCCCAACGCCGTCCCTCACCTGACACGGGGGACACACCTGTCATTCGCTCTTAACTCCATGGAGACTTTTGTGGATTCTTGCACGGGAGAGCACGCTCGGCCGCGTGCCGATGGGACGGGACATACCTGCCCCCACTCCGCCTGACAGAGGGCGGGACGTGGGTGCACTGCTACTCGTCCTATCCGCCTGTTGGCCGGTCACAGACTGGTCAAGCCCGATTGACGCACGTCAATCGGGCGGCGCCTCACATCCGCCCACGCCGCGTTAAATGTGGCAGGGGACGGTTGGGGCGCCACTTATTTAAGGCGCTTGGGAGCACCTCTCTCTCTGCCCACTCGGCCACCACGTGGCAGCCCCGAGGGCCCTCGGGGTGCGGCCGCTTCTCGATCGCTTGCTTTCCCCCTGAGGGGGGAGGGGAAAAGGCCGCGCGGCCATGTGTCCAGACGGAAGGGCTCTTTCCCTCCATCTTGCGTACCCTCGGGCCCATATCACCGACATAGTGTAATTACATACAAAAGTTACATTGTAATTACACTACGATTGTATTGTAATTACATCTGTCAAATTTTTAAGAGAAAATTTATTGATAAATATATAGCAAAATTGATGAATCCATGCATACATTCCATATATAAAATGGATTAAACGGATTTTTGAGACAATTAACCCCATATAATTAGCAGTCTTAAATTACTTGCTGGTCCCACGTGATTAGAAATACATTTTTTAAAAAAATAAAGCTTCATAGCTAGAATTTTAACTTTTAAGGGAAAGTTTCACGTGATTAGAAATACAATTTTTTTTAAAAAATAAAGCTTCATAGATAGAATTTCAATTTTTAAGGAAAAGGGTTAGTATTCAACATATGTTGTAACGCACGGGCACCCGATTAGTAGCCGAGAATATGTCTATCTAGGACACGTGACTGCACAGCTAGTGGTCTAAACCAGCTACCACTCCATCTATAAGATACCCTATCCACCTATACTTTAAATAAAATTTTCTCTTAAACTACTCATCCGATCTACGATCCGATTACATTGTTGTGTTCGTAACAATTAAATCTTTATAATAAGATCTCACATGATTATATTTTGATGAAAAATTATAAATTACTTTTAGATTTCACTAAATTACTTCTTAGATATATAAAATTAAATTCAATAATGCCTAAAGGTAATTTACATATATTATAGAAGTAACTTATAAAAAAAAAAGTAACTCTAATGCATGTCTTTTTTCATTGGACGTGACTACACAGCTAGTCGTGGCTAGTTTATACTCCATCTAGTGTTTTCCTTTCAACTTGAAAAATGTAATAGTATGTATCTTACGTGCGTTGAAGTTAACATTGAAGTTACTTTTAAAAATTGTTAAACTTACGAGTCTAATTTGATGAATTAGCATAGGATTTAGGATTTAGTTTTAGATTTATTTTTAGAGCTTACTTAGGAGTTTATCCGACAGACTTTAATTTAAGGGTAATTTGGAACCATGCCATTATAATTTTGCAAAGTTTGAGATATGCCATCGGTATCTCAATGACATGTAGAACCCACATGAGTCAATGACATGTGGGTCAGGATGTCATATCTCAAATTTTACAAAATTATAATGGCATGGTTCCAATTTTCCCTTAATTTAAAATATCTGAGCCATATTGGTTGAACAATTTTGCTTTCGGCCTAGGTCTTCCCAAGCCGGCCCAAACTTGGGCTGGCCCATCTTTGGCGAGCCGAGTCAATTCAACGGCCCGCAAGCCGAACAGCTGAGCGCGACACATATGCGGGGACGGTCCAATGCACTTCCGCAGCCCGTTGGACGCAGCGTAATCAGCGGCGGTGGCAGCGGCCTGACGTTGGGCGAATCTGAGCTGTCCGATCTAATGAACGGCTCCGATCTTCCCCACGCCGGATGAAGCGCCGACCAGGAGAGAGGGGCAAAACCCTAGCTCCCAAATCCCTCTATCCTGATCCCATTTCTCTCTGACGATGAGCGAGCGGATTTTTTTTACCGCGTCACATATAATTCCTTTTTTTTTTGAATCGGATGAAATTCGTTTTTTTATTTTTTTTTCGCCCTATTTTTTACCACGTCCACGGAATCAGATTCGTTTTTTCTCGGTTTTTTTCACCCGATTTTTTCGTCCATATTTTTTTTGCTCGATTCTTTTTTGAATCGGACAGATTCGGTTTTTTATTGCCTGGTTATTTTTCCTGCCCGGTTTTTTTGCCCGATTCTTTTTTTTGAATCGGACAGATTCAGTTTTTTTCTTTTCGTCTTTTTTTACATGGGATCGGATTCATTTTTGTTTTTTCGCCCGGTTTTTTCTCGCCGGTTTTTTCGCACGGACTAAATTTCGTCCGCTTTTTCGCACGGACTATGAAAACACCTCTTATTTTTTATTTTTTAAGTAGTAGAAAAGAGATAGAGAAATATATTTTCCCCTCTTTTTAAGGGATTGGATTTTTTCTCTAGGGGAATCGGACTCTTTTTTTTTTGTCTTTTTTTGCTTTTTTATTTAAACGGACGAAGGAAACGTTTATTATTTTTTAAGTAGTAGAGATAGAGATGAGAAGAGATAGAAATTTTTGGAAAATCATGAGGTGCAATTAGTAGTCCGATCGTCTCAAATTAACATGTGAGGTTTTTTAAAAAGATTTCTTATGCGACTTCTTATGTATTTTAAAAACAAACGAACTTAAAAACCTACTCACGAATAACACACCAAATCAACTCATACACGGATGATGTACCAAAATAAAAAAACATCTTTAATTAGGATTAGGAAGAAGAGCCGAAGGGACTCGGCAGCAAGATGTAGCGGACTACGGAGACTGTGGAGGCCCACTTAAAAAACTCAAACTAATAGATAAAGAAGTGACATGTACGGGGAGTAGGAATTCGGAACAGGGAAGCCGCCGCATCCCCAAATTCGCCGGCTTCCTCCCTCCCGAGCTAGGTTTCCGTCTCGCCGCCGCCGCCGCCGCCGCCCGCCTCCTTTTACTTTTTCCGCACCCCAATTCGCTCCGCTGCCCACCTCCTTTCCTTTTTCCGCTGCCAGCCGACTAGGGTTTCCGCCTCCTCGCCGGACGGACGCCGCGAACCCCCCCCACACGGCCACACCTCGCGCCGGCTCCCTCCTCGCGTTCCGCTTCCCTCGCATTACAAGCGGCGCCGGTCCCGGATGGCGGAAGATGCCAATGCCGGTCGCAAGAGCTCTACTCATTTAGCCCAATCTCCTGAATTGCACGCATCTCTTGAATCGCACGAGCTGTAATATTCCTTTTTTTTTAATCTCTTTCTTTTTTTTTCTCTATATGTGTTTTTTCTCACATTATTATAGTGTTCAAATTTAAGACTCTCTAGCATTGCCAATATTCATATAAATGTTAATATATGTCTAGATTCATTAACATCTATATGAATATGGCTATGCTAGAAAGTTTATAATATGAAACGGATGAAGTATATTTTTTTCTTACAGTTTTGCTTTTGCTTCAAGCTGTAGTAACTAACACACTTTCTTTTTCTTCGTATTCTGAAGATAAATTGCATGTATGCTTATTATCATTCTCTTTGTATATTTGTCTTAGAAGCTGAACTGAATTATTACTTGTGTGTTGAAATGTTCCTTGTCCCCATTATTTTCCAATCACTTTATCCAATGTTATGCTTGTCAGCAGCGACAGAGAGATTCCCAAAGACGCTTCTGTTCATCAACAGGCAATTGATGAACCCCAACCATTGTAAGCCTCGTGAAGGGGGGCCCCTAATGGGCGATCGATCGCTAGGGCTATAGCCCAGCGATCAGATCCGCCCCGCCTCCCCTCCTCCCTCTTCTCCCCCTTCCTCCTCCCCTTCTCTTCCCACTACAGTACACCACACAAAATTTTTTTAAAAAACAAAAAGTTAGAAAAATTTATGTATAGAAATATTATATATAAAAAATTTGAATTCAAATTCAAATTTGAATCGGCTATGTAAACTTTTGGCTTATAAACTTTGGGTCTATAAACTTTAGGTGTATAAACTTTAGATGTATAGAAATACTATATATAGAAAATATTTCAATTCAAATTCAAATTTGAATCAGATATAATTGAAATTCAAATTTGAAACGGGTATATAAACTTTAGATCTATAAACTTTAGATGTATAGAAATACTATATATAGAAAATATTTCAATTCAAATTCAAATTTGAATCAGATATAATTCAAATTCAAATTTGAAACGGGTATATAAACTTTAGGTGTATAAACTTTAGATGTATAGAAATACTATATATAAAAAATATTTGAATTCAAATTCAAATTTGAATCGGATATATAAACTTTTGACTTATAAAATTTAGGTCACCAAACTTTATATGTGTAAATTTGAGGTGTATAAACTTTAGGTGTATAAATTAACTAAAATAGGAAAGTAATGCGGTGCCGAAAAAGGAAAGTGGAGGAAGGGGGAACCGCGCTAGGGGCGATCGCTGGTAGCGATCGATCGCCCCTTAGCCTTTCCGCTCGTGAAGATCTCTTAATCCATTTCATAACTATTTATCTCTTTGTATTGATCCAGATACCTCTTACCATAAATTTAATGTTTTAATTTTCAATTTAATGTTTTAGTTGTACTATACAACTGATTATGGTGATGTGAATTATAAATGTCGTAATTTTTTATCGATTTTATAGGAATTGACTTTGAAACTCTGTATACTCTTATCAACCTTCTGATGGTTAGTGTAGTTGTCTTTTATCTCTTATGAATATGTCAAAACTTATCTTGTATGACTAGAATTTTCTAACTTACCTTTCAACTTTAATTTGACGAACTACATAGAGTGGTGGTGATTTCATCAATATCTGAGTGGTCAAAATACTTGTTTATTATGTTTGCTACATGCTTATATATTTATAAACTTTACGAATAATACTTCTTAAACATTGGTGCTTAATTACAAGCATATATATGCGTTCTAGTTCTAAATTTTATAAGTGAAATTTATTTATTTAATGTCTATACATCTGCACATTGTTAATAAAACATTTATGTATTGTTTAAACTTCACAAATATTATTATATTGATTATAATAATATGTAATACCATGGCCACAGGTACAACATACCTATTACGAGGGGTGAAGGAACATTAATAACTGAACTGCGTAAGGTTATGGAGGAACTACGTGTGTCTTATTATGCTGACACAGATGAAGAAACTCGGGAGCAACTGAAACAGTTTTGGGATGATGAATTCAATGCAATATCATCTGGAGAAACAACTATTGAGAGAGATCTAAAGTGGATGCGGAAGGAGGTTATTGAGGCATTCGAGACATACAGTGAGGCTAATGTCTGTATTCATATATATATATTCTATATAGAAATTAATGATTCTATTTTTAAACTTTTACTTTAGAATGTTTGTTTAACTTTTTACTTTCGAATGTTTATCAGGTAGTTGATTATGAGCTTGAAGATCTTTCTCGTCAGTGCTTGATTTTTGATGATTGTGGTCAGCCATACCATCATTATAATTTTACAATGAAGTCTAAGCGTCCTGATTCTGATTTGGAGTCTAGTACTAATTGTCCTGATTCTGATTTGGAGTCTAGTACTAATTTGGAGAGTTGCATTTCTCGTCACTATTTTGCTGAAGTTAAACTTATGGATGGAAAGAAACATTATTTTTGTTGTCCATTGGAGTCGTTTGACAATGGTACATACAACACTTGTATTTATTGTATATCTTATATTTATGTCACTCAAATTTTATACATTTGGAACCTTTAGCTAATTAATTAAATTTTTATTAGGTCATTGTCATGGATGCCGGAATTCTGGCATTGATCTGAAGCATCCTTCAAACGGTGGTTATGAGGAGGGCAACGCATACTCTGGACTCTCTTTTGATGATGATGAATTCGATGCAATCTCTGAAGAAACAACTAAGGAGAAAGGTATAGAGTGGATGCGGGAGGAGGTTATTGAGGCATTCGAGACATACAGTAATGCTAATGTCAGTATTCATTTATATATTATATAGAAATTAATGCTTCTATTATTAAACTTTAGAATGTTTGTTTAACTTTTTACTTTCGAATGTGTATCAGGTAGTTGATTATGAGCTTGAAGATCTTTCTCGTCAGTGCTTGATTTTTGATGATTGTGGTCAGCCATACCATCATTATAATTTCACAATGAAGTCTAAGTGTCCTAATTCTGATTTGGAGTCTAGTACTAATGTGGAGAGTTGCATTTCTCGTCACTATTTTGCTGAAGTTAAACTTATGGACGGAGAGAAACATTATTTTTGTTGTCCATTGGAGTCGTTTGACAATGGTATATACAACACTTATATTTATTGTATATCTTATATTTATGTCACTCAAATTTTATACATTTGGAACCTTTAGCTAATTAATTAAATTTTTATTAGGTCATTGTCATGGATGCCGGAATTCTGGCATTGATCTGAAGCATCCTTCAAACGGTGGTTATGAGGAGGGCAACGCAGACTCTGGATTCTCTTTTGATCCAATCTAATTAGATCTATAGACTATAGAGTTGATCATACTGGATGGGTAGCGTTGCTGTGGGATAATTGTCTAATAAAACAGTAAATATGAGTTGTAAAAAAAATCTTACTTATTGTACGATTTTATTTTGTGTGGTTATATATTTTTTACCTTGATCAATTATTCATATTCAAAGATAATAAATGATTAGGTTGTATGATATGCTTTTGAGTGGGAAGAGATGTAATTCGCACCCTTAATGAATCATCCAATGGCTAAAATACAATTGAGCTGATGTGACTTAATGAGAGAAAGCGAATTAGCATTAATTATGCTTAGTGGAGCTTTATGTATTTCATACATATGTATTAAATTGAAGACCCTAGATTGATGAGTAGAGTTGTATAATGAATATTACTACATAAGTAACATAACCTTACCTCGTGTGTTCATGTTCGAACTGGTATTGATTAATAATTATATTTTTATTTGGTAGTATTAGCAATATATTGGCAATATGTTGCATGTGTGTCGCTATTGTTTCTTATGTGTGAAACGCTTATAGTTCCAGCCTACATGGTACACCTGCTTTTTAATTGTGATGGCTGATGGACAAGATGCTGTATTAGGTCAAGTCTCTGTTCTCCGTTGATTTCCATGTTATACTTCAACTTAGAGGAGTTTTAGGGGTTGATAAATGCAAAATCACTTGCCATCCAAGCGCCCATTTTGGCATAACTCATGCTCGGATATTCTTATATCTGTGGCTCTGTACCAAACACTTTCAAAATCATGGATAACATAAAGTATTAGAGTGGAGCTGCCAAACAGCTGCCAAACCGGAAATTATACTTCATCCGTTTCACAATATAAGTCATTCTAGTATTTCCCACATTCATATTGATGTTAATGAATCTAGACATATATATCTATATAGATTCATTAACATCAATTTAAATGTGAGAAATGTTACAATTACTTACATTGTGAAACGGAGGAAGTACGTGAAATGGCATTTTCTCAGCTCCGCTCCACCCACAGAGTAGGAGCTGGACCAAATGGGACAGCACCAAGTTTCAGACTCCACTGCTCTACACACACTTGTCACCACCATCAATTTCAATTACATGTATAGTTGATGCTGCTACTACTACTACTGATGGTTAGGAACTTAGGATGGATGATCATTTGGTCATTTCTGCTGCAAATTGTGAGCAGGCAACCTCGGGAAGGAGAAGCTGTCATGGCGCTCCGGTGGTGTCGGCGTCGGCGTCGAGTCGACGTCCACGCGCACCTCCGCCCTCCCGGCGTCGAGGCTCCGCTGCTTTGTCGGCGGTATCAGGAGCCTCGTCGGCGACGCGAACGGCGTGTCCGTGTCGGAGCAGTCCGAGTCGGACAGCGTCCCCGTCGCGCCGACGTGGGCGATGGTCTTGTAGCGGTGGAGGTGGCGCACCGGCATGGCCGCGGCGTCGCGTTCTCGCTGGCTCTCCTCCGTTGCCGTCGCCGTCGTCGTCGTCGTCTCCGTGCCCGGTGTCTCTGAACCTGGCTCATGGGATGACCCCTTCTGCTGCTTCTTCTTCACCACTGCTGCCTTGTGCCATTTCTTCAGGGCCTTCGCCGTCTGCTCGTCGAAAATCGTTCTCTTCATCTGTGAACCCATCTGGAGAACAATCAATCCTTCTCCGGTTAGTCGTCGGCAGGATAAAAAGAAAAAAAAGAGAGAGATCTTAGGTTGATTGATAGCAAGTGCAGCTCAATATCTTCTCTGAAATGTTAGCTGAAAGTGAGGTGTGTTACTGAACTTTGTCAGATGATGTGAATAGTTACCTGAGATACGAGAGCATAGAGTGGAAGTGTGATATAGCTGCACATGAATTGAACGACAACCCTGTAGACATGGGTTGGAAAAAATATTAATTTATTAGCATTCAGTAGAAAATTGTGAGAAAAGTAAGACAAAGTATGAAAATTACCCAAGGCAGACTCTGGCGATGATAAGCTCAAAGTTGTCATGGAAGCAGGATCTCAACCCGAATTCGTACTGCACAAAAGTTCAGCATCATCAGAGAAATTATAGCTGTGCCGTAAAACAGTTTTTCAAATTTTGAAATGGAGACAATCTTTACCCAAATCCAAAAGAAGTATGTAATTTCAAATGCATTCTGCAAGAACAATGAAGAGCTATTAGATGAAGGAAAAATACACTCCTATTTTCGCAGCCTTGTGGCTTCAGATTCAAAAGTAAGTGCATGCTAAAGACTAGAGATTAAGTATTCCGTGGCAACAAAGTATTCTCTAAACACTGATACTTTATTTCCTTAGCAATCATGATAGTGAAAATTCAATTTGACACTGCTATCCAGATGTCTATGGTGCATGACATTCATCATTTGGTGGATGTAAGTGAGTCAAGGTTGTGCATTTTACGCAAAAGCTTTTCCGCAAGCTTTATGTTCAAGTTACCTGAAATGACGCGAAATGGATAAGATGAAGAACCAGACGTGGCTTCCCGAACCAAAAATGTTCATCACTGAGTTTCACCACCGGCATTCCTTGAATTACTGTATGCCTCTCTTTAATTTCAACAGCCATCATTGCAATTATAGCCTGCAGCTTTGTTCCAACTGCTAAAGTTACCTACATTTAGGACAAACTGTTGGTACCAGTCATAAGAGATATGTGACCATAATGAGAACCATAATATGTACTAGCCTAGTAGGTACCAAGCTGAGCACTTACTACAAGGGGGATTGTAGAGAACCAGAACAAGTTATGCCATCCTGGAGAAATATGTAAAATAAATAGGAAGTTAACATCATTTCCATCAGAGTATCTTGTTTCTTCTGAACTATATCCATTGCATCTGAACTCCAACAAGGAGCTAAACTTTTTTAAGTGTTCAACTCAATGCAAATAGCATTCCTTCAGTAGAGGCAAACTATGTGAAATACAAAAGATTATTTGACCACAACGTAGATTTTAGGAAGTTGATGGTAAAAAAAATAGGATTGTAACTCACCATGAACATTGAAGAGCATAATGGCCAACGCAGAAGCCCATAAGGGTGCACTGGCAATGTAAAGGTTGATAAAACAAGTTAATCGGTAATTACTTATTAGGAAGACAGAGCATGGATAATAAAGAGAACAAGAAGACAAGATATTGCAATTCAATAAGATAATGGCACAGTCAGAGACAACTTCCAATCTGCAATCTGTAGGAAATTACATCAAGAAAGTGCTTGCACTTTTTCTGTGGGAATGAAACATCCTAAATTGTAACTGCTGCTATTTCCATTCGTTTATGCACAACTTATCTAAATGTAGCTAACTCTGAGTTGATATAGAACAATGGACAATGGATAATGAACAAAGCTCACTTAAATGTTTAAAGACAACCCCACATTTTGTAACTAATGAATAAAAGGGTCCAAAGAAATGATTGTTTTCTTTTTGTCAATTGCAACAGTACTCTTAAAAAGGAACAACAAAGGTATACAACTAAAAATGCCAGATTTCAAGGCTTCCTTACCTAATGCCAACAACTGTCTTAAAATCGTCCTCCAGTGACCTTTTGATGTATTTCCGAAAATTGAACCTAGTCCCTAGAGATAAATGAGCCTACAAAGAGATTTTGTCAGAAGCACCAAATTGACATAAGAAAATCACTGGTACTTTGGCAAGTGACAAGCTACTTACAGCAATGAATCCGTGCCTCAAAGTCAGGTAGTCTGTCCTTCTAACAGATCTGAAGAACTGCCTAAAGAAGCTCACCTACATATTTCACATCAAATGGAGTCATAGAAAGCCCATGAGAAACTGCAAAACATCATTTCTATTGTTTTTGCTATATATTCATGAAAAACCATTTTTTCCTTCAACAGTAATTTGTCCTGGGAATAAGTAGTCTGTTCAAGTTGAAACTTTTGATTTCCAGTATCTATGATTAACCTTATGGTTTCCTGGCAGATTCAAGTTAATGTTGTATATTAAGATGACAACTTGAAGTATTGTAAAACAATATAGTATATGCTAACTGGTAACAATAAGTAGCTAGGCAGGAGCCATGAGAAGACTTACAAAATAGAGCAGAATAGTACTTTTGCTCCAACAGCTTGCATGTTGCCTCACAAAAGACGTTTGATGAGTAAGCCTGAACTTTGAGGGGTCTGAAATTGAAATGTGAAACAAATTCTTAAATAAAAAGAATGAAATATGGACCACCCTGAGGCCAAAAAAACAAAAAAGATCTTCATGCACCATGGATTTTGTTCTAAGCTCTAGCATGAATTTCACATAAACATATGAAACAATAACTTATCTAGATAGATATTAGTGCATTACCATATGAAAACTCGTAGGTAAGGGAGCAAGTCTCCTTCTCCCACTCCTTCCATATACGTGTCTACACAGAAGAGTTCAGAATGGTTTCAGCTTTGTGTTTTTTTTTCTCTTTTTCACTCCATATAAGTCCATAAAACTAATAGCAAAGAAGGTACTAATAACATGATCCTGGTACAGGAAACCTTCACGAAGTTCAAACCTTTAGACTGACCTTACCTTTGCTCTACCCAGAGACATTGTAATAGCACTGAATGCGACATGAAAGACTGCCAGGAAGAACACGAAGATATGCAGCTGGTGAAGCCCATCAGCTGAAACAAGCGACACCATACCCTGCCATGTCGTCATTTGCATTTTCAGAGGTCAACAAACGCAACTTAGGAATGATCAGGCATATCTGAAAGATGCAGTCTGAACAGAAGATCAGAAACGACTCCTGCCACTGAACAAATGTGAACTCCTAGCACACAAGAATTGCTCACTTTGCGGCATGTAAAGCTGAACAGAAGAACAGAAACAATTTCTGCCTCTGCAAAAATGTGAACTAGTAGCACACAAGAAATTGCTCACTTTGGCGCATTTAAAATTGGTTGGATCTCCAGATAGGTGTCGCCGGCCATGGCCACCACCACCGGGCACCTCCTGCTCTGAAGAACTCCTCCGGAGGCTGCAGGGAAGCATGGTGTCCGCGGCTCCCACCGGGATGCAGATGCGCGATATGTACCTCCCCGTGACACTGAGCAGCAACGAGATGAACCCCAGCGTCATCAGCTCTGCACATGTTTGTAAACCTCCATCAAATTCCAGCTTCACCCGGAGATGATGAGAGCCCAATCGATTCAGAAAATGAAAAAGAAGAACAAATTTATGAAAGAAACGCCGCAATGTACCGGATTTGACCTTCTCCAGCGCGTCGAACAGCGCCTTCTTCCTCCTCTTGCTGAACCACTGCAACCCAAGAAACACACAAATCAGAACCTCGAGCCAAAAAAAGAGAGGGAAGAAACCAACAAGCGGAATGATTCAGGAGGGGGTTTGGAAATGGAATCAGCATACCTGGCCAAGGTGGTGGAGGAGGCCCTCGAGGAGGATGGAGGCGGCGACGATGACGGCGCAGACGGCCGCCACGGCCCACGTCGGCGTCTGGTCCAGCGCCCTCGCGCCGTCCCCGCCGGCTCCTCCTCCTCCGCCTCCGCCGCTCCCGCTCATCGTTGCTCCGCTTGAGCTGCCGCTGCAGCTCTCTCGGCTGCAGCTGAGCGTTAATGGCGGCTGAAACTTGAAAAAACCACAGTGAAGTGAAGTACCGAAGCGCGTGCTGCTGCAGGAGATGAAGACGAGGAGGGGTGCGTGTTTAAACGCGGTCCGTCAGACAAACTGACAAGGCTTTGAGAGGGAAAGGAAAAGGGGGGCCATTTATTTTCTGGGGTCCGGCTATTTTTCGCATTTTAGTCATTGCCTTTTATACAATTGTGACAAGGAAATTCGATGATATGTATTCCCATCCTACGAGTGGATCGCGAGATCTATTGACCCCGTAGGAGGAAAGTAAGAAAATGACATTCGATGTTGCCTCATCTTTTCGCTTATGCTTATCAGTCAATATTTAGATTTTCAACCTTAAATTTGAAACTGATTTTAAGATTATTTTTTTTCATCGAAGTTTATTTTTCATCAGCCTTTGTTTTTAGATCGCTAAAAACATGTATATAAAAGTTTTATTCACAAATTACTTTTCATTTGCAAATATATCGTTTCGCTTATTCCGTGAATAAGCGAAATGATGGCTTCGGATATGTATTCCCATCACACGAGTAGACCGTGAGATGTATTGACCCCGTCATGGGGAAATAGGAAAAGGACATTTGATGATATGTATTCCCATCCCATGAGTGGACCGCAAAATCTATTTGACCCCGAGATCTATTGACCCCATCAGAGGAAAGTCAGAAGATTGTTTCTCTCACATTGCTATGAAGTGAAATTACTATTGGCTATTAGACATTTTGAGACGGAGAGGGTATGTTGTTTTGGTTTGTATTTTGATGTGACTTTATGCCCATTTTGTCATATAGAAATTTTATACTAGGATGTGTCTGTAGTAATGTTGTCCTTGCAATGTGTACCTTACAAGGAGAAAATAATGGGGCATTGTGTTGGTACATCGATATTGTTTTCCAAGGAAATAATCATAACTTCAAGCCTTTCATGAAGGACATGTCAGGCTATCTAAATTACTTTTATCTCAGGGACCTAGACAGAAAACTTCACTTTCCAAAAAACAAAAACGCCATAAAAGGAGAAAACAATTCCCCCCAAAATCCAGTTCACGGGAACCGTGTTCTGGGTAGATGGCCCCGTAATGGCCAATCCTAAATGCATGCAAATTGTGTAGGCCACCCCAACCACATCTCGAAATTTTCTTGGTGTCATCACCACCAAATTTCTTTTAAACTTCCAATCCTGCAGCGAGAGTACAGTACTGTAGTAGTGTATCTTCATCCCTGCCAAAACCGGCGGTTTGTTATTTCTTCGGTCCCCCATCTGGAGCCGACCATGTCCCATGTCCCATGAACAATCAATTATCAAATCTCTCTCGATTTCTGGCCTCTGTTCGTTCTCTGCATGTTCCAAAGGGAGCCACTTGTTGTTGTTCAGGGTGAACTGGAGAAGAAAGAAACCATGAGCAGGTGAAAAGATTGTTAATTACTTCCAGGCGACCATCTGGTGCTGTCCCAACACATCACGGCGAATTGTTCGCGCATCAACGCGTATTACTTCGCTACTTCCTCCGTCAAAAAAACCCAATCCTAAACCCAGGAAGCATAGATAAAAAAGTTTTTCTTTTCTTTCTTTTTTAAATCTATACTCTCTCCATCCTAAAAACCTTATTTTTTTTAACTCAATAATTTGGTAAGAGAAACTTATTTTCAGTAATGGGTCCACTGGCCTTCTTTATTATTGTTCTTTTCTCCCTCTTGTTTAGAGACCATGGCCTACCACTCTAATTATCATGTGCAAATGTTATTAATTAATTAGAGCTTGGATGTGCCAAGAGTCTAGCCATATCAAGAACTAGGAAAACATATGGTTTTAATGGAGAGCATATTTGTTTTGTAACATATATTGATCTGTCTGAGACAAGTTGAAAATAATTTTTTTTTCTCAAGATAGCGGGAGTAGCTAGATAGCTTTGCCGGACAAAAGTTTTCTGAACTTGTAGTAGCTAGCTTTAAGGGTGGGTTTATTTCACGCTAAAATTAGAAGTTTGATTAAAATTAGAACGATACGACGGAAAAATTGAAAGTTTGTGTGTAAGAAAGTTTTAATATGATAGAAAAGTTGAAAGTTTGGAGAAAAAGTTTAAAACTAAACAAGGGCTTAGGGCCAGTTTAGTTCCCAAAAATTTTCCCCTTCACCTATCACATCGAATCTTTGGACACATGCATGGAGCATTAAATGTGGACAAAAAGAAAAACCAATTGCACAGTTTAGCTATAAATCGCGAGACGAATCTTTTGAGCCTAATTAGGCCATGATTAGCCATAAATGCTACAGTAACCCACATGTGCAAATGACGGCTTAAGTAGGCTCAAAAGATTCGTCTCGCGGTTTCCAGGCGAGTTCTGAAATTAGTTTTTTTATTCGTGTCCGAAAACCCCTTCCGACATCCGGTCAAACGTCTGATGTGACACCCAAAAATTTCCTCTTCCCCAGCTAAACACAGCCTTAGCCTCTTTTCTTCGGTAGTGTACTGACATTGACTAGGAGCGGCCTCTTTCTTGTCGGCGTTGTCGCATTGATATCACATCACACGACTTCACGAACCGATATCACAAAGAATCGGCAACCGGGGGTTGTGCTAGGACGCAGCTGGGATCATGGATTGCAGCGCGGTAGGCATGCCACATGCTGCTGTGCAAATCAATGTCTCGAAACCGATGGGTTCCAACTCGTATCTGCAATGCCTCTGTATTTCCATGCTGCATATTCAGACATTGATTTGCAACTTTTGCCACCTCGGTAAGTTTCTCGACGTCAACGTACGTGGCGCTGTTTAAATAAGGTTTTTAAAAGGAACAAATGATTAATTTTTTGGCAAATTCAGTGGGTGTCAAGTTCTCTTTTTCTTTGGGAAGAAAGACATGTCAGTTCATTTTGTATTCAGAAATTCAGATGGGAACAGACAGTCAGCCAGACAGCTATTGGGGATTAGTGTCACGTCGCTCCACCGCTAAGCTAATTGTCAGCATTGCTTGCCAGAACATGGCATGCATGAGGAGCAATCGACAACGACAAGAGCGTTTGAATGCAACGGATTTGGGAGAAAAATGGCCAACCAAATTAGCAGTGCCAGGATTATCTCCTTCTAGATGCATCATGCTTCTGTTTTAATCCCAAGTTTTAACGCCACGTTTAGCTGATGATTTCAATCTCAGCAACAGCGATATGCCAGCTGAATAATTGATTTTCATGATACCACAATATTAGCAAGGTTTTATATGGAAGCAAAAAAAAAAAGGAAATACGTGTGCACATTTGTTGCTAACTTTAATGACACCACCGTTAAATTTGGCCGCTGTTTCCAATTATTATGACTGGGATTATGGCTTCTGTCTGTCACCAACTGACAGAACAACAAGAACACCGGACACCAGAATTCGTTGTTTTTCTGTAAGGAACCAAGTGACTAGTACTAGTACAAAATTGCCATGCATTTTAGTACTATAATTTTGGGTTGTCAGCCAAAAAAAAAAACAAACAGTTGGGTTTCGTGAGTTTTGGATTGAATTTTTTGAAACCGGTTTTGGATTGAATTAGTGTTGTGACAATCATCAGAAAGGAAGAGCGTTAGCATCTTCTGAAACCTAGCACTGACTATAAGCTGAGACTTGTTTGTGTATATATTCATGAAATGAAGCATATGGTAAAGAAAAAATTCGATCCATAGCGGTAAAAAAAAAATAGTGGCATGTCCTTCTGATCAAAAGCGAAAAATTCTTGTGCAATTTTTTGGTACCGTCTTTTCATGTGATATGGATCAAATTTTCTCGATGTTAAAAACTAGAAAGATTAGAAATGCCGAATAGCTAGCAGGACAATAGAAGTGTAGAAGGAGATTTGGATCAACCGTAACTTTCATTGATCAATGGAGCTTATATTTATACATGTACAACAAGGCTTGGGAGTTGTCTGGGCCTAACTAATCCCCTGATCTAAGGGACGTGCAGCGGTGCGAGCGGAGCGAGGAGCGCTGCGCGTCGTGCGCGGGGTGCGCGTCGTGCGCGTGGAGCGCGCCGCGAGAGTCTGACGAAGCCGTTCGCCAACACCCCCCCGCAGTCGCAGCCGTCGTATCACCGACGCAGAGACTGGCTCGGAACTCGTTGAACATGCTTGAAGGAAGCCCTTTTGTGAACACATCCGCGAACTGATGGGCACTCGGTATCGGTAGGACGCGGAGTTCACCGAGCGCGACCTTCTCCCTGACGAAGTGGATGTCGAGCTCGATGTGTTTGGTCCGCTTGTGGTGCACCGGATTCTTGGACATGTAGACGCTGGAGATGTTGTCACAGTAAGCGATCGTCGCCTGTGGAACGCGGCAGTGGAGTTCACCGAGCAGCTGGCGCAACCAAGTGCACTCCGCCACCGCGTTCGCCACACCTCTGTACTCGGCTTCCGCACTTGACCTCGAGACGGTCGTCTGCCGCTTGGACGACCAGGAGATGAGGGAGTCGCCGAGGAAGATGCAAAAGCCGGACGTGGAACGCCGGGTGTCGGGGCAGCCGGCCCAATCTGCGTCGCTGAAGGCGGTGAGCGTCGGCGACGTCGAGGCGCGAAGGTGTAAGCCAAACGCGGCCGTTCCCTTGATGTAGCGCAGGATCCGCTTCAGCAGGGTGACGTGAGCTTCGCGCGGAGCATGCATGTGCAAGCACACCTGCTGGACGGCGTAGGCGATGTCGGGCCGCGTCAAGGTCAGGTACTGGAGAGCGCCGGCAATGCTGCGGTACCAGGAGGAGTCCTGGAAGAGAGGCCCTCGTTGCTTGACAGCTTGGGTTTAGCGTCCGCCGGAGTGGCCACGGCCTTGCAGTTCGCCATGCCTGCACGTTCGAGGACATCGGTGGCGTACTTGGACTGGCTGAGGACGAACCCGTCGGCAGTGCGCTGAACTTCGATGCCGAGGAAGTACTTCAGGGGCCCCATGTCCTTGACCTTGAACTCCGCTTGAAGGCGATCGATGATGCGCTGCAGCAAGCTCGACGAGGACGCGGAGAGGATCATGTCGTCGACGTAGAGGAGGAGGTAGGCCGTGTCGGAGCCACGGCGCAGCACGAACAGGGAGGGGTCGGCGCGGGACTGGACGAAGCCGAGGCTGGTTGCATG